AACCCCACGTAGAATGTGTTGCAGTATATCCTAGATGTAACGAGAGCGTGGTCCACCGTGGCCAAGTCTGACTTCCCGAGGTAGGTTGGGATGCAGCTTAACCTGGGGCAGTGGGGAGAGAATTCTTTGGGCTTTTCCTAAATGGGTCTGGATAGAAAAGAATGAATCATTGAGGTCCCTTCTGCACTGCTATATAATCCAAATCATTAAATTTCCACATTATCTGCTTTGAACTGGATTGTATGAGTCTACACTGCCATATAATCCACCTCAAAGCAGATAATCTGGATTTTAAATGGCATTGTAGAAGGGGCCTGAGTCTAGGATGTTAAAAGGAGAAGAATCCCCTGGAAAGAAACAAACACAAATTCTGGGTTGTTGTAGGTTTTTTCGGGCTATATGGCCATGGTCTAGAGGCATTCTCTCCTGACGTTTTGCCTGCATCTATGGCAAGCATCGTCAGAGGTAGTGAGGTGAAACACAAATTCTGATTGAGAATAGAAACACTTGCAGCAGTGTTTCCTCAAGAACTTGTATTAAACCTACCAAAGCAGAAGGCATGGGATGCGAAAGGAGTCTTTTCTGTTATTGAGGCCCCTTCTAGGTAAAGGTAAAGGTTTCCCCCTGACATGAAGTCCAGTCGTGTCCAACTCTGGGGGGTGGTGCTCATCTCCATTTCTTAGCCGAAGAGCTGGCGCTGTCTGTAGACACCTCCAAGGTCATGTGGCTGGCATGACTGCATGGAGCGCCGTTAACTTTCCGCCGGAGCGGTACCTATTGATCTACTCACATATGCATGTTTTTGAACTGCTAGGTTGGCAGAAGCTGGGGCTGACAGCGGAAGGTCACGCCGCTCCCCAGATTTGAACCTGTGACCTTTTGGTCAACAAGCTCAGCAACTCAGTGCTTTAACCCACTGCGCCACTGGGTCACACTACCTTATAAAATCCAAATTATCTGCTTTGGGCTGGATTATATGTTAGTGTAGACTCATATAATCCAGTTTAAATAAGATAATGTGGATTATCTGATTTGATAATCTGGATCATATGGCACTGTAGAAGGGGCCTGAGAGCTCTAAAACGACAAAAATAGTTTTTCTTAGGGAGTTGTATGGCAGAGTGATTTCATCACCTTTTCACACTACTGAATTACAACACTCTGCATTTTTAACAGCCATGGCAATTTCCTAGGGAATCCTGGGATTGTTAATTGAGGATGGGCCTCTGGCAGCCTCAGCTAAATAATTCTCTCTGTCTCCAACCAAACTATATGAACCCAAGTAAGATCCCATAGGAGAAAGGTATAGCAGTAAAAAGGGGGATCATATATGATTGAGTAGTGTGAAAGGGCCTCTGGGGTGGAGAGGGGCAGGAGACATCCAGTTATTTGTGGTTCTTTTTATCTCCCACCACCTCCCCCTTTGAAGCTCAGAATAATGAATAACATCCTGATTTACCTTCCAGACAACTTCCCATTCACACCAAGACCAACTTAATTGAGCTCAGCAAGACTTGACTCAGAGTCAACATACTTAGGAGATTGTCTTGCAGACAGAGCTAATTGGTGGTGGGCAGATCATTTCCCACCAGGAAATCAGGAGACGCTTACTTCTTGGGAGGAGAGCAATGACCAATCTTGATAAAACAGTGAAGAGTAGAGACATCAAACTGGCAACAAAGATCTGCATAGTCAAAGCAATGGTATTCCCCGTAGTCACCTATGGATGTGAGAGCTGGATCACAGAGAAGGCTCAGCGAAGGAAGATAGATGCTTTTGAACTGTGGTGTTGGAGGAAAGTTCTGAGAGTGCCTTGGACTGCCAGAAGATCCAACCAGTGCATACTTCAAGAAATAAAGCCTGACTGCTCATTGGAGGGGAGAATAGTAGAGGCCAAGATGAAGTACTTTGGCCACATCATGAGAAGAAAGAAAAGCTTAGAGAAGACAAGGATGCTGGGGAAAATGGAAGGAAAAAGGAAGAGGGGCCGACCAAGGGCAAAATGGGTGGTGTCCTTGAAGTGACTGGATTGACCTTGAAGGAGCTAGGAGTGGTGATGACTGACAGGGAGCTCTGGCGTGGACTGGTCCATAAAGTCACGAAGAGTCGGAAACAACTGCACGAATGAACAAAAGATGCTTGGTCCATTTAGGCTGTCACAAAGGTCCTTCAGGATTTTAGGAAGGGTTCCTTTCTAGTCCTTCTCTGGTCTTCTGCCCAGGTTTTAACCAGAACCAATCTTACTTAACATCTGAAAGCAGAAGACTTTTGTGTTTTTCACCATCTAATTTACCATGATAGATATCTTGGTACATCTCAATTTTATTTTTCCCCTCCCTTTGAAGGTAGTGAAAGAGATAATATAGTCACATATTGGTTCCCTCTTTAAGGGCCTTTAGAGGACTCTGGACCCAGTGGATGTAGGGCTGCTCCCAGTCCCGGGAATATTCTGCTTTGGCAGGAATTACCAACAATCATGCTTCTTCCAGAGGAGAGCGACTAAAATGATAAAAGGTCTGGAGAACAAGCCCTATGAAGAGTGGCTTAAGGAGCTGGGCATGTTTAGCCTGAAGAAGAGAAGGCTGAGAGGGGATATGATGGCCATGTATAAATATGTGAGAGGAAGCCACAGGGAGGAGGGAGCAAGCTTGTTTTCTGCTTCCCTGGAGACTAGGATGCAGAACAATGGCTTCAAACTACAAGAGAGGAGATTCCATCTGAACATGAGGAAGAACTTCCTGACTGTGAGAGCCGTTCAGCAGTGGAACTCTCTGCCCCGGACTGTGGTGGAGGCTCCTTCTTTGGAAGCTTTTAAACAGGCTGGATGGCCATCTGTCAGGGGTGATTTGAATGCAATATTCCTGCTTCTTGGCAGGGGGTTGGACTGGATGGCCCATCAGGTCTCTTCCAACTCTTTGATTCTATGATTCTATTCTATGATTCTGTGCATGGAGATGTTTCTGGATGTTAACTGCGGACCTTTGTGGGCAGCATGCTGTCCTTTTTGGCAAAATTTCACTCCTCTGAAGGGGAGCATTATTTGCTTTATCTACCCCTGCCTTTCAGATGCCTTCAGAGATGGAAAAGATTGTGCTCTCCATCCATTACACTATGTAACATGATTTTTATTCCTGGGTTGTAAATGTCATTTTGTAATTAGTTCTATCATAAAAACATGGAACAAGTTTATTAAACTGCAAAAACTTTGTTTTTGTGGGACATCCTACAGCATATTTTGATCTTGTTTTTCAATGAATATCTCACTTGTGGTCCTTCCATACAGCTATATAACCCAGAATATCAAGGCAGAAAAATCCCACAATATCTGCTTTGAACTGGGTTATCTGAGTCCACACTGCCATATATTCCAGTTCAAAGCAGATAACGTGGGATTTTATTCAGCTGTGTAGGCTCAACCATAGAATCATAGAGTTGGAAGAGACCTCATGGGCCATCCAGTCCAACCCCCTTCCAAGAAGCAGGAATATTGCTTTCAAAGCACCCCTGACAGATGGCCATCCAGCCTCTGTTTAAAAGCTTCCAAAGAAGGACCCTCCACCACACTCCGGGGCAGAGAGTTCCACTGCTGAACAGCCCTTTTGTGGCAACCACAAAAACAAAGTTTCTGGAACATCACAACTATTTTCTAATTAAGTACTCCAGAATTAAACAGGAATAACACTTTCAAACCAGGAACATACTTTTTTCCGAATTTTGTTCCATAGTTTTCTAGTTCCAATAGACCTCACGACCTCTGAGGATGCTTGTCATAGATGCCGGCGAAACACAAGGAGATAATGCCTCTGGAACATGGCCATATAGCCCGAAAAAACCTACAACAACCCAGTGATTCCGGCCATGAAAGCCTTCGACAATACATTGTTCCATAGTGTTATTTAAACGAAGTCTCTCCATGTTGTCGTTCATGCAATTCCTGGGTAAAAAAGAGTGCGCCCTAGTTGATTGTTCCATGAGTTCAAATCAATGAAACCCAGAGGTTCTCTTGAAGCCTAATCGCAAACGTCTGGTTTTGAAGCGGACACACATTTTTTCACTATACAATTCAGCCTGCTTAAGAGTCAAGGGAGGAGCCTGTAAAGTTAACAGATTTCAGTTTGGCTCCGTGGAGCAAGACTACTTAGTTAAAAGCAAGGGCCTGCTACAAAATTAAGTGTGCTGTACCGAGTGCCAAGTGCCCAGATGTTCCCAAAAACAGTTACTCCATTTTGTAATGTTTATACATGAAATGGAAAGTAACTATCTGCTATTAGGCTAATAGCCGTAAATATTCAAAATCTCCAAATCATACATATCGTATTTAGAATGTTTGACTTATAATGTCCCCTTTTTTGCCTTCATTTGAGTAGGTAAAAGCAGTGTGTTTGCTGAAAGTCCACGAGTTACCATCTGGGAGAAAATGTTTGCATCAAATCCCAATTTCATTGTATCTCAAGTTTTCTTTTAAAGTTATACACATCTGCAGATGAATTACAAACAAACCCGAATGAAGTTGTTTAAAAAACAGTGGCAGGACTATTCATGTAAAGTTAATACTGGAGAAAGCGTTTGGAAGCATATCATTGGAAAGCAAGTTCTACCTTGGCAAGGATAACTCTGCCTTAGCGACAGAGCCAAAGCTTTTCCCCCTCCACAATCCTTTAGGTCTTACATTAAACTTTGGATCAGGCTTCCCCGGCTGAGCAATGTTTTCCATCTGTTAAGCTGTTGCTCCAGAATTTGAAACCTCCAGCAGTTCAGTTCCTCTTTACTTAAAACATGGTGGAAAAGGAGATGGACGGGACTGTATTGAAATCCAGCCAGTCCTAATTTTTGTGCACCTAAACTCTGTCTTTTTCCATATAGGATTCGGAATGCAGGGTCTGGAGCTAATCTGTATTCCATGCATTCCGAAGCCCCCTCCCCTCCTTCCTGCTTCCTTGAAAAAACATTTTGTGGTCCAGACAAGTAAATTAATCCATCCCTCCCTTTTTCTTTCTCAGCGGGATGCTATGACAATGGGCAACACTATCAGATAAACCAGCAGTGGGAGCGTATTTACCTGGGGAATACTCTGGTTTGTACCTGCTATGGGGGGAGCAGAGGATTCAACTGCGAAAGCAAGCCTGAAGGTGAGTTGGAAACCAGGGGGAGATGGAGTGGGGCAGGAGGAAGAGTACATTTGCATGTATAGAACTACCCTGTTTGTAAATCTCAGAAAATGTAGACTGTCCTGAACCCATTTCTCCTCCCTTCACTGGAGTACTTCACTTTGTTTGTTATTGTTTGCCTTCAAGTAATTTTCAACTGATGGTGATTGTTCCGTCTTCCAGGAGCTTGGTTTGCATTGCCCCTTAGTTGCATTATTATTATTATTATTATTATTATTATTATTATTATTATTATTATTATATTTATTTGTACCCCGCTAACATCTCCCGAAGGACTCGGTGCGGCTTACAAAGGCCAAGGCCCTCAATAAAACAACAGCATAACAAATACAACAATAAAACTCATAAAGCAAACCAATACACGTTAAAGCAATAACAATAAAACATCAAAACAATACATCATGACACATTTAAAACTAGGGCCGGGCCAAATGTAATGACTAAAATTAAAAGTGCTGGACATGACAGGTGAAATGTAAGGATTTTAGGGTAGGTGCGATGTGAAGACAATCTTAAATCTCTAGTAAAGTGCGTTTGGGACATGATGCTGGGAGTTTCCTATTCTGGAAAGGCACACTGGAACAGCCAGGTCTTCAAGCTCTTCCTAAAGACTGGTAATGTTGGGGCTTGTCTGATGTCCTTGGGGAGAGAGTTCCAGAGTCGGGGGGCTACCACAGAAAAGGCCCTGTCCCTCGTCCCCACCAAACACGCTTGCGACGCAGGTGGAATCGTGAGCAGGGCCTCTCCAGATGAACGGAGGGATCGTGTGGGTTCATATACGGAGATGTGGTCATGCAGGTAGGCGGGTCCCAAACCATTTAGGGCTTTGTAGGTGAGCACCTGCACCTTGAATTGGGACCGGATAATGAACGGCAGCCATGGAGCTCCTTAAACAGGAGGGTTGACCTCTCTCTGTAAGGAGCATGAAATAGCATCCTTTTGCATTTCCCCCAGGGTTGCTACAGTCTCAACAGCACCCTCAATGTTAACCATTAACAGGGGCTTAAAGCCAGCCTCCAAAAACCTTTTGCTGTTATTGGTTTAAAAAAGTATCTCTTTGGTCCAGAGACTGCCCTTTTTCCTGGGGATGAGATCTCCATTTTGGAGAAGCTCTCCTGCCTTCTTCAGTTTAGAAAAAGCCTCAGATGTGCTTGTGGTCAAGTTAGGCAGCTCAGACAGGCCATCGTGAGTACTTACCCTCTTGCCTTTGAAACTGGTGCTGAGCTTAGATAGGGGAAGACTTGCTCTTTTCTAAAAACAGCAGCTCAGCACTAGGGCAGAGAATATCCCAGGATTTTTCTGTCATTGGGAGAGGCTTAATTACTTCATCCCCAAGCTAGCTTTGAGCTTAGATAGGGAAATACCTGCTCTTTCTAATAATAGCAGCTCAGGGCTAGGGTAAAGAATCCCAGGATTTTTCTGCCATTGGGGGAAGTTAACTCAGCAGCTGAAGGAAAAAGGAAGGAAGGAACATCTACACGATTTTACAAGTTGTGTTTGTAACTTTGACAAGCTGTGCCAAGTCTGCCAAGGACTTTGAGAAATAAATGTTCTGTTTGATGTTCAAATCTGGAGTGGCCTGAGTTGCTGAAAATCCTAAGCTTCTAAGTAAGGCACCCACAGTTCGCCCAGATAAAGAGAGAAGCACATCTTAGTTTTAACTTTATAGTGTCTGGGTGTGATGGCACAGTGATCCTAAGGTTTTATTATTATTATTATTTATTTATTATCCTACCCTTCTCCCCACAAGGGGACTCAGGGCAGCCTTACATGAACATCCAGTGATGCAATCCACATCTATATAAATAAAAATGCAATGTTCGTTTGTGGGATTAACAGAACTCAAAAACCACTGGATGAATTGACACCAAATTTGGACACAATTAGTCCAACAAATGACTATCACTTATAAAAACACTGAAAAAACACAGCAGAAGGGATTTTAAAAGCCAAAAAACAAAAATTACATTTTAACTCATGCACAAAACCACATATATACACAAACATACACACACTCATATATACACACACAAAACACAGATCAGCCACATTATTTGCTTTGAACTGGATTATATGAGTCTACGCTGCCATATATTTATTTTATGTATTTATTTACAGCATTTCTACCCCACCCTTCTCAACCCCTGGGGGGGACTTCAAAGCAGACAATCTGGATTTTATATGGGAGTGCAGAAGGGGCGTTAAATGAGAAGAAACCTTGTTGTGTAGAGAAGTTCTACATGAACTCTTATGCAAGGTTCTGAAAGCAAACAGGACAGTACAAACAGATACAAAGAATGAACTCTTCCTGTTGCAAAACATGTTACTGATTAATTGTGATATGATAAAGATGTCTAAAAACCCCTTTTAGAACAAAAAAGGCCTCACAGATCAGAGGTTAATAAAATAAAACCAATGAATAGTCTTCAGCACAGACTAAAATAACAAATCAAAAAATTACAATAAATTAGAAGCAAAAATTGGAAGAAAGGCAGCATGGCAACAGTCAGTAGTTATCTGTGATCTGTTAGCAGATCATTCCAAAAATATAACGTTAAAAATTGCCACATTTGCAGTTGCAGTCCAAAAAATCTGAGCTAAATTAGTCAAGTCCATAGCGGAGGCTAGAAATGGAGATAGTTTGGGATGATACAAATCAGACATTTGTTATTGTTATCATGTCACTGCTACTATAATTTTAAAGATCCAGTATATGTAATAAGTTTTAATATTTATATTGGAAATTGCTTAATGTACTTTTTTTTTACTTTTAAAGGTTGTATTTATGTGATGTCATGGCCTATGGCTGGTACAATAAACAATTCATTCAAAATTAATCAAATGCAAATGGAGATTTATAAGACTAAATCTTCCTAAAAAGAAAAAAAAGAGTTCTATATACTTCTTTTAATCTTTCAGTTATAGGGATCTAGTTTTTCCCTTTACCTGTCTTCCGGATCAATTAGTCACTGCCATAAGCACTACTAACACTACCACTAAAGTCCTTGGAGAATGACTATATGATTCATACAACATTTTAAAACAAAAGTCTTCAAACTTTTAAAGCAGAGGGCCAGGTCACAGTGCCTCAAACTGTTGGAAGGCTGGATTATAATTTGAAAAAAACATGAATGAATTCATATGCACATTGCACATATCTTATTTGTAGTGCAAAAAACACTTAAAAACAATACAACAATTAAAATGAAGAACAACTTTAACAAATATAAATTTATTAGTATTTCAATGGGAAGTGTGGCCCTGCTTTTGGCTAATGAGATAGGATTGTTGTTGTGTGCTTTCAAGTAATTTCAGACTTAGGTTGACCCTGAGCGAGGGCCGGGTAAATGACCTCGGAGGGCCGTATCTGGCCCCTGGGCCTTCGTTTTAGGACCCCTGATCTAGACATTTATCCCTTCTTCAATCAGTTAGTCATTGCCATTGGCACTACTAACATTACCACTAAAGTCCTTGGAGAATGACTATATGATTCATACAACATTTTAAAACAAGACTGAGCAAATGTGGCTCATGAGCTGCATGCAGCTCGCAGACCCATTAATGTGGCATCCAGTTTCCTCCAGCAAAGTTTCAGGGCTTCCAGAGAACAGTCAGTTGCTTGACACAAACAATCAGTATAAGTGGAGGAAAGAAATACATCCGTTTTTTCCACTGTGTCTTTCATACCTTGCTTTCTCTCTCCTCCTCTTGTTCCCATATCTAGTCTCCATTTGTATTTTTTTTTTCTCTGGTGATACCCAACATACAGTATGACTCTCTTATTCACAGATTTGATAGCCATGGTTTCCACTCCAAAAATGTATGGGCCCAAGTATAATAACAATATAGCTACACTGTAGAATTAAAGCAATTTGAGATCACTTTTAACAGCCGTGACCCACTACTATTGAATCCTAGGAGTTATAATTTTACAAGGTCTTTAGCCCTCTCTGCCAAAGAGTGCTGATACCTCACTACAACTCCATAGCATTGAGTCATGGCAGAATAAAGTGCTGATAAACTCCATTAATTACAGTCTCAGTGCACTCATTCTCTTCATTGTTATCTGCACTTTCAACTAACTACTGTTTTGGAATGTGGATAAAGTGGTTGTGTACTTCATTTATCACCTTTCCTTCCTCTCTGGAAGTGCTTTCCTTTGCATGCTCTCATCGCCTTCATTGTCATATTTTTGGTCATTTGTCCCGTCCCCCCCCCCCCCCAATCCCATCAGCCTCTCTGCATAGTTTATATTGATTGATTGTTGATTGTTTATATTGATTGATTGATTGTTGACTGATTGTTTTTATGATGTTCGGCATCCTATGATGCTTTTGTGAGGGTGCCCTGAGTCCCCCCTCATGGGTGAGAAGGGTGGGGTAGAAATATAGGAAATAAATAAATTCTACAAGTTGAGTATTCTGCTTTGGTGACATCATTTTTTTCTTCCCTTTCAGCGGAAGAGACCTGTTTTGACAAATACACTGGAGCTACTTACCGAGTAGGGGAGACCTATGAGCGACCCAAGGACTCCATGATTTGGGACTGTACCTGCATTGGGGCTGCTCGTGGCAGAATCAGTTGCACAATTGCAAGTAGGTATTGGAGAGAGAGGGGTCTGAACTTGTAAATTACTTGATCACTTTGCTGGCACCTTCCTGTCACACCGCATGGCAGATAATGGTGCAGGATTCTATGCAATCTTTCAGCAGAGGTGGCTTCCATGACAGCGCAATTATGTCTATTTGAGATTTCAGTCCAGGTTTTCAAGGAGCTCTCCAGGATGCCACACCCAAATGCTAAATATGTTCAGGACCTTGGATAACTCCTTTAACATTAGTCCAAACCTGGAATGGATTAAGTGCCCTATTGATGCCACCCCTTTCTCTGTGACAAAGTTTCATACAAGAGTCACCCATATCCTCTGCAGGAAAGGACCCAAATTTTTCTTACACAGCTATACATTTACCTGTGGAAGTGGTTGAACATTTTCTCTGCTGACACAATGCCCACATTTAGGTCAAATGTAGTTTCTCATGCACCACTGCTAACCTTGTCTATGTACATTGGACTGCACATCCAGTTGTGTGATGTGTAGGATTGTGTAGCACAATCAGTGCAGGACTATAATCTATATAAATAAAAATGTAATGTTCGTGTGTGATACCATCAGAACTCAAAAACCACTGGGGGAATTGACACCAAATTTGGACACAAGACACCTAACAACCCAATGTATGTCCTCCACTCAAAAAAATTGATTTTGTCATTTGGGAATTGTCATTGCTGGGATTTATAATTTACCTACAATCAAACAGCATTCTGAACTCCACCAATGATGACATTGAGCCAAGCATGACATACAGAATGACCAACAGAAAACACTAGAAGGGTTTGTTGGGCATTGACCTTGAGTTTGGGAGTTCTAGTTCACCTACATCAAGAGAGCACTGTGGACTCAAACAAGGATGGATCTGGATCAAGCTTGGCACAAATACTCCATATGCACAAATGTGAACTCAGATGGAGTTTGGGGGAAATAGAACCTGACATTTGGGAGTTGTAGTTACTGGGATTTATAGTTTACCTACAATTAAAGAGCATTCTGAAACCCCACCAACGACAGAATTGGGGCAAACTTCCCACACAGAATCCCCATGACCAACAGAAAATAATTTAAGGCCACCCAGTCCAACTCCCTTCACCAGGGCAAGAAAACGTAATCAAAGCCCTCCTGACAAAGAGCCATCCAGCCATAGATATAGATCAATCAATATGATTCACACAGACGGAGTATAGTATAGATTTGAAAGGGACCCCTAAAGAAAACAATTATATGTTGCATGTTCCAGAGTAGGCAAACCAGACAATCTCGACATCAATATTGACAAAGAAACAGCAAGAAGTGCTGTTTACCCACAAGCATAAAGACATTACATATATTAGAAACAAACACTTTCTCATCACTTTATTTTCCAGATCACCAGACTGGGCCACAGCAACGCGTGGCAGGGGATGGCTAGTAATAATAATAAAAACTTTATTTATATACTGCTCCATCTCCCCGAGGGGACTCAGAGCAGTTCCCAGATAACATCACAAAACATACAAAGTAAAAACAACATAACCAAATGATTAACAAAACAAAATATAGCATAAAATTGTTGCCATAACACACATATATTAAAAGTAATCCTGCTTGTTCAAGGCAATTAAAAAATTTAAAAGGCCGGGCCAAGATTTGTGCAAGCCCAAAAAATTCTAGGAGGCTATATGCAGAGATCTATGCCATTCAGATTCACTGTTAGATCTCGGCCAGTATTTTTCCACTACTAGAATGTCAAGTTGGACTGCAATGCTCCCCATTACAAGTATGGTGCTTTGGGAAGAGAAACAAGTAGATTTTTTTCCATACATTAACTTTAACTGCTTTGCTGGTTCACATAAAGAACTTCCTTATGACCAAGTGAATCCTCCATTCATAAAACAATCCTTACTTGTCCTGTTTAACACATCACAAAAGATATAGTGTTTTTCTGTGGAAAGTTTATGGGTGTTCCGTTAATATATTTTGATGTGGTGTTAAGGAATTTGAAACACTTACTTCACCGTATAGCAAACAACATGGACAGAGAGGCTGAATGACATTGATTGTGGGCATCTCTACTGTAAACTATCCTTGATGTTGACAGACTTCTGGACTAAAATGAACTTTATCAAACCAATCTGAGAGGGTGGCTAACACTTAAGGGTTAGGGTTGTCAGAGTGAAAATTGTAGATGATTCCTATGCCTTTAGCAGGTATTGCTTGTCATCTGATTGTTTTACACAATCAGTAAAAGGTACATTCACTCACTCCAGTTATCAATCTGATAGCCTTACTCAGGATGAATCTTCACTGTCATATAATCCAGCTCAAAGCAGATAATCTGGATTCAGAAACTGAATTATATGGCAGTCTACATAGTATTAGGCTCAATGGGCCAGTGGATTGATTTTCCTATATGTGTTTTATTTTCACAGATCGCTGTCATGAAGGTGGCCAGTCCTACAAGATTGGTGACACTTGGCGCAGGCCTCACGAAACTGGTGGCTACATGTTGGAGTGTGTGTGCCTTGGCAATGGGAAGGGTGAATGGACTTGCAAACCAGTTGGTAAGTTTGCTTTGTTTTATATATGTGAGAAGTCAAACCTGAAGAGTGAGGCACTCTGATCTCAGATGGTAGTCTTTAGGATAATCACTTTGAAGAGAAATAAGGTTGAACACTGTGAAAGCCATCCACTGCATGGCTATCAGTCTCCTTCCAGTAGACTCAAATCAAGGAAAAGCTTCATGAGAACCAGCACTCCTCCTAATGTTCCCCCAGCCACAGCAAGAGCACCCCTCTGGCCAGCTAATCCAGGAAATCCCAATTGGATGCACACCCCCCCCCCCCCCCCCCCCCCCCACGAGGGTCTTCCCCAGGGTCAAACCAAGAATGGGCAACTTGGAAGTTCCTGAACAGACTCAGAAGTGGAGTGGGCAGATCAAAAGACAACCTGGCAAAATGACACTACCTAGAAGAATCCTCCACCTTGTGTGACTGTGGAACAGAACAGGCAGCTCTGCCGCTGTATGCTTGTCCACAATGCCCTGCCTCATGTACAGAGGAAGAATTGTTTAAAGCTATAAACAATGTGGTCGCTGTTGAATGGCATTGGTGAAAAATTATTTAGCCACTTGTGCTCCTTCTATTTTTATCAGTTTTAGACTTACGTATGCAATCCTTTCGACTCAAATAAAAACTTTGGACAGATACTAGCACTTTGAAACTATCTGTGATATCAGCTCTTTGTTGTTTTTTAGATAGCTACCTGCAGTCTTTGTGGAAGATTTGGATGACATTAACTTGATATCATATAAGTCATGTGTTTAGCTGGTGGGTTTGTGAGATCCATTGCTCATAGAGGTGATAAAAATGGGGCTGGATCTACACAGCCCTTTATTTATTTATTTACAACATTTATATGCCGCCCTTCTCACTCTGAAGGGGACTCAGAGCGGCTTACAAGATATATATGTATATGTGTGTGTGTGTGTATATATATATATATACACACACACACACACTATATTATATTACTAGCATAGTACAATATCAATTTTATATATTACTATATTGTACTATACTATTATATTGTAATATTATTAGTAATATTACATGCAATATAAAATATATAATTATAATATCATATTAGTAGTAGTGTTATATTGTATTACATTATAATATGATAAATCTTATATGTATATACAATATATTACATTATTGTAATATATTGTATATACATACAATATATACATACAATATATACAAGGGTTAAACCCCTGTGCCGGCAAGACTGAAGACCGACAGGTCACAGGTTCGAATCCGGAGAGAGGCGGATGAGGTCCTTGTACCAGCTCCAGCTGGAGACATGAGAGAAGCCTCCCACGAGGATGATAAAACATCAAATCATCCAGCCGTCCCCTGGGCAACATCCTTGCAGATGGCCAATTCTCTCACACCAGAAGCGACTTGCACTTTCTCAAGTCTCTCCTGACACAACAAAAAAAACAAAACAAAACATTACATTATATTATATTATTTAATATAGCACAGGAGACAAGATGGAACTGTCCCCTGTCCCTCTCTGTCTTCACTCAAATCCCGGGATCTGATTTCCAGATTATTTTCTTTTCCCAGATTATCTGGAATGTAGACTCATATAATTCAGTTCAAATCAGTTAATTTGGGATCAGACCCTGGGATATCAGGCAGTTTAGATCCAGCCCAGGTCTGAGAAGCCTAACTTCTCACTGGGGTAGTTAACCAGACAACTGGGAAGCTCACATGGCTTAAAATCTTCCACATTGAAAACAACAAAGGCTCTAGCAATGCCTTTCCCCCTGTTTTTGGTTTTAGTTAAATGGATACTCCATCATTCACATTCAGTCATGCCATCCTTGCCTTTATGGTCTAGACTGCAGATTCCAATGTATGTTCTGTTTTGTCAGTAGCTGAAATTTGACCGTATGCTTGGTGTGTTTACATAGAAGATTTGTACCCTGCTCCTGTAAGATAAGGTTCTCTGTGAAGCGTATAATGAATAAACACAGAAACAAAGCAGATGCACAGAATCAAAAGCAACATGAAAATACCATAAGACAAAAATTGCATAGCAAACCCAGAGTTAAAGCCCCGGAGTTTTAAATGGGAAGCTCAGATCTCTTGTCCTCATTGGACTCCCATGGGCAGTTTTGTATCTAAGTCATTTATTAGTGCCATTGGGTAGTAGATTTGGGAAGGGAACTGTTCCCTCCAGCGAAGAAATCTCTTTTCACCTTTAATCAATACATTTCTGTAAATAAAACAAGGTTGCTTTTTTCTCTTTTCCCACCTCGCACAATTAATGCATTGTAGCCGAGCGGTGCTATGATAACAGTGCTGGAACCTCCTATGTGGTGGGAGAGATCTGGGAGAAGCCTTATCAAGGCTGGATGATCGTGGATTGCACATGCTTGGGAGAAGGCAGCGGGCGCATTACTTGCACCTCAAGAAGTAAGTATGGCAGAGCATTAATGTGAATGTTGTACTTGCTTTCGCTTTTATTTATTTTATTATTCATTTATTTCAGATATTTGTACCCCGTCCTTCTCAACACCCGGGGGGTGGGGGGGAACTCAGGATGGCTTCCAGCCGGCAACAACTCGATGCCTCCAATGTACACATAATAAAATACATAATAAAATTCAATAATTACATACATTTAAAACATTAAATCACATTAATTAATTAAAATCTGTTTCTGTTTCAGTAACAGTCTTGTAGCCTTATTTGAGCCGAATTCTGTAGTTAGAGACTCCATCAAGCATTTCCATAGTCAATGTATTGTCGAAGGCTTTCATGGCCAGAATCACTGGGTTGTTGTAGGTTTTTCCAGGCTATATGGCCATGTTCTAGAGGCATTTTCTCCTGACGTTTCGCCTGCATCTATTTCCATAGTCCATTTTCATAGTGATTGTCATAATTGTCACTGTCATTGTCGGGAAGATGACCTGAAGACCTGGTCTCACATCCATGTTTTTAACTTCTTTCTAAAGTTAAATCCATTCAAGGATATTTGATCTCAATATCCTCGAATGGAGCAGAGCTTGAAGATTATCCTATGAGTATTTATTTAGTACATTTCTATACCGCCCCTCTCAGCCTTCCGGCAACTCGAGGTGGTTTACAAGGCAAGAATTCAATGCCGCCAAGGACACAATTACAATATACAATATAAAAAGCATCAGCAACAATAAAATCAAACATTATAATGAAACATACTTCAATCTGCCTGATTGTTTACTCTCTGTTGTTTTGCTGTTGTAATTTTTGAGTTTTTTAATACTCAAATAATAATAATTAAAAAACTCAAAAATTACAACAGCTAAACAACAGAGAGTAAACAATCAGGCACATCAAATCACCTCTCAACAAAAGATTTCCCCAGGCATACTTCAATCGATAATCATTAAAACAATGTCCAGTTCCGCCATATAGTTATTCCATTATTATATCCGTTACTCCATATTTTCAAATGCCCACTCAAATAGCCATGTCTTAAGATTCTTTTAGAATGATAGGGAGTGAGGACGCCGATCTAATCTCCCTAGGAAGGGCGTTCCATAGCCGAGGGGCCACCACCTAGAAGGCCCTTGTGCTTGTGATGATGGCGGGACCGAGAGCAGGGCCTCTCCAGGTGCTCTTAAAGTCCTTGCAGGTTCATAAGGGGAGATTTTAAATGCGTCATGGTGTCATTGTTCTATTGTTTTATTGTTTGCTTGATGTTTATTATTTGCTTATGAGTTTTATTGTTGTATTTGTATACTGTTGTTTGTTGGCAGCCTTGGCCTTTGTAAGCCGCATCGAGTCCTCCGGGAGATTTTGCGGGATATAAATAAAGTTAATAATAATAATAATAATTTGTTTGGACAGGTAAGTTGGGCCAGAACAATTTAGGGCTTTATAGGCTAAAGCCAGCACTTTGAATTGTGCCCGGTAGTGAACTGGCAGCCAGTGGAGCTGGCGCAACAAGGGAGTTGAATGCTCCCTGAGAGCCGCTCGAGTTAGCAATCTGGCTGCTGTCCGTTGGACCAGTTGAAGCTTCCAGACTGTCTTCAAAGGCAACTCCCACGTAGAGAGTATTGCAGTAGTCTATACGGGATGTAACAAGAGCGTGGACTACCATGAGTACACTTAGCTAGAAGCATAGTGGATCTTGGATCTCAGTAGATATGCCTAGTACTGTGATTGCTATGCCAACTGGTTGGGGATGATGGAACATCTGGAAGGCCGCAATTTGGAGAAGGCTGACTTGGTGCTAGATGTCCTTCTTTTGCTACCAGGCTAAAACAGTTTACTTCCAGCAACACCAGCAATAATAAGGCTGTGTCTTCATAGGCATTTCCTAAGGGAACTTTGAATGCAATTTTCCTGCTTCTTAGCAGGGGGTTGGACTGGATGGCCCATGAGGTCTCTTCCAACTCTATAATTCCTCTGAATATGTCAGTTTGTATTCTAAAAAAAGCGAGTGTAAGGATGTTAATAAAAAAGATGTTCCCAGCCCACCCCAAACATCTTTTTTTGAGTGTTGTTGGTGATCTCAAACAGACTGAGGAACAAAGAAAGATTCAATGTATTGTCGAAGGCTTTCATGGCCGGAATCACGGGGTTGTTGTGGATTTTTTCGGGCTATATGGCCATGGTCTAGAGGCATTTTCTCCTGACGTTTCACCTGCATCTATGGAAAGCATCCTCAGAAGTAGTGAGGTCTGTTGGAAGTAGGAAAATGGGTTTATATTTCTGTGGAATGATCAGGGTGGGACAAAGGACTCTTGTCTGCTGGAGCTAGGTGTGAATGTTTCAACTGACCACCTTGATTAGCATTTAATGGCTTGGAAGTGCCTGGGGGAATCTTTTGTTGTGAGGTGATTTGATGTGCCTGATTGTTTACTCTGTTTTGCTGTTGTAATTTTAGAGTTTTTTTAAATACTGGTAGCCAGATTTTGTTCATTTTCATGGTCTCTTCCTTTCTGTTGAAATTGTCCACATGCTTGTGGATTTCAATGGCTTCTCTGTGTAGTCTGACATGGTGGTTGCAGAGACCAAACATGAGTCAAGGAACATGAAAGGCACTGCAGACTACTTCAACCAGAGAAGTCAGCCATAGCAGAGCACCTGATGAACCAACCTGGACACAGCATTTTATTTGAGAACACAGAAATGCTGGACCACTCTCACAACCACCATGTCAGACTACACAGAGAAGCCATTGAAATACACAAGCATGTGGACAATTTCAACAGAAAGAAGAAACCATGAAAATGAACAAACTCTGGCTACCAGTATTAAAAAACTCAAAAATTACAACAGCAAAACAACAGAGAGTAAACAATCAGGCACATCAAATCACCTCTCAACAAAAAAAGATTCCCCCAGGCACTTCCAAGCCATTAAATGCTAATCAAGGTGGTCAGTTGAAACATTCACACCTAGCTCCAGCAGACAAAAGTCCTTTGTCCCACTCTGGTCATTCCACAGATATATAAACCCTTTTCCCTAGTTCCAACAGACCTCACTACCTCTGAGGATGCTTGCCATAGATGCAGGCGAAACGTCAGGAGAAAATGCCCCTAGACCATGGCATATAGCCCGAAAAAACCTACAACCCAAAAAGATTCTTTCCAGTGAACTTCTTAAACTAAATTATTTAGGATTTAATCAGTCTATCATAGACTGGAAACATTTCCAACCTACCGCCAAATGTTTATTTTGAATATTAATTGTGACTTCTTAATCAGCATGATGTGGCCATCTGTTCTTTGGTTCCTAACTTCCAAACCGCCTTAACAGTGATGTTGCTGTGGTAGGAGGTTGGATTGCAAGCATAAATAGTGGTGATATTGGCATATATAAACCTGTTTTCAGGTTTTAGCCAGTCAAGCATTAAGGAAAGGTTTCCTTAAAGTGAGATCACTGGCTAAATTGTAAGCCTGTGTAATCCAAATTGGGAAACATCTGGTTTTTAAAACCTTTGGTTAGGCTGGTCTTAAGCTTGTGTCCTTTAGCTTCTAATTGATGCTGTTGCCTTGGGATACCAAGTTGATGGCCATTCTCTAAAATAAACAATAGGATTATATACACTAAATCCTCAAGGTTGGTTTCAGATTAGACTCAAAAGCCATAAAAAAAACCCCAGCCATTTGTTTATAATGTCAGTCTGACTGGAATCTTGTTCTGGAAAAGATATGTTTTGTATGGGAAAAAGAAAGATGCAGTGTTTTCAAGTGCCAGGAAAAAAAGCATGACCATAGTCTGATGTAGATCGTATGTTCCATCACATGTCCCGTCATCAGTTTGAACAGGAAATCCAGTGATTTTCTAAATGTTAATGACTTATGTTTTGCGAATCCGAAATGAAAATTATGGACATAGTACAAATGTCATATAAATCATTGCTTCATATAACACAAAGAACAAGTTGCTACCTTTTTTATTCCCGGGGCAAGGACATTGTGTGAAAGTTGGCTCCCAGCTCTGAATATTTTGAAAACGGTTTTTCCAGCATGCCCACTCACATAAAGTGATATATGAAGCCACAAACCACTTTCTTGGCAAACACAGTCTGATCTCATGGCTTTCTTTGAGTATTTCCCATGTGGAACTTTAGCAGCTGAATAACCATTTGGAGTAATTAAGTTGTCTTCTTCTACCGGAGACAATAACTGGAGATGGTAGAATTTCCCCAGACCAGCATCTATGAGGATTGGAATACTCCAGGAACTTATCTTTAAACTCTCAGGCACAGTATAATAATAATAATAATAATAATAATAATAATAATAATAATAATAATAATAATAATAACAACAACAACAACAACAACAACAACAACAACAACTTTATTTTTATACCCTGCCAACCATCTCCCCTAGGGGACTCGGGGCGGCTTACAAGGGACACGCCCAAGATTACAATTAAAACACACATGTAAAACACTTTAACCAATTAAAACATCAGATAAAACAAATAACAACAATATAAAAACAATATAAAAACAATACAGGCGCGTTTGGTGGGGACGAGGGACAGGGCCTTCTCTGTGGTGGCCCCTCGACTCTGGAACTCTCTCCCTAAGGACATCAGACAAGCCCCAACGTTGGCAGTGTTTAGGAAGAGCTTGAAGACCTGGCTGTTCCAGTGTGCCTTTCCAGAATAGGAAACTCCTGGCTTCAAGTCCCAAATGCACTTTGTTAGAGATTCAGGATTATCTGCACATTGCACCTACCTCCAAATACCTCTACATATTACCTGTCAGGCTCAGCACTTTTAATTTTTTTCTGTTACATTTGGTCCGGCCTCTAGGTTTTTAATTGCATCATGGTGTCATTGTTTTATTGTTTTATTGTTTGCTTGAGTTTTACTGTGTATTGTATGTTGTTGTTGTTGGCGGCCTTGGCCTTTGTAAGCCGCATCGAGTCCTTCGGGAGATTTTGCGGGGTATAAATAAAGTTAATAATAATAATAATAATAATAATAATAATAATAATACAGCTGAAAGAAACATAGCTGAGGTACAGATTCAATGAGTGCAATACATTTTTACAGGAAAAAGAAAAGGAAGGATTCCCCACATGTTACTTCCCTTAGAGGAATGCTGTTTTTTACATAAGCCCTTCTACACTGCCATATAAAGTCCAGATTATCTGCTTTGAACTGGATTATATGGCAGTGTGGACTCAACCAGTTCAAAGCAGATAGTATGGATTATCTGGTTTGATAATTTGGATTCTATGGTGGTGTAGAATAGATGTGGTCAAAGCAAGCAAGCACCAATTTCATCATAAAGGATGAAAAGTAAATTCATTATGACTCTAGGTAAATGAAATAACAGTGGTGTTTATTCAGATCAAACTGTATGAGTGACCAATGGCTATATGGGATGCCATCTTCTTTTACCAGTCTAAAGGGGCCAGTTTATTTATTTGTTTGTTTCTATCTCTCCCTTTTCCCAGTTCAAAAATGTTTTCATGTGCCGCCACATTGAATATGACTTATGGTGACTCTACCACAAGGTTTTCTTGATGGTGCTTGAATCAGATTTGCCTTCCTCTGAAGCTGAGACAGTTTGACTTGCCCAGTTAGTTTTCATGGCTGAGTGGGGACTTGAACTTTGCTCTCCAGAGTCATATACCAATGATTTTAAACATATAATTAAAACCCATGAAGGACAAAAGTTAATATTTATTTATTTATTATTCGAACTTATATGCCGCCACTCCCCTGGGGCTCGGAGCGGCTTACAAGAATGGTTAAAATCTAACAAAATTTAAAAGCAATTTAAAACAATTTAAAAACAACATATCAAACATTAAAAGCCTGTCGAAACAGGTATGTCTTACATGCCCTGCGGAAAGCTGGTAAGTCCCGCAAGGCACGGACTTCAGGTGGCAGAGTATTCCAGAGTGATGGTGCCACTGCTGTGAAGGCTCTGCGTCTGGTTGCTGTTAGACGCAAGGTCTTGACACTGGGGACTTCCAATAGATCTTGGTCCTCAGAACGGAGGGATCTCTGGGGTTGGTAGGGGGTGAGGCGGTCCCTCAGATACATCGGCCCCAGACCATGCAAGGCCTTAAAGGTGAGTACCATCACTTTGAAAGTGATCCGGTGCTCAATTGGTAACCAATGCAGCTGTAGTAAGATTGGTGTTATGTGGCATCTCATCGGAATTCCCGCAAGAAGCTGAGCAGCTGCGTTTTGTACCAACTTGAGCTTCCGAATCACCGACAGAGGGAGGCCAATGTAGAGGGCGTTACAGTAGTCCAGTCTTGAGATGACCATGGCCTGGATCACCGTAGCTAGGTCGTCCCTGGACAGGTAGGGGGCCAGCCGTCTAGCCTGCCGCAGGTGAAAGAAGGCGGTTCTGCTCACGGCGGAGACCTGACCCTCCATTGTCAGCAGAGGGTTGAAAAGGACTCCAAGACGCTTTACCAACGATGACGGGCATAACGCCTCACCATCCAGGGTAGGCAGCTGGATATCCCCGCTGCCCGGTCCACCCAGCCATAGGATCTCCGTCTTTGCTGGATTCACCCTCAACCTGCTGGCACGCAGCCATCCAGTAACGGCCTCGAGGCACTGATGGAAACAATCGGGTACAGAGTCCGGTCGGCCTTCCATCTTCAGCACCAGCTGAGTGTCATCAGCATACTGATAACACTCAAGCCCAAAACCTCAAACCAGCTGAGCAAGTGGTCGCATATAGATGTTAAACAACAGATTAAACCATCAGGAATTGAAACTAGATTAAGACATATACCATTAAAATGCACACACACCAACACAACCTTAGAAAGATCAAGAACATTATTTGGTAGAATGGGCCTTATATAGTCAATCATCATATTTGACTGTATAAGTAGCTTGAGATGCATATTATTGCTGTTATCAAGACTTCATTCCCATGCATTTTGTATTTTTTCCTTTTTCTGCAGACAGATGCAATGATCCAGATACCAAGACGTCCTACAGAATTGGAGACACCTGGAGCAAGAAGGACAACAGGGGAAATCTGCTCCAGTGCATCTGCACTGGCAATGGCAGAGGGGAATGGAAATGCGAGAGGCATTCATCTCAGCAGACCACTGGAATAGGTGAGATATACTCCTGGATCTGTTCATGTAAAATTTGAATGCAGCATACTGATGGTCCAATGCATTAGTTTGTTATCCTTACCTCCTTTCTTCCTGTTTCCTTGACTTGTATGGACTATAGACTGAAAGGCCAGACTTGGTTGTTTTTTCCACCCTCCAGAAGATCAGTAGAGTATGGAAACAACACTCAAGTCTATATTTGTTTAATGTATTTATAACTCACTTTTCTCCCATAACCTACAGTATGTGCCTTAGGGTGTGGTTGTTAGTAGAACTGTGTAGCCTTGTTGGTTTGCTTTAAAAAAATATAGAACCACAACACTGAGTAATTGATTCCGTTAATTTATATTCTTCCTTGACCAAAACTGTCCCAAACTGATTGGGTCAATCCATGCCTTTCTTGCTCTTTTTGCAATGGATAGAATAACTTGCTAACAGTGAGTGTAAACTGGCTGAATCCAATATTAGCTTTAACTTGGTTAACTGAGGGCGCTTCCACACAGCTGAAAAATCTGTGCTAAAACTTGTTTTGGCACAGATTTTTGTACCCATTCCCACCAAAAATCTCGGTCTTTCCTGTGGAGGGTGGCTACCATCCTGATAACAATCGGGATGGCAGGCAGCCACATTGAATGTTTTTAATTTGCTTTATGATTTATGTGTATTTGTTATGTTGTTGTTTTATTGAGGCCTTGGCCTTTGTAAGCTGCATCGAGTCCTTCGGGAGATGCTAGCGGGGTACAAATAAAGTTAATAATAATAATAATAATAATAATAATAATTGAAGCCCCCCAAATGTACCCCTAAAAATAAACAAAACTTACCTGGCCGCCATTACGTTCCTCCTCATGCCCTCCTGGTTTTCTTCCTTCTCCCCCCCCCCTTTCCTGGCACATTTGGACATTTGGAAGCCTCTGGTAAAACCGAGACAGGTCCTGGTTTTTGGGACTGTCTGAATGGGCCCGGAATATGATTTTTTAGTTAATAGGTCACACTGATTTCAATTGATCAACTCTCAATAGACTTTAAATTGGACATAACTCTTCCTATAAGAGGATTAGTCATTAGAATAGTGAAAGGCGATATGTTTCTGGATACTTCCTGTATTTTTGTATTGAATGTATGTTGTGTATTTTGATTTCTAATTTTGTATTAGATTTGGTAAAAAATATACTGTACTTGTTGGACCAGTTGTCATGAATGACTTTTCAATAACTTTGAAGCATAGGTTTTTTTATTGCAATTTCCGGTGTGAGAAGGTATATCAGATTACAGAAAACATTTAGATAAAGGATGACACTGGACATACAGGCATACAGATTCTATGCAACTACATTGGATTCACAATTACATTGGTTAACAAACAAACAAAGGGGAATTACAATTTCACTCAACATTCACACACATGTACACGCATTCATCCACATGCATCCAAATATTACCATATCATTTTCTCCCTCCTTGGAGAAGCACCTCTTAGGCCAGACCCTGCTTTCCTGCAGCCTGCCAAACGCATAGTCCCAAAACTTCCATAACGCCATAACTTCAAAATGCTAAAATGCATCCTTTCCCTAAGCACAATGCCAAAGATCAGATCTCTGTTTTCCATACAGCAGAACCTGACTCCCTGCACAAAATCTAAGACTCCAAAAGCACACTTCTTCCTCTTCCCTTGAGAAAGAAGCCCCAAAGTGGCCAAATCATGCTTTTCCATAGTATATCTGACACTCTCCATAGGTACACTATTTCTCTCCTTCCCATGGAGCAGAGCATAGCAGGTGAACAGCGTCTCTTGGGCTGTGCGAAGCCGTGACTCCCACCGCTTGTCACTAAAAATTTAAAACCGTTCACTTGCTGCCACCAAAATATGTGAGGAAGTCTCCAAAATGAAATAATGGTGTAAAATCCCAAATAAATAGGATCACCACACAGATGTAATAAAGATTTGAGACTTCTAGCTTAAATTGCCACCATAATATAAGAGATATTGGTAAAAATGATCTCTGGTTATCCTTATCTGTGTTGTGAGGCACCTTGGGTAGTGTGGAATGCTCCAAACGTGGAAATCAGTGAAGGAGGCAAGTTTAAAACACAAAAAGAACAGGTTTATTGTTATCAGAGCGTAAATTGTTGCAAAATTAAACTGTTGAACTTGGCACATGCTTGATGGATACAAAATGGCTTGGTTGAGTTACATTAAGTCTTCCGATGTTACAATCCTTTAACTCTTTCTACAGTGAGGTACTTTATTATTTCAGTGTTCCCTATTGTGAATATTTACAACTGTTTGTCCTACACAGGATCAAACTAGCGATCTCCAGCCATTCACCACTGGGATCCCTAAACCTCTTTCTTGTTAGATTCTTTTCTACTCAAGCAATCTAACGAGTTTCCACCTTCAGCTTCCTAGCTGGAATAATATTCACAAAACCTAAGAACTAACTGAATTTACACTACTCCACAGAGCCTCCTTGACTCTGCTACTCTCCTCAGGGTCTCATCCGCCTGACTGAAAATAAACTGTCGCTTTCAAACCTTTTTTACCTAAGCTCCGCCCACCTCCTCTGGCTTGTCACCATGGCAACCTATCTCTCTCTCAGCTAGGCCCTGGCCACAATGTAAAGCCTAAACACAGTTTGAAACACAGTATAATGAACACTTCTCTACATTTATATTTAGGCATATGGAATATTCGTGGCAAGTTAGGAATATTCTGCTGATGTCGTCCCAAAGTTGTAAATTAATGATAGACGTCTTCCATCCTGGCTCCATCTCAGTTTCCTGGCCAGATGTTGATCTTCTTGATTGGTGTTGATCTTATGTTGACTTCCTTCTTAACATAAGGAATGTTGCAAACATTTCTGTTATCACTGTCCCAGTTCTTATCAGAGTTTCTCATTAGCAAATCCAGCAAGCAGGTAGTTAGTCATCGCAGGCCTTAATATTATACTGGTGTATCCAAAAATATTAATTCATACATCCTTCCTTTCTTCCATTCATTCCCATATATCATATTAAATCCACATTTATCAAATTTGCACATTGAATTTCTTATTACACAGTGGTTCCCAAACTTTGGTCCTATAAGTGGTTTTGACTTCAGTTCCCCAAATTCCTGACCATTGGACAAGTTCACTGGGGCTTGTGAGAGTTGAAGTGTAAAATAACTGAAGGACCAAAGTTTAGAAATCACTGTACTGGACTAAACAACTTCAGGGAAATATTCCAGTTTCTTAAGATATATTTGATCAACAGTTCTAATACTTTATTCATTCAGTTATTCACTAAAATACTTATATCCTGCCCTATGCCATGAAACAGCAGTGTGGCATACAAATAAAACCAATTTAAGAGAACTAACAAATTAAAACAAGGATAATTTCATTGCATATTAAAATATTTCACAATGTAAAATATTGTCCAAGAATGTATAACAGTTTTTTTGTTGGCTGTTGTGGTATTGCATTATTCTTGTGTTTTCTGCTGTAGGAACGGGATCTGCAACCATCACAGATGTACGAACTGCACTGTATCAGCCTCAGCCACAGCCTGCTCCATATGGACACTGCGTGACAGACAATGGCATGGTCTACTTTTTGGGAATGCAGTGGCTCAAGACTCAAGGGAGCCAACATATGCTTTGCACTTGTCTGGGCAATGGAGTCAGCTGTCAGGAAACAAGTATGGCACAAGTTTAATATCCATAGACACCTAAAATATCCTGGAGTTTAAAAGACAGTCATGCAAGCTTAAGCTAGAAGGACTGGATGGAATAGGATTGAATGGGGCAAGATCCTGAGCTGAGATTGAGTAAAGAGTTGATTTTCAAGCTGCCTTGGGATCATAGCTCAGGAGAATGCATCATACCTGGCTTGTTTCATAGTGCTATGCTTATTCCATAATATAATGGAGCTGATGAGCTTCAAGGGGCATATACTGACTTAGGTAGCCTAATTGTTTGACTGCTATATGAGTAAGCCCATAGCTCACCATATATTGCCATAAGAGGCAGTACATCACATCGGTGGGAAAAAGCCCATTGCATAGGTCAGTATTTTTCAAGTCATGATCTTCCAGGTACTTTGGAAGTTCAAAACACTTGGAAGACCAGAATCTGTGAATCACTAGCATAGGCAAAAAGAAGCTGCTACTTCCACTGCTACATTGGCACACATTCCAGAAGCTATGGTGCTTTTGGACCCAGTGCTATGTTGACTGTAGAGGTCCTCAAACTTTTTAAACTGAGGGCCAGGTCACAGTCCTTCAAACTGTTGGAGGGCCAGATTATAATTTGGAAAAAAATGAATGAATTCCTATGCACACTGCACATATCTTATTTGTAGTGCAAAAAATACTTTAAAACAATACAATAATTAAAATGAAGAACGATTTTAACAAATATAAATTTATTAGTATTTCAGTGTGGGCCTGCTTTTGGCTGATGAGATAGAACTATTGTTGTTATTGTGTGCTTTTGAGTCATTACAGACTAAGGTTGACCCTGAGTGAGGGCCGGGTAAATAACCTTGGAGGGCCACATCTGGCCCCCGGGCCTTAGTTTGAGGACCCCTGGTTTAGAGCATGGTTTGCTTGGGGAAAATTTTCTGTTTTCTCTCCAAGTCCAGCTCACTAACTACAACCAGCAGTCTGAGGCTGCTTCTACACTGCCATATAAAATCCAGATTATCTGCTTTGAACTGGATTATATGGCAGTGTAGATTCATATAATCCAGTTACAAGCAGATTATCTGGATTATCAGATTTGATAATCTGGATTATATGGCAGTGTAGAAGGGGCCTATGTTAAAGACATTTATAAAGGCTAGGTATTATTATCACTTAATGTCCCGGAGTTGCTCTAAGATGTAATAAAAGACCACATTCATCTCACATGAAAAGTGTTGCCTTATATGTGAAATGAGATGTCAGAACCATAATACAATCTTCTGTTTCATTTTTTTAGCTGTGACACAAACCTATGGTGGCAATTCTGATGGGGAACCCTGTGCCCTCCCCTTCACCTATAATGGGAGGACTTTCTACTCGTGTACCTCTGAAGGCCGCAACGATGGGACTCTTTGGTGCAGCACCAGCTCTAACTTTGATCAGGACCAGAAATACTCCTTCTGTACAGAACAGAATGGTAAATATTTTTTAAAAAAGTTTTTTTTTTGGGGATAAATCAAATGCTGGTTTTAGCAGGGAGAAAAGTATGGCAATGGAAGTACAGACCTGTAATTTAGAATTAATTAATACTTTTAATAGAGGTGATGGTTCATATGTTCTTTATACACACTGAAGATAATTTTGTACACAACATTTGGTAAACAATTTTGTGCATAAAACAAAGTTTGTACACAACGAACTATCAAAAACTCAAAGTATTACTAGGTTGTTGTAGGTTTTCCAAGCTATATGGCCATGTCCTTGAGGTAGTGAGGTAGAGGATGCTTGCCATAGATGCAGGCGAAACGTCAGGAGAAAATGCCTCTAGAACATGGCCATATAGCCCTGAAAACCTACAACAGTGTTTCTCAACTTGGGGGTTGGGACCCCTGAGGGGGTCGCAAGGAGGTGTCAGAGGGGTCACTGAAGAGCATCAGAAAACATAGTATTTTCTGTTGGTCATGAGGGGTTTTGTATGGGAAGTTTGGCCCAATTCTATCTTTGGTGGAGTTCAGAATGCTCTTGGATTGTAGGTAAACTAGAAATCCCAGCAACTACAACTCCCAAATGTCAAAGTCTATTTTCCCCAAACTTCACCAGTGTTCACATTTGGGCATATTGAGGATCCATGCCAAGTTTGGTCCAGATCCATCATTGTTTGAGTCCACAGAGCTCTCTAGATGTAGGTGAACTACAACTCCAAAACTCACGGTCAATGTCCACCAAACCCTTCCAGTATTTTCTGTTGGACGCGGGAGTTCTGTGTGCCGAGTTTGGCTCAATTCCATCATTCGTGGAGTTCAGAATTCTCTTTGATTGTAGGTGAACTATAAATCCCAGCAACTACATCACCTAAATGACAAAATCAACCCTCCCCCAACCCCACCAGCATTCAAATGTTGGTGTATCAGATATTTGTGCCAAATTTGGTCCAATGAATGAAAATACATCCTGTATATCAGATATTTTCATTATGATTCAAAACAGGAGCAAAATTACAGTTATGAAGTAGCAACGAAAATAATGTTGTGGTTGGGGGTCACCACGACATGAGAAACTGTACGAAAGGGTCACGGCATCAGGAAGGTTGAGAAGCACTGACCTACAACAACCCAGTGATTCTGGCCATGAAAGTCTTCGACAATACATCATTGTATTACTATCTCAGGGGCCTTCCACACAGCCATATAACCCAGAATATCAAGGCTTTCTTTGGATTATCTGAGTCAACACTACCATATAATCTAGTTTAATGCTAATTTAATACAGCTGTGTGGAAGGGGCCTGAGACGCCCTTGTGAACAATTGTGGATTTTAAAGTAATTAAGAATTCCAGATAAGGGATAGTCAACCTGTTGTAATTTAAGACACCGACCTCACTACCTCTGAGGATATTTGCCATAGATGCAGGCAAAACGTCAGGAGAGAATGCCTCTAGAACATGGCCATATAGCCCGAAAAAACCTACAACAACCCTTAAGACACATGATTGCACTTTTGAAATATATTATTAGCATTTGTTTATTGGCACTCAGATTGTCAGGTGCATCTAAGAAATCCTCTGTGCCTATCCCCAACACATGTGTCTTCAAATGTTCTATATGGCTTTCCCATCCATGTTTCACTTTGACCCTCAGCTGTTGGGGAAATTGTGCTGCCAGAGTTCAGTTTTCCAATTGTGCTCAGCAAAGGAAGCTTGTTCTTCAGGAATGATTGGCTAAAGAAAGCAAGGATTTTAAATTTTCCTGTTGTTTTCTTCCACTGTGTCTCATCAGCCAGTCCCATGGTTTAAATGTGGAAATATGACTTCCGTTAAATATATGTACACCATTATTTTAGATCGAGTGTGTCCTTCCTACCGTTGTAGATGAGGAGGGCATTGACTGGAAGTTAAGTGGGTAGATCAAGCTGTGCTCTGCATCTTTTCCCTGTATGTCTCTGGCTTATGTTTGTCGTTTCTTTCTTTTTCTTTAGTCCAGTTAGACAGATATCCATATTAGGCCAGAGAGGAAAATGCCTCCTGCGTATGACTCGTGCAATGTTCTGACGTCACTCTCTTAAATCCTGAATCCCATATATAGCAGAAACAGGCATCTCCGGGGCCTGTTCTTTCAAAGCATTTTGCCTCCTTTAGAGATAAGGAGGGGAGAAATTCACATTTCATCAGGGATCTGTTTGTATAGCCAGACAGTCTACGGGTGAATCTGTTTCCTGAAAACTCCCATTGTATGGCAGAAACTGTCTGTCCCAATAATGTTAAGGGGTGTGTGTACGTGCGTGCGTGTGTGTGTGTGTGTGTGTGTGTGTGTGTGTGTGTATATATATATATATATGTGTGTGTGTGTGTGTGTAGAGAGAGAGTTTCTATCAATCTTATATAAATAAAAATGTAATGTTCGTTTGTGGGATTAACAGAATTCAAAAACCACTGGGGGAATTGACACCAAATTTGGACACAATACACCTAACAACCCAATGTATGTCCTTCACTCAAAAAAACACTGAAAAACACAGCAAAGGGACTTAAAAAGGCCCTAAAAGCTAAATGACGAAAAGCTAAATAACAATATAGAAAAAAGGGAAGAAAGAGGGAGGGAAGGGGAGGAAAGAAAGAAAGGGGGAGGGAAAGAAAGAAGGAAAGGGAGGAGGAAGCATGGAAGCAAAGAGAGAAGGAAGGAAGGAAAGAGGTAGAAAAGGAAGAAAGGAGAGAAAGAGGAGGGAAAGAAAAAGGGGGAAGGAAGGAAAGTTAGAGAAGGAAGGAAGGAGAGAAGGAAAGTAAAAGGGGAAAGAAGGAAGGAAAGAGGGAGTGAAGGAAGGGGGGAAGATGTAGAGAAAGAGGGAGGGAAGGAAAGAAGGAAAGAGAGAAGGAAGAAAAGAAAGACAGCAGAAGAGAAAGAAAAAGTGGGAAGGAAGGAAAGAGATAGAGAAGGAAGGAAGAAGAGATGGAAAGACGGCAAGGAAGGAAGGAGAGAAAGAGAGAAGGTTGGCCACAGCAAAGCGTGGTACAGCTAGTATAAATAAAAATGTAATGTTCATTTGTGGGATTAACCTAAGTCTAAAACCACTGGATGAATTTACACCAAATTTGGACACAATACACCTATCAGGCCAACAAGTGACCATAACTCATCAAAACACTGAAAAACTCAGTGAAGGGGGCTTAAAAAGCCAAAAAATAAAATAAAAATACATTACATTACAACGTATGTGCATAGCCACGCAAATACACATATGCACAAATATATATGCACACACAAAACACATATACACAGACTGGGCCACAGCAATGTGTGGCAGGGGATGGCTAGTAGGAAATAAAATTAGTGCTGAACTACCTCAAACAGGGGAGTGAATTCTCCCTATCTGAAAATTGATCCAGATGCAGGGTTCTTGATTATTTGAATTTGTATCCTATTCCCCCTCCCCTTTTAATTCTTTCTGATTTTCATTTTTTTCCCTTCCACAAAAGAGGGAAAATAGCTAAGAATGAAGCAACAAAAATACATGAATGTTTTTTTGGGCTCTAAATAGAAAGGTAAAGGTTTCCCCTTGACATTAAGTCTAGTTATATCTGACTCTAGGGGTTGGTGCTCATCTCCATTTCTAAGCCAAAGAGCCAACATTGTCCATAGATGCCTCCAAGGTCATGTGGCGGCATGAGTGCATGGAGTGCCGTTACCTTTCCACAGAAGTGGTACCTATTGATCTACTCACACTTGCATGTTTTCGAATTGCTAGGTTGGCAGAAGCTGGACCTAACAGTGGGAGTTCACCCTGCTCCCCAGATTCAAACTGCCAACCTTTTGGTCAGCAAGTTCAGCAGCTCAGCGCTTTATTCCTCTGCGCCACTGAGGGCTCGAAATATGGTTACCTAGTCTGACCTTTGAAAACATGCAAATGTGAGTTGATCAATAGGTCTCCCCCCCCCCTTTGCAGGAAGGTAACGGCACTCCTTGCAGTCATGCCAGCCACATGACCTAAGAGGTGTCTATGGACAATGCTGGCTCTTCGGCTTAGAAATGGAGATGAGCGCTACACCCCAGAGTCGGACACAACTGGACTTAATGTCAGGGGAAGACCTTTACCTTTACCTAATCTGACCAAAATTGTGAAATCTTGCACAAATCTGAACTTTTCCTCTTTTTGTGCAATAGTTTAATGTTACAACAATTTCTATAGCAGGAGACCAAAATGAATCACTCTCCCTTTGTAGACAGTTTCCTCATAGGTATTCCTTCTTCATGCCTGGGTTGCTTTTTTGACAAAGTATTAGACTACTCTAGTTTTTTTGGGCATCTCATTTTGTTCTGAACTTCTTCACTTTGCTTGAGTTGGAGATACTTATTTTGCTACTTTTTTGATCCATCCCAATTTCTTGCTTTTTTGCACCTGTTTTTCTCCCCCTTTGATCTTTTTTTAAAAAAGACGTTGCTTTTAGTGGCGAGGAGTGGCATTGATTATAACGTTGCAATACGAAGGGCCTCATGGAAGTAGGGAAATCCTTAAAATAGAACCACATAAGCACATGTCTCATTTTTAGCAACTATTTAAAACCATTAGGGTTGTAATTAAGGCTGTAAGTTAAGACTTATTCAAAATGCAACGGAACAGTTCTGCTCTCTCTGCAATGTACTCAACACTTCTTTGATTTCTCATCAGATTTCTCTCATTGAAAGAATTTGAGTAAACTTGCTTATTCTCTAGCAACTACTTTCCTCCCCATGTTGGAGAAGCAGCAAAGATTGCCCTTAAATGGGTCAGTCATCTGGGACAGGTTAGCTACAGCCCGCAACCTAAAATAGCTAGAGCATTGCTTTTTTTTCTTTGCCCACCTTAAGGAAAAAAAGGATCAAGTACAAGAAAGACATTTCCCAGTGGCACATCTGCTGCTCTGTTTTTGTAAAAGTATGGTTATCCTTGATCTGTTTTTCATCTAGTTTCTAACTTAGAAACTCTCGATATTGAAAAGAAGAGTGAGGCGCTTTAAAAAGGCCCAGCTCTAAAAGCATGTGAGAAAACAGAAACAAGATGTGAAGAAAATCTGTCTGACCCAGTGAATGCGCAGCTGCCATCTTTGGCTTCAGCTTTGAAGCTGAGTTTTGTTTGCAACGTATGCCAGGGAAAACATTTTTCATCATGCGTTTAACATACACATGGAAAACTGCTTTTGTTTGTACAACTCAGTTGTATGTATAGCCATATTTATTTGCAGTCTTGCTCTATAATTAACCCTCACAATGACCTTGTATATTGCTGTGAAGCTCTAGGCTAGCGTTTCTCATCCTGGAGGAGGTCACAAGGGAGTGTCAGAGGGGTCGCAAAGACCATCAGAAAACACAGTATTTTCTGTTGTTCATGGGGGTTCTGTATGGGAAGTTTGACCCAATTCTATCGTTGGTGGGTTCAGAATGCTCTTTGATTGTAGGTGAATTATAAATCCCAGCAACTACAACTTCCAAGCGTCAAGGTCTATTTTTCCCAAATCCCACCAGTGTTCACATTTGGGCATATTGAGTATTCATGCCAAGTTTGGTCCAGATCTATTATTGCTTGAGTCCAAAGTGCTCTCTGGAGGTAGGTGAACTACAACTCCAAAACTCAAAGTCAATGCCCGACAAACACTTCCAGTATTGTTGTGGGAGTTCTGTGTACCAAGTTTGGTTCAGTTCCATCATTGGTGGAGTTTGGAAAGCTCTCTGATTGTAGGTTAACTATAAATTCTAGCAACTCCCAAATGACAAAATCAATCCTCCCCAACCTCACCAGCATTCAATTTATTTTTATTTATTTTTTTATTTAGAACATTTATATACCGGTCTTCTCAACCTCCGCAGAGGGGCTCAGTCCAGTTCACAACAAAAGATAGACAATAATTTAAAAACATCACATCCCATAATTCACTAAAACATTAAAATACAATCATATAAGTTGTCAAAATGAAGTCACAATTCATCGCCATCCGTCCGTGTGGTCAAGAATTATTGACTCATTCATCAAATGCTAAATTCCAGAGCCAGGTTTTCACCAGTTTTCTAAAAGTCAGGAGAGAAGGGGCAGTTCTAATCTCCAGTGGGAGAGAGTTCCAGAACCGGGGGGCCACCACCGAGAAGGCCCTGTCCCTCGTCCCCACCAGACGCACTTGCAAGGGTGGTGGGACCAAGAGCAGGGCCCCTCCGGAAGATCTTAATAACCTTGATGGTTCATAGGGGAGAATCTGTTCAGACAGGTAAACTGGGCCGGAGTCGTTTAGGGATTTATAGGTCAACACCAGCACTTTGAATTGTGCTCGGAAGCTAATTGGCAGCCAGTGGAGCTGGCGCAACAGAGGAGTGTATCGAGTATTTTGTGTCAAATTTGAAATGAAAATTAAATGAAAATCCATCCCGTATATCAGATACATTACGATTCATAACAGTCACAAAATTAAGAGTTATAAAGTAGCAACGAAAATAATTTTATGCTTGGGGGATCACCACAACTGTATTAAAGGGTCACGGCATTAGGAAGGGTGAGACCCACTGCTCTAAGCCATTAATATCGGTCCAAGTTTTACCGCCTCCATGCTTGGAGAACAGTCTGTTTTGTCCCAATCTGTTTTGTCCCAACACAGAAATGCAACTTTTAGAGGTAATTCACATGTGTGGGATGCATCAGGAAAGAAATTGTTTGTTTTTCCTACATTGCCAACATGAAGCGAGCTAGCTATAACTTTTACAAACACCAGAATACTAGTGACAGGAAAAAAGAGGGGAGGAAGCCACCAGGTGCACAGGAAGAGTGTGAGTCCTAAATACACAAAGCCGAAATAAATGGTTGCTATCTCAACAGGCTATAAAATGAATGAAATAAATTATGAAATAAATGGTTGCTATCTCAACAGGCTAGGATGTGGCTATAATGGTTTTTTCATAAATATCAACGTTTTCATTTTAAAATAAGCATCAACAGTAATATGATTCTGGCAAATTGCAACATACACATTGAGACCAAAACTGCCAGGTCTTACACCTAGAGACTGGATTCAGCATAGTAGTAACATGTGGTGTTATGTATGATCTTTGTAAAGATGAGGTTGTGGTCAACTGGTGTAAGCCCAGGACCAGATCTGAGTAGCCCTAACTCTAGCCAAGTAGTGTGGAGATGTATTGTATTTCATGTCAAGATATCCATTGTGCTGTGTGGAGAATACATTGTTGGGGTTCAAAAGCAGATCTCCAAATCCAAGGAACTGGATTGCATGCCCTGGAGATATATCTTTTTGTTATCAAATGTCTCATTGACCCAGATGGTATGACAACTTGTCGTGGAGATGATTTTGTGCGTGCAACACTTTGTACATGAATCCATCTTAGTCACAATCCTAACTTTGAATGGCTATTGTTTTCTTACAGTCTTGATTCAAACACGTGGTGGCAACTCAAATGGCGCTTTGTGCCATTTCCCTTTCCTCTACAACAACCGTAATTACACTGATTGTACTTCTGAGGGGCGGAGAGACAATATGAAATGGTGTGGAACCACACACAACTACGATGGTGACCAGAAGTTTGGATTTTGCCCCATGGCTGGTATGTTGAATTTTTGTGAGAGTCCATAGTAAAAATGTGTAACTCCTGTTGCGTTTTAGGTGTATGATACTCTGTGGACATTAATTATGACATTAATTATGATTCAGCAGTTTCTGTAAAGTTAGATGTTCACTTCAAGTGAATTCAAGCAATGTTCTGTTCTGGAATCAAATTCTGCAGATGCCCATCCTTTGGATGGTTTAGATTTAGAGAATGTTGAGACTCAAAAGTGTCAAAAAAATTAAATTCAATGTTTTGGTCTCCTCAAAATGGAAATTAAATGTAAAAATGTAATGTATGTATGATTTACAGTTAGGAAAGTTTAGGAAAGTTTTCTTAAGCAAGGTATCCTTAAGTGATTTGCCTTCTTTTGTACATAGCCCACAACACCTGATATTCCCTAGCAGCCTCTGTAGATTCAACAACTAATCCTTGCCATTGATATATGTAGCTTATTAATGGTGTATGTAGTATTTTAATGATATATTTCACATTGTATTTAATAATCTGGTTTTTATGTATTATTTATTTATGTGAAAGATCAATGGCCTAAGCCAGGGGTCCTCAAACCTTTTAAACAGAGGGCCAGGTCACAGTCCCTCAAACTGTTGGAGGGCCAGATTATAATTTTTAAAAATACATGAATGAATTCCTATGCACACTGTACATATCTTATTTGTAGTGCAAAAACACTTAAAAACAATACAATAATTACCCATAAAATGAAGATCAATTTTAACAAATATAAACTTATTAGTATTTCAATGGAAAGTGTGGGCCTGCTTTTGGCTGATGTGATAGGATTGTTGTTGTGTGCTTTCAAGTCGTTTCAGACTTAGGTTGACCCTGAGCGAGGGCCGGGTAAATTACCTTGGAGGGCCGTATCCGGCCCCTGGGCCTTAGTTTGAGGACCCCTGGTGTATGTAGTATTTTAATGCTATATTTCACATTGTATTTAATAATCTGGTTTTTATGTATAGTTCACCATGTATTGATTTCTTGATTTGTAACATATGAAAATAAATCAAACACGACTGAGCAAACCTTCCTCTGTATTACGTTCTTGAACAGCTCATGAGGAGATCTGCACAACCAATGAAGGTGTTATGTACCGTGTTGGAGACCAGTGGGACAAGCAGCACGAAATGGGTCATATGATGAAATGCACTTGTGTAGGAAATGGTCGTGGAGAGTGGACCTGTGTCGCTTATTCCCAGCTCAGAGGTATTTTAGTTTCCTTTTGCTTCTATGCTCAGTCAGATGCATCTAGTGGTGTGGCTGTTGAAATTGTCCACATGCTTGTGGATTTCAATGGCTTCTCTGTGTAGTCTGACATGGTGGTTGTGAGAGTGGTCCAGCATTTCTGTGTTCTCAAATAATATGCTGTGTCCAGGTTGGTTCATCAGGTAATATGCTATGGCTGACTTCTCAGGTTGAGGTAGTCTGCAGTGCCTTTCATGTTCCTTGATTCGTGTTTGGGCAATCCTGCGTTTGGTGGTCCCTATGTAGACTTGCCCACAGCTGCATGGCACACGGTAGACTCCTGCAGAGGTGAGAGGATCCCTCTTGTCCTTTGCTGAACGTAGCACACAACCCATTGTATGCTAATCAAGGTGGTCAGTTGAAACATTCACACCTAGCTCCAGCAGACAAGAGTCCTTTGTCTCACCCTGGTCATTCCACAGATATATAAACCCTTTTTCCTAGTTCCAACCTCACTACCTCTTAGGGTGCTTGCCATAGATGCAGGCGAAACGTCAGGAGAGAATGCCTCTAGACCATGGCCATACAGCCCCAAAAAACCTACAACAACCCAATCCCACATTATCTGAGTATCACTCGGACACACGTCTGTGTGGAATGGCCCAAAGTGATCTTTTTTAGAAGGGACCTGTGAAGGAAAACTAAGGAAGAATACGGTGGAAAAGGTTTCTGGGCATATGGTCAGAGAAGTGCTTAGGCAGCATGAAAGAAAAAGGAGACTTCAAAGGGAACAGGCATTTGCTCATTCTGCATTTGGCTCACACTGTGTTTGGAAATGGAGGTGTAAGTTTGAAGAAAAAACTCCAGAGCTACTGCTGAAAGTACACATAACTTATAGGGACAGTCTGCCTCCAGTGCTTCTCATGAATTTGATTCAGCTCAGAAACTTTCCAGATCCCTCTACCAGAAGTTTCTGTACAATCTCTAATTTTGTGGTTTCCTTAATCTGCAATCATAAAGTTCCTACAATGTGATCTCTTCAGTGGTCATTCCTGGTCCTGAAAAAATGCTTTCTGTGTCTACAGCCACAACTACCAGAATCCCAAAGTAGCGTGGTCCATTTATCTTCTTTTTAAATGTTATTATTATTATTATTATTATTATTATTATTATTATTAATTTCTCTCATTTTTATCCTGTCCTTCTCAACTTAAAGGGGGACTCAGGACGGCTTACAACGGGCCTCGTTACAAAGCCATTCCATAACAAATTACAGTAATTAAAACCACAATTAAACATAAAAACATAATTAACAATACATAAGCCATTATTAAAACAGTAAAACAGTCCCATCAGCCATATCATCGTTCCAGTCACATTCCCTTAAAGTGCTGCTTGCATCTGTTGTCCAAAAGCCTGGTCCCAAAACCATGCCTTTAATTTCTTTCGAAAAGCTAGGAGGGAGGTGGCCGATCTTACCTCAGTTGGGAGTGTGTTCCATAGGCGGGGGGGGGGGGGCACTGCCGAGAAGGCCCTGTCTCTCATCCCTGCCAGGCACATTTGTGCTGTTGATGGGAGTGAGAGCAGAGCCTCCCAGGATTATCTATCTTGGAAAGTTTATTTAAACATTAAAGTTTCTTTAAACACCACACTAATGTGGAAGCTGTTAGTTATACTTAAGAGAAGCTAATTAGAAACATTGGAGGTAAATTTCAGGCAAAAATTGGTATGATAAGAAACAAAGATGGCAGGGACCTAACAGAAGCTGAAGAGATCAAGAGAAGGTGGCGAGACTATACAAAAGATCTGTATAGGAAGGATAATAATATTGAGGATAGTTTTGACGGTGTGGTGAATGAATTAGAACCAGACATCCTGAGGAGTGAGGTTGAATGGGCCTTAAGAAGCATTGCTAACAACAAGGCAGCAGGAGACGACGGGATCCCAGCTGAACTGTTTAAAATCTTAAAAGATGATGCTGTCAAGGTGATGCATGCCATTTGCCAGCAAATATGGAAAACACAAGAATGGCCATCAGACTGGAAAAAAAATCAACTTATATCCCCATACCAAAAAAGGGAAATGCGAAAGACTGCTCAAACTTCCGTACAGTGGCCCTTATTTCTCATGCCAGTAAGGTAATGCTCAAGATCCTGCAAGGAAGACTCCAGCAATACATGGAGCGAGAGTTGCCAGATGTTCAAGCTGGGTTTAGAAAAGGCAGAGGAACGAGAGACCAGATTGCCAATATCCGCTGGATAATGGAGAAAGGCAGGGAGCTTCAGAAAAACATCTACTTCTGCTTCATTGACTATTCTAAAGCCTTTGACTGTGTGGATCATAATAAATTGTGGCAAGTTCTTAGTGGGATGGGCATCCCAAGCCACCTTGTCTCTCTCCTGAGGAATCTGTACAAGGACCAAGTAGCAACAGTAAGAACTGACCACGGAACAACAGACTGGTTCAAGATTGGGAAAGGAGTACGGCAAGGCTGCATCCTCTCACCCAACCTTTTTAACTTGTATGCAGAACACATCATGCGATGTGCGGGGCTTGATGAATGCAAAGCTGGGGTGAAAATTGCTGGAAGAAACATTAACAACCTCAGATATGCAGATGACACCACTCTGATGGCCGAAAGCGAGGAGGAGCTGAGGAGCCTTCTAATCAAGGTGAAAGAAGAAAGCGCAAAAGCCGGGTTGCAGCTAAACGTCAAAAAAACCAAGATTATGGCAACAAGAATGATTGACAACTGGAAAATAGAAGGAGAAACCGTGGAGGCCGTGACAGACTTTGTATTTCTAGGGGCAAAGATTACTGCAGATGCAGACTGTAGCCAGGAAATCAGAAGACGCTTACTTCTTGGGAGGAGAGCAATGTCCAGTCTCGATAAAATAGTGAAGAGTAGAGACATCAGACTGGCAACAAAGATCCGCCTAGTCAAAGCCATGGTATTCCCTGTAGTCACCTACGGATGTGAGAGCTGGACCTTAGGGAAGGCTGAGCGAAGGAAGATCGATGCTTTTGAGCTGCGGTGTTGGAGGAAAGTTCTGAGATTGCCTTGGACTGCGAGAAGATCCAACCAGTCCATCCTCCAGGGAAATAAAGCCCAACTGCTCACTGGAGGGAAAGATACTAGAGACAAAGTTGAAGTACTTTGGCCACTTCATGAGGAGACAGGAAAGCCTAGAGAAGACAATTATGCTGGGGAAAGTGGAAGGCAAAAGGAAGAGGGGCCGACCAAGGGCAAGATGGATGGATGGCATCCTTGAAGTGACTGGACTGACCTTGAGGGAGCTGGGGGTGGTAACGGCCGACAGGGAGCTCTGGCGTGGGCTGGTCCATGAGATCACGAAGAGTCGGAGACGACTGAACGAATGAACAACAACAACAATATTTTGAGGAAGACATTAGAGAATGCTAAGGGATCTCATGAATGAGAGATCTTTATGGTTCCTAGCACTGATTTGCTCCTTGAATTTTAAGCTCTAAAGAGCAGTAGTGACCCGAACAAAGATTTTGGAGAATCTGGGACTTGCTTGTCTTTCACATTTAAGTCAAACAACTGGATCAGAGGATGAAAACAAAGAGAGAAAAAACAAGACATAACAAAAGCTTGAGTAATCGGATTATTTGCATATGATCCTACAAATCTCCATTGAGTAGTCTGTGTGTGAATAATCATATATACATTAAAAAAAACTTGTCAGGTGAAGTAACAGTCTTATAGCATTGTTTACCTTTTTTCTGCACAGGCATTCCTCAATTAATGGAGCCTTTGTCATAAAAGCTTCATATTTCTAAGTCTTCTTATGTCCACTGAACATAATTTTCCTTGTCCTGTGCAGGAGCGCAGTATAGTTCAACAGAGCAATCTGTGATATAAATATATATATATTTTACAACAGATCAATGTATAGTTGATGAAATCACCTACGATGTTAATCAGACTTTCCACAAGCGTCATGAAGAAGGACATATGCTGAACTGTACCTGCTTTGGTGAAGGCCGGGGGAGATGGCAGTGTGACCCTGTTGGTGAGTTCATCCTTCCCTGATTACTGAGACTTCTCTTAGGCTGTGAGATGATTTATTAATTAATTAATTATTAATTAATTATTAAGATTTAGATTAATTTACTGGAGCAAAGTAAAACATTACCAAAAGATTGTCTTCTCTGGTCAATGTCTTATAAAAGTTCTTGCAAAATGTGTTGGTTTGTGCTAATTCAGAAGTGGAGGAAAAACTGCAGATTGGGAATGAATGCAGTATCCATGTCTGGTCATGGGCCTCTACTTGTTGCTCTCCAATGCAGCAATTTGGGTTCTGTTGGCTTTCATGGAAGGTGCTTTTCAAGCCTACTGCACTGCAAGGAAAGTCCTTTGCAATCTCTTTGTCTTATTCTGGAAGGATTCTAGGGCAGGCATCTCAAACATAGTTTGAAACATTTTGTCAATGGGTCTTTTGATCCCTTGAACTTGAAAAGAGCCAAGGACAGCTATAACAAATATTATCCTACCCGAGGCTTAACCTGTTTCATTTGGCGGCCTTTTTCTGTACTTTTCTAGGGCAAAGGAATAATTCTTTTCTGAGCAAAGAAGGTCTCTAGCTTCTGATGGAGTGATAAGGCCTAGATGTTTGATCTCTTGATTATTTAATCCCTGGAAAGTTTTATTTTCTCTGGGAAGAGTTCAGAATGAACTATTAGGTTTCCCTTTGTTTGAAATATGTTTTCACACATTTATTCAACTGTGTCCTACACAGGCTGAATTAATGTGAAACTATTGTAAATGACTCTCTGAGATTAAGACAAGTTAGAAGGTTCTGTAAAACAGATTTACTCAGTTTTTGCCATGCATTTTGTTCCAAAATAGGTCAGATCTGGCTGTAGTTAGCTTCCTGCTCAATGGATTGCTAATAATAAAGCTTTCAAATGAATTCCATAAAGGTAAATTAGTTCTGGTATATATAATTTTATTAAAAAAATCTTCTGCTCTTAGTGTAGCCTGGAATTGGGGATATCATGATATGCTGCCATATAATCCAGATTATCAAAGCAGATAATCCACATTATCTGCTTTTAACTGGATTATATGAGTCTACATTGCCGGATTTTATATGGCAGTGTAGAAGGGGACTGAGAATAATGGGACCATGATTCACAAAGATTTGCATGGTGTTTCCTGGCATCAGTACAATGACTTTGGGTTCCCCACTTAATCTAGGGATTCAGGACTGGCAGCACCCCAACTGTATTTAAGTGCTTTGTTCATAGGTAAGATAAATACATGATGTGAGTAGGAGTGATGAGTTTACTACTTCTAACTCCCTAGCACCATTCTTGTTACATTCTTCATGTGAACAGCAGATTTCTGCAAAGGAACGTGTCCTCTGTTCAGACAGGTTCTCCTTGAGATTCTGGTCTCCTGGAAAAAGCAAGATTCTAATAACTTACTTTACTTTTATATTGGGACACCAATTTAATGGTAAGCCAGGCAAACCCATCCTCAAACAACCTGCCCATTTTCCGCTTGGATGTTTGTTTTCAGATCAGTGCCAAGATTCAGAAAGCCAGACCTTCTACCAGATTGGAGATTCCTGGGAGAAGCATGTTCATGGTGTCAGATACCAGTGCTACTGTTATGGACGTGGTATTGGAGAATGGCACTGCCAGCCTCTAAGTGCATATCAAGGTAGGAGTCCTAAGTGGGGTTACACTTTCTAATATAAAAAACAATCCACAAATATGATTCAGACTTTCTCTTTTGAACAGTTTTGCTTCTTCTCTGTGATTTCATGTGGAAAAAATGTGCCTAGATTCTTGCCTCTGACCTAGAATTATGTTTTCTGATCTTCATATTTTTGTGTCCATCATATTTCTAACAAGAGAGGGAGAGGAGAGGAACCATTTTATTTATCATTAGTCGTCCCCTGCCACATGTTGCTGTGGCCCACATGGGGGTTCTGTGTGGGAGGTTTGGCCCAATTCTATCATTGGTGGGGTTCAGAATGCTCTGTGATTGTAGGTGAACTATAAATCCCAGCAACTACAACTCCCAAATGTCAAGATTCTTTCCCCCCAAACTCCACCAGTGTTCACATTTGGGCATATTGAGTATTTGTGTAGAGTTTGGTCCAGATCCATAATTGTTTGAGTCCACAGTGATCTCTGGATGTAGGTGAATTACAACTCCAAAATCAAAGGACACTGCCCACCAAACCCTTCCAGTATTTTCTGTTGGTCATGGGAGAACTGTGTGCAAAGTTTGGTTCAATTCCATCGTTAGTGGGGTTCAGAATGCTCTTTGATTGTAGGCGAACTATAAATTCCAGCAATTTCAACTCCCAAATGACAAAATCATTTTTTTGAGTGAAGGACATACATTGAGTTGTTAGGTGTCTTGTGTCCAAATTTGGTGTCAATTCGTCCAGTGGTTTTTGAGTTGTGTCAATCCCACAAACTAACATTTTTATTTATATACATATCAAAAGCGAATTGAGGGTACAGTTGTAATGTATTTTTTTTAAACTCAGAAAGCTTAAAAACTTGGCATTATATTAAATTTCCTTTGAGCAGTAGCTTGCCACTTGGAGTGCCTCTGGTGTTGCTGTAAGAAAGTCCTCCATTGTGCATGTGGCAGGGCTCAGGCTGCTTTGTAATAGGTGGTCTGTGGGCACAACCAGAAATAGAGGAACTGAGATGTCATCAACCATTCACATCCCATCATGCTCCTTGTACATATCAATCTTTCTAATTTATATGGTTTCCACCAAAGTACTTATGTCTTGGTAATATATTTTTATATCAATATCATGGTAACCAATACAGAACTACCTCTGAGGATGCTTGCCATAGATGCAGGCGAAATGTCAGGAGAGAATGCCTCTAGAACATGGCCATATAGCCTGAAAAAACCTACAACAACCCAGTGATTCCGGCCATGAAAGCCTTCAACAATACTATGCAGAGCTTTTTATCAGTTTTCAAATTATATCAGAACAAACATTTCCTTCTTATTTATTTATCGTATCAGGAGCAAGCCAAACAGATGTATTGCATTTTTTAACAAACAAACAAAACTCAAAGTTTGCAAGCTTGGTAGTTGATTAAATGTCTTTTGACCAGTAGCTGGCCACTTGGAGTGCCTTTGGTGTTGCTATAAGAAGGTCCTCCATTGTGCATGTTGCAGGGCTCAGGTTGCATCGCAGCAGATGGTCTGTAGTTGGCTCTTCTCCACACTCGCATGTCGTGGATTTTTAATGTATCTAGCCTGGATTGTTTTTTTTTTAAAATCTTCTTACTTTTTATTTCAAAATCTACCTCTTAGAGATGTGGACTTTTACCCATGGCAGTGTTTTAGGCCTCTTAGAATCATAGAGTTGGAAGAGACCTCGTGGGCCATCCAGTCCAACCCCCTGCCAAGAAACAAGAAAATTTCATTCAAATACACTGCCAGATAATCCAGGTTATCAAAAAGGGATATTGTGGGTTTTATACAACTGTGCAGAAGGGGCCTTAGTGCTTTCAAAAGTCCCAGGAATCATGAAGGAATAAAATATAAAACCTCATGGGTTGGATTTCCCTTCAAGAACTTCTGCTAGAATTTAAAATTTGAATGTATTGTCGAAACCATAATTACTGGTTTGTTGTGTGTTTTCTGGGCTATATGGCCATGTTACAGAAGCATTCTCTCCTGACGTTTCGCCAGCATCTTCAGAGGTTGCCTGCCATAGATGCAGGTGAAACATCAGGAGAGAATGCTTCTGGAACATGTCCATTTAAAAGTTGATCATCTGCTGCTTGTGCTTCTACTCCTTGGCTCAGTTAATTGTTAACTATTTTCCATGGACACTTGTTTCTTATTTCAGTTTTGTATATTTGGACAGGTTTTTGGGAAAAGTTATAAAATATTGTGAATTGCCATATTCTAGTTTTGTAGTGGAAACATGTTTGGCTCACTGAGCTTGTACCTCTATGAGCTGCTACTTATATTTGTGGTATGCAATACCTGATGTGCTCTGTCTCCAAACAAAATGTTTTAACCATCCTATCCATCAGGTTCCAGGAATTCTCTGTGGACATGGTCAATATGAGCTTGTTTGTTTGTTCAGTTTCCAACTAGAAGCACATACATTGATAAGGGAAGCACTTGGTTAACCTTTGCACTTGGAAAATACATTTGCAGTGGTTGTTTTTAGTTTTTAGACTTCACAAATGAACACAGTACAGGCATCCCTCAAGTTACACACAAGATAGGTTCTGTAGGTTTGTTCTTAAGTTGAATTTGTTTGTAAGTCAGAAGAGATACATGACCAGTATCTGGCCACTTGGAGTGCCTCTGGTGTTGCCGCAAGAAGGTCCTCCATTGTGCATGTAGCAGGGCTCAGGTTGCATTGCAGCAGGTGGTCAGTGGTTTGCTCTTCTCCACACTCGCATGTCGTGGATTCCACTTTGTAGCCCCATTTCTTAAGATTGGCTCTGCATCTCGTGGTGCCAGAGCGCAGTCTGTTCAGCGCCTTCCAAGTCGCCCAGTCTTCTGTGTGCCCAGGGGGGAGTCTCTCATCTGGTATCACCCACGGATTGAGGTGCTGGGTTTGAGCCTGCCACTTTTGGACTCTCGCTTGTTGAAGTGTTCCAGCGAGTATCTCTGTAGATCTAAGAAAACTATTTCTTAATTGAAGTCGTTGACGTGCTGGCTGACACCCAAACAAGGGATGAGCTGGAGATGTCGCTGCCTTGGTCCTTTCACTATTGGCTGCTACTTCCTGGTGGATGTCAGGTAGTGCAATACCAGCTAAACAGTGTAATTTTTCCAGTGGTGTAGGGCGCAAACACCCCATGATAACGTGGCACATCCACTGTTTTAGTGTGGTGAGATGTGTTCCACACTGGGCATGCGTACTCAGCAGCAGAGTAGCATAGCGCAAGGGCAGATGTCTTCACTGTGTCTGGTTGTGATCCCCAGGTTGTACCAGTCAGCTTTCGTATGATATTGTTTCTAGCACCCACTTTTTGCTTGATGTTCAGGCAGTGCTTCTTGTAGGTCAGAGCACGGTCCAGAGTGACTCCCAGGTATTTGGGTGTGCTGCAGTGCTCCAGTGGGATTCCTTCCCAGGTAATCCTCAGAGCTCGGGATGCTTGTTTGTTCTTAAGGTGAAAGGCACATGTCTATGTTTTAGATGGATTAGGGATCAGATGGTTTTCCCTGTAATAGGCAGTAAGGGCAACTAGGGCTTCGGAGAGCTTCTTTTCAACCATCTCAAAGCTCCCTGCTTGAGCGGTAATGGCACGATCATCAGCATAGATGAAGCTCTCTGTCCCTTCTGGCAGTGGCTGGTCATTTGTGTAGATGCTGAACATGGATGGAGCAAGCACGCTGAGGCAGGCCGTTTTTTCTTTCTGTTTTTTTCTTTCTGTTTCTTCCTTCTGAAAACAGATTCTTGCTATTATCAGGAAGACCTAGGCAGCACATCTGAAATAATGAGAATAAGTGTCTAGTTTGTAAGTTGCATCTTCTGGAATAGATTTAATTATTCCAAAGGTAATGCCAGACTAAAAAAAGTAACACATTCTGGTATATATGGAAGGAAAGCAAAATAGCATCCAAACACTTGGGTTTCTTTGGTTAGATTTTGCAATGATACTTGCCAAGCCAAAGTTGATTCTTATCTAACTGTTAAAACAACATCTCATGGAGCCATGTGAAATATATATGTACCATTAGAGTTAGATTTGAAAAGTACTGTAAGTGAGACAGTCAAGTCTTTGAGAGTCTCTTTGGGAGCTGGGCTAGCCTTGAAATTGTTTCAGTATGAAGAGAAGGTTTATTTTTATGGTAGCTTTAAAAAGTTTCCACAGGTATGCATGTTTTACAGTTGTCCAAACCAATATGCAAAGAGAATCATTTTACAAAGGAAGAACTGACTGGCTAAAATAACAAGAGGCATTCATCAAACCAGATGGCTGTTTGCTGATGTTCTGTGAGAACTTCCGTCTTGCTCACAAAACAATGCAGATTGAAGCAGCATTTTGTTGGAAATATGACTGTGTCCCTTCAAGTCATTTTATTTTATTTATTGCGGCCATGAGATGATTAAGATGTCCAAAAAGGGGAGTAAAAAAGAATTTGCAATCTTTCAAGATTGCAGATTTAATCTTTGACTACTGCCACATAATCTCAGCCTGTTGTTAAGACCCAAATTTCCTGTTACAAAGTAAACAGAGTGATTGGGGATGATTGGATTGTAACATGTCAGAAGGAAAAATTTTATCCCCACCCCCCTCAGTTATCATTCCCCCCAGTTATCATCCCAGCCAATATCTCCTTGTTGTTTCCTGTAGGAATTAGAATAAAAGATCCCATTGGCAAAAATTGGAGATGGGCCAAAACTAACAAAATGAAGTTCAACAGTGACAAATGCAAGATACTCCACTTAGGCAGAAAAACGAAATGCAAAGATACAGAATGGGCGACGCCTGGCTCGAGAGCAGTACGTGTGAAAAAGATCTTGGAGTCCTCGTGGACAACAAGTTAAACATGAGCCAACAATGTGATGTGGCGGCAAAAAAAGCCAATGGGATTTTGGTCTGCATCAATAGGAGCATAGTGTCTAGGTCCAGGGAAGTAATGCTACCCCTCTATTCTGCTTTGGTTAGACCACACCTGGAATATTGTGTCCAATTCTGGGCACCACAATTCAAGAGAGATATTGACAAGCTGGAATGTGTCCAGAGGAGGGCGACTAAAATGATCAAGGGACTGGAGAACAAGCCCTATGAGGAGCGGCTTAAGGAGCTGGGCATGTTTAACCTGAAGAAGAGAAGGCTGAGAGGAGATATGATAGCCATGTATAATATGTGAGAGGAAGCCACAGGGAGGAGGGAGCAAGCTTGTTTTCTGCTTCCCTGGAGACTAGGACACGGAACAATGGCTTCAAACTACAAGAGAGGAGATTCCATCTGAACATGAGGAAGAACTTCCTGACTGTGAGACCCGTTCAGCAGTGGAACTCTCTGCCCCGGAGTGTGGTGGAGGCTCCTTCTTTGGAAGCTTTTAAACAGAGGCTGATGGCCATCTGTCAGGGGTGATTTGAATGCAATATTCCTGCTTCTTGGCAGGGGGTTGGACTGAATGGCCCATGAGGTCTCTTCCAATTCTTTGATTCTATGATTCTGTCCAGTGCTAATCACCATCACAGTGATGATTTTCATTTGGATCATGAGACAGCAAGGGAGGACACTTTGATGACCCCATCCTATATTTGCTATTATTTATTTTTGAAACTCTTGATATAGATGTTAGGTGGCAATGAACATAGCATGTATGAGGGGCTGCTGATAAGTCTTTGGCTTTGCCCAGAAAGAAACGAGATAGGAAGATGAAACTTTACATTTATTCCAAATATTCCCACACACTTCTTACATTGGTATTCCAAAGTTCTGTAAGACTTGCAAAAAGAAGGATTTCGGTTGTGCCTCAAATCAGTCATCCGTAGCAGCCATGGCATTAGAAATGGTGAGAAATTTGGTACCCTTGAGGTGTTTCTTCAGGTTTGGAAACAGATGACAGTTGGAGGGAGCTAGATCCGCTGAATAAGGTGGGTGGTCAACCAGCTGGAAGTCTAACTCCACCAGTTTTGCCATGGTTGCTTGTTCAGTGTGAGCGGAGGCATCGTCTTGCAGGAACAAGATTCCTTTGGACAGCTTGCCATGCCTTTTGGCTCTCAGAGCTGCCTTCAATTGGTCCAAAAGTTCAATGTAATACCTTGTCTTGATGGTGGAACCATTTTGAAGGTGGTCCACTAGCAGCACGCCATCCTTATCCCAGAACACAGACGCCATCACCTTAGTGGCTGATATTTGCACCCTGAACTTCTTTGGATGAGGAGAACCACTGTGCCTCCACTCTTTTGACTGCTCCTTGGTTTCAGGGTCATACAAACAAATCCAGGTCTCATCCATAGTGACCAATCAATCCAGGAAGTTCTTATCAGTCTGGAAATGCTGACAAATGGACCGGGAAGTTTTCACTCGCATGCTTTTCTGATCTGTTGTCAAACATTTGGGGGCCCACTTTGCAGATACCTTCTTCATGTTCAAATGTTAATGGATAATGACACAAACGATTTCACGAGAAATCCCCATGGTGTCTGCTATTCCTTTAGCTGAAATTCACCAATTCTCCAGTATGAGAATTCATCATTTTCAATGTATAGGCTCATTCTTGTCAGGAATGATGTATTACCTGCTTCTACAACCTTTTTGCTTGTGGATCCCATCACTAACTCTATGGAAAATTTAGTTCTTTGAAGAAAAAATTACGTTGCATTTTGGTCCTTGAGTTACTGTCAAATGGTTGTAGATAAATATTATTGCAGGTGGAATTTCAGAAGTCAGGTTGCTTTAACCTCATCTGAAGACAGTCACTTCTTTAGAACCAGGGAACAGATGGCAAACTATATATAGATGAAGCCCTGAAGAAACTAATGGGGAAATTCTATTTTTAAAGGTTCCACTGGTCCTGTTCAGGTGATTATCACAGATGTCCCAATTCATCCCGATTCTCATCCTGTCCAGTGGGTTGCACCAGAATCCTCTCACATTGCCAGTTACATCCTCCGATGGAGACCGGTGAGTACTGCAGTATCATTGATGAAGTGAATACATCACCCCCAATCTAAGTCACCCCATCTAACAATATTTCTAAATTTGGCAGTAGAAGAAAAACTTCTCTGAGACTATATTTGCATCAGTTAACGGAATGTGTACAAATCTACTTTGTAAGAACCTTATCACATTGACATATGAATTTGCTGTGCATTGTGGCAAATCTGAGGGGTCGGTGGGGGGCATGGAGAACCCATCGCCCTATGCCCCGCATTGCCTGACTCACCCATGGGGGAGAAGTGTCAGTCACCCAGCTTCCCCCCATTGTTTCAAATGCAAAACAGAAAGCCTCCCATGTTGTTGCCATGGTGGCGTATGCCACTTCCTCACCCCTTTCGCCATGAAGTCCATCCAGAATTAGATGCCCATTGTGTAATGGTCTCTGTGGTGAAAGGGGAAAAGCGGCAGGCAAATGAGCCCATATAATGAGATTGTAAATGTAAGTATGTTATGTAAGTGTGTCAAAGTTGCAGTTATGAAGAAACATCATTACTAGTGTATGATACCAAAGACAAAGCTGACAGTATTTTTAAAACATTGGCAAAACATTCATTATTGACTTCTATCAAAATGCCTTTGGTGCTCTTATCAAAATGCCTTTGGAAGGAAGCCAGTATTGGCTTCCTTCCCCTTACAATTTCTTAGAAATATGGATTTGTCTCTGAAATGCAGATTCTGAGAGAGGCATTACTTTAGAGAGCATCTATTCCTTTGGTGCAGGCTGTTCCATTTCCCTTCAGGTAGCAAAACGAGAAGCCTAAGTTTGGTTGTCAAAACAACTACTGCTGTTGGCTTCATATATCATCGAATCATAGAATCGTAGAGCTGGAAAAGACCTCATGGGCCATCCAGTCCAACCCCCTGCCAAGAAACAGGAAAATTGTATTCAAATCACCCCTGACAGATGGCCATCTAGCCTCTGTTTAAAAGCTTCCAAAGAAGGAGCCTCCACCACACTCTGGGGCAGAGAGTTCCACTGCTGAATGGCTCTCACAGTCAGGAAGTTCATGTTCAGGTGGAATCTCCTTTCTTGTAGTTTGAAGGCATTGCTCCACGTCCTAGTCTCCAGGGCAGCAGAAAACAAGCTTGCTCCCTCCTCCCTATGACATCCTCCCACTTATTTATACATGGCCACTATGTCTCCTCTCGGCCTTCTCTTCTTCAGGCTAAATATGCCCAGCTCCTTAAGCCGCTCCTCATAGGGCATGTTCTCCAGACCCTTGATCATTTTAGTCGCCCTCCTCTGGACACATTCCAGCTTGTCAACATTGTGGTGCCCAGAAATGGACACAGTAGAAGGGTAGCATGGCTTATTTGGATCTAGCCACTATACTCCTATTGATGCAGGCCAAATCCCATTGGCTTTTTTTGCCGTCGCATCACATTGTTGGCTAATGTTTAACTTGCTGTCCACAAGGATCCCAAAATCTTTTTCACACGTACTGCTCTCGAGCCACGCGTCCCCCATTCTGTCTCTTTGCATTTCATTGTTTCTGCCTAAGTGGAGTATCTTGCATTTATCCCTTTGAACTTCATTTTGTTAGTTTTGGCTCATCTCTAATCTGTTAAGATCATTTTGAATTCTGCTCCTGTCTTCTGGAGTATTGGCTATCCCTCCCAATTTGGTGTCATCTGCAAACTTGATGATCAGTTAAGTATATTTATATCCAGCTTTGCACTTCAAGTCCTTTAAGTGAGTAACATTTTTTTCAAACCAACACAGCCAACCCAACTAGAAGCAATAAGAGGAAGGACACCTTCATCTCCCTCTCTGTTTTCCTTGAGCAGCAGGCGGAATCCAGTATTGGCTTCCTTCCCCTTACAATTTCTTAGAAATATGGATTTGTCTCTGAAGTGCAGATTCTGAGAGAGGCATTACTTTAGAGAGAATCTTTTCCTTCTGTAAATGTCTTGTAAGGAAAACAAAGATATTTTGGAACGGATGTCACTGGATATATTTCCCATAGGAAAGAATATTGTGCAAATTATGCTGTTGAATTATTTATATTTTGATAATCCCACCATGTTTTGTTCTTTTAGAAAAACTCCAGGATCAAGTGGAAAGAGGCCACCATCCCAGGCTATCTGAACTCCTACACTATCTCAGGACTGAGACCTGGCATTCTTTATGAAGGGCAGCTTATTAGTGTGCAACATTACGGCCCAAGAGAAGTCACCCGTTTTGAATTTACTACTTCTAGTACTACATCTATTTCAAGTAAGCACTGCCATGAAAGTGGAACATGGCTTATAATGCAAGTGTTTGGTTTCTTCAACAATACCCTTTCAACTGTGTTCTAGTCTCCAAAATAAATAGATTGCAGATGTCTCATTTTTGGCAGTTGCTATGGTATTACCACATTGCTACCTTGTACCTTGCCTACACAATCCATATTTGTAGGTTTGACTTTTTGTTATGTATGAATTTGATGAATGTTCTCTAGGAATCTCTAGATCCTCCAATGCAACTCTGTGGTCAACTTCTGCTGGGAAATGATCATAGACTCATGCTGGAGTGTCTAGATCAGTGTTTTTCAACATGGGGGTCGGGACCTCTTGAGCGGTCGTGAGGGAGTGTCAGAGGGATTGCCAAAGACCACCAGAAAACACAGTATTTTCCGTTGGTCTTAGGGGTTCTGTGTGCAAAGTTTGGCCCAATTTTTTACTTGGTAGGGTTCAGAATGCTCTTTGATTGAAGGTGAATTATAAATCCCACAACTACAGCGCCCAAATGCCAAGGTCTATTTCCTCAAACTCCACCAGTGTTCACATTTGGGCATATTGAGTATCTGTGCCAAGTTTGGTTCAGATCCATCATTGTTTGAGTCCACAGTGCTCCCTGGATGTAGGTGAACTACAACTCTCAAACTCAAGGTCAATGCCCACCAAACTCTTCCAGTATTTTCTGTTGGTCATGAGAATTCTGTATGCCAAGTTTGGTTCAATTCCATCTTGGTGGAGTTCAGAATGCTCTATCATTGTAGGTTAAGTATAAATCCCAGTAACCCATAACTCCCAGATGACAAATCAATGCCACCCCCCCCCCCCAACCCCACCAGTATTCAAATTGGGTGTATTGGGTATTTGTGCCAATTTTGGTCCAGTGAATGAAAATATATCCTGCTTATCAGATGTTTACATTATGATTCATAACTAGCAAAATTACAGTTATGAAGTAGCAATGAAATTATTTTTATGGTTGGGGGTCACCACAACATGAGGGACTGTATTAAGGGGTCACGACATTAGGAAGGTTGAGAACCACTGGTCTAGATCATCCTAAATATGGTATCTTTAAAATTCAAGGTTTTTTGCTTACCCAAGGATTTTATTCCCCTAAGTCCGGGAAAAGTGGTGCTATTTTTAATTGCAATGGTGTTAAAAATAAGGGCAAGTCTTCAAGTCATATCTTTATGCAGGAGTTATATTATGGACTGGATTCTGTCAAAAATCAGAATTCAGTTCTAATGTTATTACTGGCTGTGTGAGGGTGCTTTATATTTAAAATGACCTGCCTCATACACACATGCATTCATTATTTAACTATTGCTGTGTTTTGTGGGGTTGGGATATTTGACTTTCATTCAAGCATGGTTTTAATTGCATTTCCTTGTCTTCTTTCAACCCCCCTTCTACACTGGCATATAATCCATATTATCAAAGCAAATAAACTATATTATCTGCTTTGAAGTGGATTATATGAGTCTACACTGCCATATAATCCAGTTCAAAGCAGATAATACGGATTTTATATGACACTGTAGAACAGGCCTTAGAGACACTCTTTGAAGTATTTGAAGTTCTTCTGCATTTTGATTTATGTTTTCTGGGTGTGCTGCGTCCTAGGTATCATTTGTACACTCTTCAATTTAATTTACCCAAATCAAGAACTGTGAAGGGGATGCAGGAAGACACCTGAATTTTTAACTGAAGAATTAGCTCTTGGTTTCTCATGGCATTTCAGTTGTGTAAATCCCTTGGTTTCTTTCATTGCAGCCACTCGTGTGACAGGCGAAACAACAGCGCTGCCTTCAATGGTATCTACCTCTGAATCAGTCACAGAAATTACAGCTAACAGTTTTGTGGTGTCCTGGGTTTCTGCTTCAGACACGATCTCAGGCTTCCGTGTGGAATACGAACTAAGTGAAGATGGCGATGAGCCCAAGTACTTGGGTAAGGGAGATTCTTGATTAAATCAGCCATGATTGAGATGCCGTCAATGAGGTTAAACTCCGTTACAGCCTTTAGAGCTTCCCTGAGATGAATAAGTTCAATGATCTCTGTTATTCAGAGAAATTATTCCAGATTTTTATAGATAGGTATGTCTGGCATAGCTGAATCCTATGTATGTATACTGGGGAATTGTCCTCTGTTGAATCCAGTAGACCAGTGGTTCTCAACCTGAGGGTCCCCAGATGTTTTGGCCTTCAACTCCCAGAAATCCTAACAGCTGATAAACCAACTGGGATTTCTGGGAGTTGTAGGCCAAAACACCTGGGAACCCACAGATTGAGAACCAGTGGAGTAGACTTTTGTTTAACTTTACATAGGATTGGTACAGTAGAATTCCTTTGTTTCCATGCATCTTAGCATTTATTTTGAATGAGATGCATGTACTAAATGTTCAAAAAGCATCTGGTTTTGCAGTACAAATCTAGGCATCATATTGAGGTGGCTTGAACTCTGTTGCAGGCTGACTATGTTCAAGATAAAATTGTCTAATAATAACAATAATATCATCATCTGAGACTAAGATTGGTGACAATGGGCTTATGATACTACAAACTCTTTTCTCTATCAACATTTTATGAAATGAATAAGATTTTAACTAATGTTTTCTTTTCTTCTTATTAAAGATCTTCCAAGTACTGTCACTTCTGTTAACATCCCCAACTTGCTTCCCGGCCGCAATTACATTGTTAGAGTCTACCAGATCACTGAAGAGGGCAAGCCCGATCTAATTCTGTCAACCTCACAAACAACTGGTAAGTTTAACCACACTGTTTTTGGCTGTGATCAACAGAATTTGTCTTTTGTTTCAATGCCAGACATGTTCTCCAATTGCCTTGTTATTTCCTTCAACAGCACCTGATGCCCCACCTGATCACCATGTGGAAAATGTTGATGACACTTCTATCCTTGTAAGCTGGAGCAGACCAGAAGCTCCCATCACAGGTCTGTCCTATTTGGCTGAATTAGTTTGAAGATGTTCAGTGTTTTGCTGTTGTTTGTTTGTAAGAGAGTCAAGAAGGTAGGAGTATGTGTAAGGACTAACATGCCTTCAAGTTGACTCTGACTTATGGTGTCTGTATTGTGCTGGTACAGCTGTCCCAGAAGCTCCCACTTTATTTGCCTTGTATTAAGTGTTTGCTTGCAGCCCAAGGCTTGGGATTCTGCAGAAGGGTGGCTTCCTGATAAAGTTTGCAGTTATAGGGCAGGCCCCCTGTTCATCATCGTTAAGTTTGGTTCCGCCCCCTGTTCAGGACAATTGAGAAGGGAAGGGAGCCATTATCAGTCAGTCTCAGCAAGGAAAGTCAATGTACAGGACGTGTACAGACTTCTCCTGCACAAAGGCTTCAACCCTTAAGACTTCCCGGGGGAGAACAGTCTTAAGAGCAAAAGAATTCCCAAAGATTCCTAGAGAAACAGCCCTAAAGATCCGAGGAATTTCGGAGGGAAAAAACAGCTTTGAACATCTAAGAACTCCAGCTGAAGTGACTACAAGCCTACTGGTAGGTCCACTCAGTGCTTTGAGACGCAGATCAACCCGGTAGTGGAGCCCACATCAGTTAGGTTTAGGATCACAGTTAGCCTGGGAGAAGTTTGGAAAGGGATTTTCCTTTAGAGTAAAGTAACCGTTAGAAGCCTCTAAGTCTTGAGAGAGTTTGACTTGACCAAGGTAACCCAGTGAGTTTCCATGTCTGAACTGGGATTTGGATCCTGATTACCAAATGCACAAACCACCATACGATACTGACTCCCAAAACTAACGCCTTACCCCACAAAAACATATTTCTTGCTCAGAAAAGATGAAATTTTAGCTTGCTTCCCATCTGCCAGAAGGTGAGAACTATGATACTTGTGTTTTCCAAATTGTACTTTATGTACCTTCAGTAGTCAACCTAAACATTTATAAGATTTCAAAGATTTTGGACATAGGGGTAGCCAGTTCAGCTGAGAGAGGAGCAGAATCCGTGTTCTGTGGTTTTGTTTTAGTTTTTGTTGTTTTTTGCTTTGAATATGTTTTTATGGATTTCAACTGTGATTTTTTAATACTATTGATTTTTAATTCTGTTTTAATGTTTGTATATTTGTATATTTTAAATTGAATTGAAATGCTTTTAATGTAAGCCCCTTTGGGTCTCCTTCTGGAGACAAAAAATGGGGCATAAATAAACATCATAATAATAATAATCTGCTTTATTATGCTGTGATCTGACCCTATATTTCTGATGATATTAGGTTACCGAATTGTCTACACTCCATCTGTGGAAGGCAGCAGTACAGAACTCAACCTTCCTGATTCTGCTACCTCTGTGACACTCAGTGACTTGATGCCTGGGGTTCAGTACAATATCAGCATTTTTGCTGTGGAAGAGAATCAGGAGAGCAGTCCTATCTTCATTCAGCAGACGACTACAGGAGTACCAAGGGAAGGTAATAAGCTATTGTGATTCTTGTAATGCTGGCAATTGATTTTTCCTTATCATGCTTCTCCCTCCAGTTTTCCACCAGTGCACTTGCTGGGGCAAATATATCATCTGTGTTGTAGACATGTATAGGATATAATTAAAAGGGTTTTTTGGGGGGGCGGGGGGTTAATTTAAAACAAAAGTTTTCTAATTTTAGGAGGTGGAAAGAGTTATATTTACATTTTTACAAAACTTAGAAAAGAAAAGGTGATTTGTTTTCCAGTAGTATTTTAGTCCCTTTTGTCATGCTTCTTGTCTAATACAATGTTTATCATAGCTTGGGAATGTATTTAAAAGGAATATTAAGCATTATTTTTTGGGGGGGTTGTTGTAGGTTTTTTCAGGCTGTGTTCTAGAGGCATTCTCTCCTGACGTTTCGCCTGCATCTATGGCAAGCATCCTCAGAGGTAGTGAGGTCTGTTGGAACATACCTCACTACCTCTGAGGATGCTTGCCATAGATGCAGGCGAAATGTCAGGAGAGAATGCCTCTAGAACATGGCCATATAGCCTGAAAAAACCTACAACAACCCAATAATTCCGGCCATTTTTTTTGTCATGTCAGGAGCAAGTCGCTTCTGGTGTGAGAGAATTGGCCATCTGCAACGACGTTGCCCAGGGGACGCCTGGATGATTTGATGTTTTTATCATCCTTGTGGGAGGCTTCTCTCATGTCCCCGCATGAAGAGGTGGTGCTGATAGAGGGAGCTCATCCGCCTCTCCCCGGATTCGAACCTGCGAACTGTCGGTCTTCAGTCCTGCCGGCACAGGGGTTTAACACACTGCCCCACCGGGGGCTCCTATTCCGGCCATGAAAGCCTTTGACAATACATTATTTTTTTTACTCAGTTTTAATCACATTACTTGTTACTTATTTTTACCTTTTTAAGTTACTTTTCTGAGAAAGTATGTGTTTATTATTATCAAGGGTCTGGAGAACAAGCCCTATGAGGAGCGGCGTAGGGAACTGGGCATGTTTAGCCTGAAGAAGAGAAGGCTGAGAGGAGATATGATAGCCATGTATAAATATGTGAGAGGAAGCCACAGGGAGGAGGGAGCAAGCTTGTTTTCTGCTTCCTTGGAGACTAGGACGCGGAACAATGGCTTCAAACTACAAGAGAGGAGATTCCATCTGAACATTAGGAAGAACTTCCTGACTGTGAGAGCCGTTCAGCAGTGGAACTCTCTGCCCCGGAGTGTGGTGGAGGCTCCTTCTTTGGAAGCTTTTAAGCAGAGGCTGGATGGCCATTTGTCAGGGGTGATTTGAATGCAATATTCCTGCTTCTTGGCAGGGGGTTGGACTGGATGGCCCATGAGGTCTCTTCCAACTCTTTGATTCTATGATTCTATTATTATTATTATTATTATTATTATTATTATTATTATTATTATTATTATTATTATTATATGACAATAGCCTAAAATTTGGAAAATCCTCACAAAACACCCCCTAAGTATTTTTGTCCTCCACCTCAAACTAAAGAGAAAGTAATGACAAATATTTCTCATGATATGAAAAAAGTATTCATACTATTTATTGCCATATCATGTACTAAAACCCATCCCCATTCCAGGAACATGTTACAGGTATCGTTGTTACTTGTGATGTGTTATTTCCAAGCTCTGCTCAGAGTATGATCACTTTTACAATCCAATAAAGACTGTGCATTTTTTGGATTAGGTAAGATTCCTTCACCCAAGGACCTGCAGTTTGTGGAAGTCAGTGATGTCAAAATCACCATCATGTGGAACCCTCCTGACAGTGCCGTGACTGGCTATCGTGTTGAAGTGATCCCAATTAACCGTCCGGGTGAACATGGGCAAAAGTTGCCTATTACTAGATACTCCTTTTATGAGGTCACAGAGCTTTTGCCTGGAACAACCTATCTTTTCAAAGTCTATGCCCTTGGACAAGGCACAGAAAGTGAACCACTGACCGGAGAACAAACAACCAGTAAGTATATTCCTTCTCACTCAGTTGATACCTTTGCCTCAAATGCATTCTGTCAGAATTTCCATTCTTTTGCAAGTATATTTAATAGTGAATTTGTGTATTTAAAACTATGGATTTGGAAGTTAGTGGCTGGTGTGGGGATGTATACACCTTTTGCGGGGCTTTTGTTGCTTTGATTCAGAGATTCCTCAAAGGGAACTTGATATGCTTTTTCAGGATGTGAGATTCTGAAGCAGTTTGTTGGAGGGTGCTGTTGAATCAGATCCTCAGGGTCAGTGCATGATTGTATGTTTAGATCAGGGGTCCTCAAACTAAGGCCCGGGGGCCAGATACAGCCCTCCAAGGTCATTTACCCGGCCCTCGCTCAGGGTCAACCTAAGTCTGAAACGACTTGAAAGCACACAACAACAATCCTATCTCATCAGCCAAAAGCAGGCCCACACTTCCCATTGAAATACTACTACTAATAATAATAAATCTTTATTTATATCCTGCTACCCGGTGGCGCAGTGGGTTAAAGCACTGAGCTGCTGAGCTTGTTGATCGAAAGGTCGCAGGTTCGATTCCGGGGAGCGGTGTGAGCGTCCGCTGTCAGCCCTAGCTTCTGCCAACCTAGCAGTTCGAAAACATCCAAATGTGAGTAGATCAATAGGTACCGCTCCGGCGGGAAGGTAACGGCGCTCCATGCAGTCATGCCGGCCACATGACCTTGGAGGTGTCTACGGACAACGCTGGCTCTTCGGCTTAGAAATGGAGATGATCACCACACCCCAGAGTCAGACATGACTGGACTTAATGTCAGGGGACTACCTTTACCTTTTATCATCTCCCACAGGATTCGGTGCGGCTTACAAGAGGCTGGGCCCAAATACATCATAAAACATAACAACAGCAATACAACAATAAATAACTCATAACAAAACAAAACAATACGACAATGATACAACGCAATTAAAAACCTGTGGCAGGGCCAAATGTAAGAATTAAAATTTTAAAATGCTGGGCTTGTCCAGGGAAGTAGGTTGGATATTTTAAGATAGGTGGGCGTGCAGACAGTCCTAACTCTCTTGTAAAGTGCATTTGGGACATATTGCTTGGGAGTCCTTATTTTGGGAAGGCACACTGGAACATCCACGTCTTCAAGCTCCTTCTAAAGACTGCCAACGTTGGGGCCTGCCTTAAGTCCTTGGGGAGGGAGTTCCAGAGTCGTGGGGCCACCACTGAGAAGGTCCTGTCCCTCGTTCCTACCAGTTGTGCTTGCGATGCAGGTGGGATCGTGAGCAGGGCCTCTCCAGGTGAACGAAGATATCGTGTGGGTTTGTATACAGAGACGCGGTCACACAGGTAGATGGGTCCCAAACCGTTTAGGGCTTTGTAGGTAAGCACTTGCTCCTTGAATTGGGTCCGGAAAATGAACTGCAGTCAATGGAGCTCCTTAAACAGGAGGTTTGTTTGTTAAAATTGTTCTTCATTTTAATTATTGTATTGCTTTTAAGTGTTTTTTTGCACTACAAATAAGATATGTGCAGTGTGCCTAGGAATTCATTCATGTTTTTTCAAATTATAATCCGGCCCTCCAACAGTTTGAGGGACTGTGACCTGGCCCTTGGTGTAAAAAGTTTGAGGACCCCTGGTTTAGATACTTAAGTAATTCAAATTATAACCATCTTCTAAAATAAAATGAAAGTGTGCATTAATACAGAATGTCCACATAAACTACATTAAACTAATGTAGCACCCCAGTGCACTATTATGTCGGGCCCTTTCTGAAATTGCATACTTGATGGTGATGAATCAGATCCCAAGTCTTCTTTAAAACATGTAGTGCTGACTGTAGCTATTCTTAAGATGCCTGGCTGCAGCTAGTAACAAATGTCTAGAACTGTGTTTTCCATACATTATGATCACGACCATAATTGCTTTGTCTAAACCACAGTTTGAAAAGTGTTCACACAAAATCTGCACTGTAATTGAAATTCCTGGGCAAAAAGAGATCAGGCAAGAGTTCCCAAGGTATAAAACCACACTAAATTTCTTCCCATGATTGTTCTGGTTTTGAGTCCTACAGAACCTCAGAATCATAGAACTGGACTCAAGGAGATGGGAGTTAACTAAAATGAATTTAGATTGCAGCCCAACCAATTAAAGTATTTTAAACCACAGTGCTTTTCTGGCCAACTTAGACCACACATGTACTTAGAAATTGCTTAGGACTGCCTTTTCTCTAGTCTAACCTTTTGTTGGCCTTGCATCTGTGTCCTTGGGCTGGAGGTGATTTGGATCACCCTCACCCCACTCCGTGTCTTCTCCATCCTGCCCCCCTTCCCACAACAAATCTGACATAAGATTTTTATTTATTTATTTATTTACTGCACTTGTAGACCGCTGTTCTCAGCCCTAGGGCGACTCACGGCGGTGTACAACATATAAAACCAGGTACAATTTACAACATAAGCAATATCACAACAACAATAAACAACATCACTATCAATAATACAATTACACTAAATCATTCGCGACGTCTCATCATTGAATCACAATCCAAATCTCGTTATCCATGTTCCGTTCCAATCGTCATTGCCAATTGTTGCAGCATTTACTCAAACGCCTTCTCAAACAACCACGTCTTTAGTCTCTTGCGGAATGTCATAAGGGAGGGCGCCAGTCTGATGTCCACAGGGAGGGTGTTCCACAGCCGGGGGGCCACCACCGAGAAGGCCCTGTCCCTAGTCCCCGCCAGGCGTGCCTGTGAGGCAGGTGGGATCGAGAGAAGGGCCTCCCCGGACGATCTCAAAGTCCTCGTGGGCTCATAGGCCGAGATGCGGTCAGACAGGTATTTTGGGCCGGAACCGTTTAGGGCTTTGTAGGCCAACACCAGCACCTTAAATTGGGCCCGGTAGCAAATCGGCAGCCAGTGGAGCTGGAACAACAAGGGCGTTGTATGCTCCCTGCGTCCCGCTCCTGTTAGTATCATGGCTGCCGCGCGCTGGACTAGCTGAAGCTTCCGGGCCGTCTTCAAGGGCAGCCCCACGTAGAGAGCGTTGCAGTAGTCAAGGCGGGATGTGACCAGAGCGTGTACTACCGTGGCCAAGTCAGACTTCCCAAGGTACGGGCGCAGCTGGCGCACGAGCCTAAGCTGTGCAAATGCTCCCCTGGTCACCGCTGAGACCTGGGGATGTGATACAACAGAATAGTTCTGCCATCGGAGTGCTTAATTGGCAGAGCTCAGCCTTTCGCCTAATCCCGAATCTCTATATCTGAGTTTGAATTGTACTGTTAAACTCTAATAATTCAAACCAGGGTGCAATCTTAGTTGAGATGAATTTTGACACTTCCCCCAATCAATAGCAAACTTCCAGCTGTGCTGTGCCACTCTTGAGACTATAAAGGAGACCCAGATGATCAAATCTTCTTTAGGATACCAGCATGCAGCTGAAGAAGAAGAAGAACTTTATTTTTCTACCCCTCCTCCATCTCCCTGGAGGGACTCGGGGCGGCTTACATGGGGCCAAGCCCAAAGCAAAATACAATTAAAAGCAAAACAATAACAAATCAAAACAGCATAAAACAGCATTTAAACAGCATAACAATCATAAGAAGCATCAAAAGCATCAGCAGACTAATTTTGGAGGGGGGGGGGATAAGGACCACTATGCGAGCTGGTTAAGGGTAAGGTGGTTCAATAAGGTGGATAGCAACGTATAATAGTATAGGAAATAGCATGGAAACAGAGCAAATTAACAGGATCAATTTAACTTAAGGATATATATAATAATATAATGTAGGAATTCAGAAACAGGTCATGATATAAGTCAGTGTTTCTCAACCTTCCTAATGCCACGACCCCTTAATACAGTTCCTCATGTTATGGTGACCCCCAACCATAAAATTATTTTCATTGCTACTTCATAACTGTAATTTTGCTACTATTATGAATCGTAATGTAAATATCTGATATGCAGAGTGTATTTTTAGTCACTGGAAATCCCAGCAACTACAACTCCCAAATGACAAAATCAATCCCCCCCAACCCCACTAGTATTCAAATTTGGCAAAATACCCAATAAGACCAAATTTTAATACTGGTGGGGTGGGTGGGGGATTGATTTTTTTCATTTGGGAGTTCCAGTCACTGGATTTATAGTTCACCTACAATCAAAGAGCACTCAGAACTCCACTAACGATTGAATTGAACCAAACTTGGCACACAGAACTCCCATGACCAACACTAAACACTGGAAGGGTTTGGTGGGCATTGACCTTGAGTTTGGGAGTTATAGTTCACCCACATCCAGAGAGCACTGTGGACTCAAACAATGATGGATCTGGACCAAACTTGGCATGAATACTCAATATGTCCAAATGTGAACACTGGTGGAGTTTGGGGAATATAGACCTTGTCATTTGGGAGTTCCAGTCACTAGATTTATAGTTCACCTACAATCAAAGAACATTCTGAACCCCACCAATGATAGAATTGGGCCAAACTTCCCACACAGAACCCCCATGATCAACAGAACATACTGTGTTTTCTGATGGTCTTTGGCGACCCCTCTGACACTCCCTTGAAAATTGCCGGTGTGGGGGCTTGCCTAATGTCTCTGGGGAGTGAGTTGTGTATGCAATAGCATCTAGATGGCTGTTCATACTGGATAAATCATATTACCTTTAATAGTAGCAATCATGATTTGAAGGTGGTACTTTATACATGTTGAAAGAAAGGAGCCCGATTTCTTAATAAGATTTTTTTAAAATTTTGTCTTCAAGGACTTGATGGCCCAACCAACCTAAGGATTGTCAATGAGACTGACACTACTGTGCTGGTGACGTGGAGGCCCCCTCGTGCTCAAATTACACGCTATCAGCTTTCTGTGGGGCCTACCACTGGAGGACAACCAAGGCAACATAACGTGGGGCCATCCGCTACTAAGTATCTATTGAGGAATCTGCTACCCGGTACTGAGTACACAGTGACCCTAGTGGCTGTTAAGGGCAGCCTGCAAAGCAACCCAGAGACAACAATTTTCACAACCTGTAAGCATTACAGTCTTGGTTATTATTTCACTGATCATACAATTCAGTTAGATTTATAGATTTCAAGTACTATGCAACATACCCTCATCAACAGTATTTTTCTAAGGTGACAACTTCTTAAAAGTTCTTTTTACTTTGCCAAACAACATTTTAAATGATAGTCCAATGTAGACATAGCAAATGTTGTGTAGTAATGTAAGCTTTGAACTGTAGTACTTACTGGTTGACTTTGGGTAACTCATAGTATTTCAGCCTCAGAGAAGTCAAAGGCCAACCACTTTTAACAGTTCTGCTTCAAAAATCTATGATACGTTGGAAACAAGTTGGTACCTTTGGACCAACATAAGTTGAAAACACTTTGAAGACACACAACAAAACAACAGTCATTCCTAACTCCTGCTCAGTATTCAAATAATGAGAAGAAGGGTAAGATAAGGGAGATTTGCTTCCTTCCTTTCAAAAATGATTTATTTATTTATCATGTCAGGAGCAACAAGCCAGTTGTATTACATTTTTAACAAAACAAACAAACAGACAAAACACAAAGTTTGCAGTCTTGGTATTCTATTAAATGTCCTTTGACCAGTAGCTGGCCACTTGGAGTGCCTCTTGTGTTGCTGCAAGAAGGTCCTCCATTGTGCATGTGGCAGGGCTCGGGTTGCATCACAGAAGATGGTCTGTAGTTTGCTCTTCTCCACACTCGCATGTCGTGGATTCCACTTTGTAGCCCCATTTCTTAAGATTGGCTCTGTATCTTGTGGTGCCAGAGCGCAGTCTGTTCAGCACCTTCCAAGTGGCCCAGTTTTCTGTGTGCCCAGGGGAGAGTCTCTCATTTGGTATCAGCCATTGATTGAGGTTCTGGGTTTGAGCCTGCCACTTTTGGACTCTTGCTTGCTGTGGTGTTCCAGCAAGTGTTTCTGTAGATCTTAGAAAACTATTTCTTGATTTAAGTCATTGACGTGCTGGCTGATACCCAAACAAGGGATGAGCTGCGGATGTCACTGCCTTGGTCCTTTCACTATTGGCTGCTACTTCCTGGTGGATGTCAGGTGGTGCAATACCGGCTAGACAGTGTAATTTCTCCAGTGGTGTAGGGCACAGACACCCCGTGATAATGCGGCATGTCTCATTAAGAGCCACATCCACTGTTTTAGCGTGGTGAGATGTGTTCCACACTGGGCATGCATACTCTGCAGCAGAGTAGCATAGCGCAAGGGCAGATGTCTTCACTGTGTCTGGTTGTGATCCCCAGGTTGTGCCAGTCAGCTTTCGTATGATATTGTTTCTAGCGCCCACTTTTTGCTTGATATTCAGGCATTGCTTCTTGTAGGTCAGAGCACAGTCCAGAGTGACTCCCAGGTATTTGGGTGCGCAAAATGATGCACCAGATAGGGCAGTGAAAAAAGAAGTTTTCTGTTATCTGATACTTAGAACTGGTTGGTTATCTTTGTCTAGGTAGATTACACAGTGTACAGTTCTGAGTAAATAATAATATAATAATAACACTTTATTTATATTCTGCCCTTCTCCCCGAGATGACTCATAGCAGATTACAGTATATACACAGACACATACAAACATTCAATGCCTTGTTTCAAGTGACACACAATGAGACAAATACACAGACAAAGGCAAAACTTCTCTTTTCATTTCTGGCTCAGAGGCCGGAATCTTACTGGCTTCAATGCATAGAGTTAATCCATAATATAGTGAAGCTGCTTTGCCCTTTGATTTTGAAATAAGGTTAAAACTGCAGCAGATCAAGGACTTGGCAAACAAATAAAAGAGATGTACCTATTTCAGAGACATAGAAACTTTATGATTTAGAAAGCTATTGGTTCATATCATGCTTTTCCCAGTGTTTTACTAGCTGTTTTTGGCATGTGTCTGTTCCAAGTTAAATGTGTCTGGTGACTAGCATCCAAGTAATATCCCTATTAATATCCCAGGAGTTGCTTCCAGTTAATTCTTTTAATAGAGTCTTTCTTGTCTGGTAGAAGTGATAGCAAGCTGTGACTCAGATGTGGTGTAGAATGTACACAAATAAAACCACAAGGAACTAAGAACACATGGCCTCTTTATATGAGGAGCTGTTCCTGTCATATGTGTGGAAGGACAGTGTTAGCTCCACCCTCCCATTCCTGCTTAATATAGTTCTTGATTCTGAAACATGAACATACAGTCTTCTCAACTGGCACACAAAACTTATTTTGGAGCTACGTCATTTGATTAGTTTTGTTTTGGTGAACATCTAAACCTGCAGTTGCACAGTAAGTAGGGAGTTTATGCAGACAGTCTTTCAGAGACAGTTTTTATTCCAAACATTCAACATTTTACCTGGTTTACAGAGACATGGAGCCTGTTTATGATTGCTGCGATGGGTAGCACTTTGAGGTTTCTTTGAAGTGGAAGTAGCTCATGTGATGCACTCAATGACTTAGCAAAATGAAGGTGGAAAGCAAAATGCTTCTTCCTTATTCCTTCCACAAAATGAACATCATTGTCCGTTTTGCTCCTAGGAACTGGTTTGGGATTCATGAAAGTTCATAAATGTTTGCATGTGTTGAAATTAATAAACTCCCATTTTTTTGCCCACCATAAAGTTTTAAGGAGTCACCTAGATGTTAAGCAGCCCAGAAGGTTAGGCAGGCAGCACAGTGGTAGATGAAGAGCAAGAGCTGGAGAGAAATGTTGGGGATCAGTATTGCTTTGCTGTCCAAAGGATTGCATTTGGCTTTATTGCGCTTAAGAGCAACAGGAAGAGGCAAGCTCAGTATCTCTTATTCCAATCCTTGACATAAAAATCCTGCTTGTAGGAAATAATAATAACACAGGGGATGTGATAGCTAAGGAGGAGAAAATAATTGATCCATCCCCTGACAGCCATGTGATTTCATACCACAAATAAAATGTATTTTTATACATAACCTACAGATACAAACACTGTTGTTCTGACGGATTCTCAATGTGTGATAAATGATATAACCGTCATGCACCTGTTAACCAAATACCTGTACTCAGTTTCTTGCTTCATTTTACAGTGCAACCCAGGGGATCAGTTCCTCATTATAGCACTGAAGTGACAGAGACATCTATTGTGGTTACATGGACACCTGCACCAAGGATTGGTTTTAAGGTAGGAAAACAGTTTCATCATCTGACCGTATTGTTGTTGTTTCATCATCTGACTGTATTGTTTTTGTTTCATCATTTGACCGTATTGTTGTTGTTGGCTCCACTGAAGTTGACTTCAGTGGAGCTAATATACTTTATACTTTGTGATCTTGTCTAGACCATTAATAGCTGCCCTTCTAATTTTCCCACTTCAGTCTCCACTCTGATTAATGCTTGAAAAAAGCATGGGAAATCTTTTAATTTTAATGCCTGATTATGACACAGTCAAGCTGGCTTGATAGAGAAAGCCTTCCAAACTTTAGAAGAAGGCTGGGGAACATATGGTCTTATTTATTTACTTATTTATTTACTTATATATTACATTCCTCCCTTCTCACCCCGCAGGGGACTCAGGGTGGATTACAATGTACACATACATGGCAAACATTCAATGCCATAGACACATAACATATATAGACAGACAGTCAGAGGCTATTTAACATTTCAACTTCTGGCCACCGGGGGAGCTGTCGCTTCACCATCTATCTGCAACACTGATGAAGTACTTTCCGCATTCCCCACATGCTTTTGCTGGAGATTTTTTTATGGCCTCGTAAATTTGTTAAATTAGCCTCCCCACACATAGGTGGTACCTACATTTCCTACTTGACAGATGCAACTGTCTTTCGGGTTGCAAAGGTCGACAACAAGCTACACAATTGGCCGGAAGCACACTCCGACCCGGGCTGACTTTGAACTCAGTAGAGATCTTTAATGCAGCTGACACCCAGCCAGCTGTGCCACAGCCCTGGTGCCTCCAGATGTTGTTGCTTCCAGATGTTGTTGGGTTTAAAACCTTATTTGCCCTGTCCAGCATTGTCAGTAGTGAAGATGATGACATGTATTCCATTACATCAGAAGAGCCACATCATCCCCAAACCTGTTCTAGAATACATTGCAACTAAATAAATAATGATTACTACCAAACCTGTAGTATCATTTTAGATTGTGATTGGACACTATATGATCAATGTCTAGATAGTTATTTCTCTTTTTTTACCATTTTAACCTCCATGATAACATCCTTTGGGATTCTGGGATTGACAATTTTGAATCTTCAGCCAAAGAATTATCCTCTGGTGGCTCTGACCAAATCATACAAACCCCAGGATTCCATAGAATGCAACCATAGCACTTGCAATAGAGTTATAGTGCTATCTATGTCATGTGAAAGTACCCCAGGAATTAAAGAGTGTTCAAAATAACATGACTAAAATCATAGCCTATCCCCACATGACCCTAACAAATGAATAATCATGCCTAGACTGAGATGTTTTTGTGTTTGCTTCACCCCCAATGCATATTCTGAATTTATTTCTCAATTGTGATGTAACATTTAAGTGAAATTAACAAAAATAAATCTATAATTTAAACTAAGTTTAAATAAAGTTCCCTAAAACAGTAAAAAAAACTAATTGGAGGATTTAAAAAAAACACACATACTTGAAAACATTAATTAAAACGATAAAACGATATCCTCAGCTTGTTGGGGATCAGTTGATGAACAAAGTTGTGAAAATGCTGTCTAGTATTTGATGTCCTATTCCTGTGGCCTTGTAGCCTGAGAGAGGACTTTGCCCCAGACTGCATAAGATCTCCCTTGTTATTGTTAATCATTGGTAGGCTAGAGAACCGATGATAATGTTCTACACAAGCTCTAAAATTCATAAACTTTGAAATTCTGATTGGAATTAACATGGTTAGGAAGAAAGAGCACTGGCTTCTTCCTCTCAGTGTTAAGGCCCATAGGACCCTGGGCAGTAAATCTATTTGACGGAAGAGATGAAACATCTCACAGACATCTTTTCCCCTTCCTGGCACAAAACAATCACAGTGAATTAAATCCCTAAAATGTGTTGCTCTTTTAGGACAGTACCAGATCTGCGTTATTTTTATTTATTTTTATCCCGTTTTCGTCCACATGTGGGAGGACTCAAAGTGGCAAATAAGTGGTAAAAACAAAAACGACATTATTTATTTATTTACTAGCTGTCCCCTGCCATGCGTTGCTGTGGCCCACATGGGGATTCTGTGTGGGAGGTTTGGCACAATTCTATTGTTGGTGGGATTCAGAATGCTCTGTGATTGTAGGTGAACTATACATCCCAGCAACTACAACTCCCGAATGTCAAGATTCTATTTTCCCCAAACTCTACCAGTGTTCACATTTGGGCATATTGAGTATTCGTGAAGAGTTTGGTCCAGATCCATCATTGTTTGAGTCCACAGTGATCTCTGGATGGAGGTGAACTACAACTCCAAAACCAAAGGACACTGCCCACCAAACCCTTCCAGTATTTTCTGTTGGTCATGGGAGTTCTGCGTGCCAGGTTTGGTTCAATTCCATCGTTGGTGGGGTTCAGAAGGTTCTTTGATTGTAGGTGAACTATACATCCCAGAAAATACAACTCCCAAATGACAAAATAATTTTTTTTGAGTGAAGGACATACATTGGGCTGTTAGGTGTCTTGTGTCCAAATTTGGTGTCAATTCCCCCAGTGGTTTTTGAGTTCTGTTAATAGCACAAATGAACATTACATTTTTATTTATATAGATTTATTTCTGGTATTTCTACCCTGTCTTTTCTCTATTCCCGAAGGGGGACTCAGGTTTACATTTGGCAACGATTCGATGCTGCTACATATAAACAATTACAATAATACAACAACAATTGAAATACATAAAGCATTAATTAAAACGATAAAACGATATCCTCAGCTTTATTGCCTTTCCCATCAATTTCCAACCAAAGTGTTAATTATGTCTGCTGTCCGAAAGCCAGGTCTCAGAACCATGATTTCAATTTCTTCCTGAAAGCCAGGAGAGATGAAGCTAATCTTATCTCATTTGGAAGCGCATTCCACAGGTGGGGGGCCACGGCCGAGAAGGCCCTGTCTCTCATCCCCGCCAGACGCGTTTGCGATGTTGGCGGGAGCGAGAGCAGGGCCTCACCGGATGATCTTAAATTACATGATAAAGAACACAACACACACACAACCCAAGCATATAAACAATAAACTGATAGGGCTGACCCTGTAAAAAGGTAAATGAGTGAGAGGCTAGTAGAGGCAATGGACAAGAGATCGAAAGTTGAGGAAAACAATATGCAGTTAGACATGGGACACTAGCTCTCCCTCTGCCTTCAACCCATTTATTTGATCTAAGTCTGCAGTAACATGAAGTGTGGGAAAGTGGATTCACCCTGGGCTTTGTCCAAATTTTAAAGAATCTGAGCAATTTATGATGGGAATTTAGTACCTTGGATAGCACTGTTCTGAGCAGATTTGCCATTATATTGCTACGACAGATGTCCACTGTCATATCAACCACTGGCGGAGTGTCAATTCTTTTCATTCCTGTTTAACAGGATATTGTCAGGTGAGCGACGGCTTTTCCCAATGTAGTGCTACACTTCTAGAAGGAGCTGAATCATAGAATTCAATCCTAATATGTTTGCTTTCAGAACACCCACACTTCTACAGACAGCTCTAACCTAGGCAATTTCAATTCCCTTTAAATTTCAAAGCTTTTTCTCCAGTCATGACTAGTCATTATGTACCTGAATCTGGCACGTGAAAACCTGAAATTATCTAAGTTTGTGCAGAGTGAAAATCCTGATATGTAGCACAAAACTACATGGGTATATAGTGGCACTCCTATAGCTGCAAACAATTCTTCTTTCTTTTCTCAATATAGCTGGGTGTGCGGCCAAGCCAAGGTGGTGAAGCACCAAGAGAAGTCATTTCTGAATCTGGGAGTATTGTCGTCTCAGGCCTGACTCCTGGTGTGGAATATATCTACAGTATCACAGTCCTCACAGATGGTCAAGAGAGGGATGCTCCTATTGTCAAGACAGTTGTTACACGTATGTATTTTTTTAACACCCATGTTATTTTGAGGTCAAAGACCTCAAAGTTTTATTCCTAGGCAGTGACCCCTCATCATGGACCTTCTCCCCTACCAGGCCATTTGTAAAAATGTATAGAAAAAGTAATAGAAAAATTGTCAAAATCAGTAACTATCCAAAACCAGTAGCAATGAAAACAAGAGTGCATGCAGATGAGTTGAAGCGTCATTTTAATTGGGAAATTATGACAACTCTGAGCAAAGTTCGCACATTAGAAAGTTCATAAAGCAATTAGCATTGCATTTTAACATTTAAAGTACATGTTAAAGTACATGTGTGGTAATATACAGCCAAAACACTGCACTAAATTGTTATTGACAATCATTTTGATGTCAGTATCTCTGATGGTGAGACCTGGTGTGGTTCACATCCCCTAGTCATGCCATGGTTCCCTGGTTATGTTGGTGTTGTTCATTCATTCAGTCATTTCCGACTCTTCGGGACCTCATGGACCAGCCCACGCCAGAGCTCCCTGTTGGCCGTCACCACCCCCAGCTCCCTCAGAGTCAAGCCAGTCACTTCAAGGATACCACCCATCCATCTTGCCCTTGATCGGCTCCTCTTCCTTTTTCCTTCCATTTCCCCCAGCATCATTGTTTTCTCTAAGCTTTCCTGTCTTCTCATGATGTGGCCAAAATACTTCATCGTTGCCTCTACTACCCTTCCCTCCAATGAGCAGTCGGGCCTTATTTCTTGAAGTATGGACTGATTGGATCTCCAAGGCTCTCTCAGAACTTTCCTCCAGCACCACAGTTCAAAAGCATCTATCTTGCTCAGCCTTCCTTATGGTCCAGCTCTCACATCCGTAGGTGACTACAGGGAATACCATTGCTTTAACTATGCGGATCTTCGTTGCCAGTGTGATGTCTCTACTCTTCACTATTTTATATCTCTGGTTGTAATGGTCAATTTAGTTTTCTTGGCAAGAATACTGGGGTGGTTTGCCATTGCCTTCCCTAGGGATCGCGCTTGATCTGACCTCTCTGCTGCGACCATCCCATCTTGGGTGGCCCTTCACGGTTTCGCTCGTGACATCATTGAGGTGTTCAAGCTCCAGCACCACGACAAGGTGGCGATCCTTTACAGAAATCAGTTGAATTATTTTTGAATTAAGTTACTTCTTAGTGAAATATGTCATGCAAATATCCGATATTCTGCATACACGTAGTGTGCTAGTGTGGCCATGTTTTCTGTTCACATGGTCTTCTTTCTCCCATAAAACTCTTAACTGACTAGATGTTGTCGTGATGTCCTGCTGGAGGAAGAAATGCTTAGGCAGTCCAGTGGCACAAAAGATGCTTTTTACTTGATTTGGGGAAATCTCCCTTTCTTCCCTTATAGCCCTCTCAAATGTTTAATTCCCTTAAGTCTCATTATTACCTTTCTGTGATGCTTCTTTGGGGAAGAGAAGTGGGGATACCTATTTCAGCCAACCAGTTTCATGCACCTCAATCTGCATCTGTTCAATTTTATTTATCGTGTCAGGAGCAACCAGACATTTGTATTACATTTTTAACAAAACAAACAAAGAAACAAAACACAAAGTTTGCAAGCTTGGTAGTTGATTAAATGTCCTTTGATCAGTATCTGCCCACTTGGAGTGCCTCTGGTGTTGCTGCAAGGAGGTCCTCCATTGTGCATGTAGCAGGGCTCAGGTTGCATTGCAGCTAGTGGTCTGTGGTTTGCTCCTCTCCACACTCGCATGTTGTGGATTCCACTTTGTAGCCCCATTTCTGAAGGTTGGCTCTGCATCTCGTGGTGCCAGAGCGCAGTCTGTTCAGTGCCTTCCAAGTTGCCCAGTTTTCTGTGTGCCCAGGGGGGAGTCTCTGTTCCATAAGATGTAGTAAGTTTAGAGGGCCAGCAACATGGGATGAGCTGTAAGAGTGTGTCTTCAAGAACATTTTTGAGTTTACCATTGTATTTCTAGAGAAATCTTAAAACATTTTTTATTTCTTACAGCTTTGTCACCACCAACCAACCTACATCTTGATTCTAACCCTGACACTGGCATCCTTACTGTCTCTTGGGAAAGAAGCACAAGTCCAGGTATTTACATTTACCATCCAATTTCTTTTGTGCCATATAATATTTTAGATCTCAGTACATATGCTTGTTGAATGGACATTTCCAAAGGTGCTGTTTTTGCCCCCAAAGCCCCTCTAAGGGGGATTGAGGCAATTTTGTCCTTTTTCCTAATGGGAGGTGACTGAATTGTAGAATTAATGCCGTTTGACATCACTGCCATGGCCCAGTGTTACAGAATTCTGAGATTTGTAGTTTGGGGAGATACTAGCACTCTTTCACAGTAAAGGCTAAAGAGCTGTACAACTTCAACTCCCATAATTCTATAGCATTGATCCATGGCAGTTAAAGTGGTCTCAAACTGTATTAATTATACAGTGTTGATGCACTCTTAGTTGTAAAAAAACAACAACTGGGTTGTTGTAGGTTTTTTCGGGCTATATGGCCATGTTCTTGAGGCATTCTTTTCTGACCTTTTGCCTGCATCTATGGCAAGCATCCTCAGAGGTAGTGATGTATCTGAGGATGCTTGCCATAGATGGAGGCGAAACGTCAGGAGAGAATGCCTCGAGAACATGGCCATATAGCCCGAAAAAACCTACAACAACCCAGTGATTCCGGCCATGAAAGCCTTTGACAATACAAAAACAACAACCCTCCTCTCTTATTACAAAATGCAAGGTATTTGAGGACAAAATAAGCCTTTAAATGTTTTTGTTTTGGGGGAATGGTATTGTATGTGACCCTCCACAATCTCCCTGGGGCCAAATATGCCCCCCACTCACAGTTGCCCACATTTGACTTGATAGAATATTGCATGAACAGAATAGAATTCAAATCTGGCTTTTATATCATCTTTTTCTCCTTGGGGTACTTAAGCAGATCATATTATGTCTCTTAGTTTTGATTTTAAATGAAAGTCTTTCTTTTTTTTACAATTTTTACATTGCAGTTTGAATGATGAATGAATGGATTTGTTACCATCACAGACTAAGAATATAAAACTTTAAAGCTTTAAAGCATAAAAACCCATTTTTAAAAAAGTGTCAACATTAAAATCAAAAATTAAAAATTCTTGGGACCAGAGGTATTTTAAATTTTGGAATATTTGTGTTTACATATATGTATCTAATGAGATGTCTTGGAGGTGGGGCCCAAGTCTAAACACAAAATTAATTTACATTTCATCTCCACCTTACCACATAGCCTGAAGGTAATTTTATGCACACTATTTTAACATGATTTTGTTTATGTAATAAAACAAATAATAGACCTCATGGGCCATCCAGTCCAACCCCCTGCCAAGAAGCAGGAAAATCGCATTCAAAGCACCCCTGACAGATGGCCAAATGTGTATAGCAAACCACCAGAAAGCAAAAATGTCACTATCTCAGTCACCAATATAAACATTTTGGTATTTTGGAGTATTTCAGATTTACAGACAAGAGGTGTGCAATCTGAATATTCAAAAACATTATGAACATTGACTTATGTTGGTCAATGGTAGTAACTGTTTTCCTGGTGTAGAACACACTCAGTAACATTTGGTCCTCTGATACTATCATAGAATCACAGAATCATAGAATCAAAGAGTTGGAAGAGACCTCATGGGCCATCCAGTCCAACCCCCTGCCAAGAAGCAGGAATATTGCATTCAAATCACCCCTGACAGATGGCCATCCAGCCTCTGTTTAAAAGCTTCCAAAGAAGGAGCCTCCACCACACTCCGGGGCAGAGAGTTCCACTGCTGAACGGCTCTCACAGTCAGGAAGTTCTCGTGTTCAGATGGAATCTCCTCTCTTGTAGTTTGAAGCCATTGTTCCACGTCCTAGTCTCCAGGGAAGCAGAAAACAAGCTTGCTCCCTCCTCCCTGTGGCTTCCTCTCACATATTTATACATGGCTATCATATCTCCTCTCAGCCTTCTCTTCTTCAAGCTAAACATGTCCAGATGCTTGAGCCGCTCCTCATTGGGGCTCCAGACCCTTGATCATTTTAGTCGCCCTAACATTAGACCTTCTGTATTGTCAACCTTGCCATTTTCAACTTGGAAAAAGATCAGTCTTGCTGTCATGTTCTGAGTATTAAAGTTATTAAATATATTTAAATAACAGCCCTCACTTCTAGGCTTAACAGTATAGATGTCTTCATAATCTTTTCCCACTACGTTTTAGATATCACTGGCTACAGAATTACTACCGTCCCTACAAATGGACAACAAGGCTACACTCTAGAGGAAGCAGTTGGTGCTGGCCAAACGACCTGCATCTTCGAACATCTGAGTCCTGGTGTGGAGTATAATGTCAGTGTTTATACAGTCAAAGGTCACCAGGAGAGCTTGCCCATCTCGGAAACCATCACACAAGGTAAAATAAAAGAAACTAAGGCTGCCATGTAATCCAGGTTATCAAAGCAAATAATTCGGATTATCTGATTTGAATTGGATTATATGCTCTCAACTGCTGTTCAAACCCAAAGTTATCTTACATGGGATCACCAGGTATACTATTTGAAATTTCAGCTATTGCCACGTAGATTTTGAAACATAATGGGAACAAGGTGATCTAACCAAGCCTATCTAACTGTTCCATAGTCAAACATAGACTCTTGACGTATCCACATTTAAATGCTGCTGTGTAAACAGTGGAACTGATCCTAGTTGTTGTTACATGCCTTCAAGTTTTTTGCTACCCTAAGGTGACCCTAAAGTGACCCTATCATAGGGTTTCTTGACATGGCTGTTTCAGAAAGGATTTGTGTTGCCTTCCTATGAGGTTGAGAGAATGTGAGTTGTCCGGGGCCACCCCAGTTGGTTTCCATGGCAAGTGAGGATTCAAACCCAGGTCTCCAGAGCCATTGGCCCCTTCTACACTGCCATATAATTCAGATTATCAAAGCAGATAATCCACATTATGTCCTTGAACTGGATTTTTATTTATTTATTTATTTGTTTGTTTGTTTGTTTGTTTATTTATTTATTTATTTACGACATCTATATGCCGCTCTTCTCATCCCGAAGGGAACTCAGAGCGGCTTACAAGTAAAAAGTAAATACAATATATTATACTATTACCATAGCACAATATTAATATTATATATTACATTAAACTATAACATTATACTGTAATATTATTAGTAATATTACTTTTAATATAAAATATATAATTATAATATCATATTATAATATTATAATTATTAGTAGTATTATGTTGTATTATATGAGACTACACTGCCATATAATCCAGTTCAAATCAGGTAATCTGGATTTTTATGGCAGACTCATATAATGTAGAAGGGGCCTTAGTTTAATTCCCAAACCACTATGCCACAGGGTTGTTGTAGGTTTTTTCGGGCTATACGGCCATGTTCTAGTGGCATTGTCTCCTGACGTTTCGCCTGCATCTATGGCAAGCATCCTTAGAGGTAGTGAGGTCTGTTGGAACTAGGAAAAAGGGTTTATATATCTATGTGGAATGACCACGGTAGGACAAAGTCATTCCACAGATATATAAACCCTTCTGCCTAGTTCCAACAGACCTCACTACCTCTGAGGATTCTTGCCATAGATGCAGGCGAAACATCAGGAGACAATGCCACTAGAACATGGCCATATAGCCCAAAAAACCCTACAACAACCCAGTGATTCCGGCCATGACAGCCTTCCACAATACACTATGCCACACTGGCTTTCTGTAAGTATGATTGTAACTGCTGTCTATTACAGGGCATCCCCTTGCTCTTTTTGTGCACAAAAGTCCATGTCAGAACCAGCAACCTATTCTGTGCCCTTGTTGTGTTGCTAAGAGGACCGCCTGGGATGTCTGAGTCTCGCCCTGTGTGTAGTGCTTGAGAACCTCAAACATATCATTAAGGGATTGTGTCTTATTTTTGCTAAACCACAAAATGGCTTCTGGCTCCTATATTTGACAAATGCTTGCTTTTAAGGCTGCTTGACATTCTTGCTCTCAGACTGAGTCTCTCTTTGCCTCTCTGGGAACTAACACACCAGGTATAATTGCGTTCCGTCAAGGCTTTAACCCAACACCACTTTCTGAAGCAAAGAAGTACTGAAAAGACATGTTTTTATTATGTCTTCTGGTACTTTTTTTACAGGTGATATGGTAATCACGCCCAATGGAGATAAGTGGTTATTTGGCTGACATTTTCTCTTTCAGTTTTGGACAATATCTATGAGCAGATTTCCACAATAGAGTTGAAGAGGTTCCTGTTTATGTAAAAAACAAAACAAAAAAAACGTTTTATGTCAGGCATAGACCGGCTCTGATATTTGATTGTCATGCCTTAAATTTACTATACTACACAAACTCCTCCTTGCAGTTCCAATGGGAACTAAGCAAAACATACTCAGTGATTATTATCACTAATAATAATCAAACCCAAAAATCCACACTTCTATATAAATAAAAAATGTAATGTTCCTTTGTGGGATTAACAGAACTCAAAAACCACTGGACGAATTGGCACCAAATGTGGACACAATACAACTAACAACCCAATGTGTGTCCTTCACTCAAAAAATTGATTTTGTCATTTGGGAGTTGTAGTTGCTGGGATTTATAGTTCACCTACAATCAAAGAGCATTCTGAACCCCACCAACAATGGAATTGAACCAAACTTGGCACACAGTTCTCCCATGACAAACAGAAAATACTAGAAGGGTTTGGTGGGCAGTGTCCTTTGGTTTTGGAGTTGTAGTTCACCTACATCCAGAGATTTCTGTGGACTCAAACAATGATGGATCTGGACCAAACTCTACACAAATACTCAATATGCTCAAATGTGAACACTGGTGGAGTTTGGGGGTAAAATAGAATATTGACATTCAGGAGTTGTAGTTGCTGGGATTTATAGTTCACCTACAGTCAAAGAGCATTCTGAACCCCACCAATGATAGAATTGGGCCAAACCTCCCACACAGAACCCCCATGTGGGCCACAGCAACGCGTGGCAGGGGACGGCTAGTAATAATAATAATAATAATAATAATAATAATAATAATAATAATCTTTATTTATACCCCAGCACCATCTCCCCAACGGGGACTCGGAGCGGCTTAAATGGGGCCAAACCCAGACAACATATTACAGCAAAAATAAAACCAAAACATAAGCAACAAGCAACAACATCAAATTACATTAACAACAACAAAAAACCAACATATGAATGCAATAACAAAATAACATACAATAACACAATTGCAATAATGGAGTGGTTGCCATTTCTGCCCTATCCTCAACACATAATTGTTTCCAATGAGTTTCATAGGCTTTGGCTGATTTTTTTTTTTTTTTGGTTGCAGAAATTATAAGATGGGATCAATCTATAGCCAGTGGCTATGAACTGTAATTGGTGGGTTTAATTATTGATAAGGAAATATGACATATCACCGTAATGACTTTACTATGCGCTTTGGTGTTAATTCACATGACCTGCTTTCTCTCTCCCTCTCTCTTTCTCTTCCTTGTTGTTTTTGTTGTTGTTGTTGTTGTGTTTTGCCTTTGTTCGTCTTTGCCTCCCTGTATCGCTCTCTTAACTTGATAGAGGTGCCCCAACTCACTGACTTAAGCTTTGCTGACATAACCGATACAAGCATCGCCCTGAGGTGGACCCCACTAAACGCCTCCACTATTATTGGCTACCGCATCACGGTAGTGGCAGCAGGAGAGAGTGTCCCCATTTTTGAAGATTTTGTGGACTCTTCAGTAGGATACTACACGGTCACAGGGCTGGAGCCGGGCATTGATTATGAGATCAGCGTAATCACCCTCATTAATGGCGGAGAGAGTGCCCCCACTACGCTGACTCAACAAACGGGTGATTGTTGAAGAACTACAGTGTCCAAGTGCTGTTTCATGCTGTCACTAGCTGCTTGGATGACTCTGTCTTCCTCAGAGAAGAAATGGGCCACTTGTTTCTTTAGGGTGGGGTAGAAGTGAGATGCTTATCATTTTACACGCTGCTTTACACAGTTTTGTAACTGCATTACTGTGTTTGGATTTCTGCATTTGAGGGTGCATTTACACTGCAGAAAGAATGCGGTTTGATACCACTTTAGCAGCCATGTCTTAATGCTATGTAATCATGAGAGTTGCAGTTTTACAAGGTCTTTACCTTTCTATGTCAAGGGGTGCTGGTGCCACAACAAGCGACATTCATTTTTATTTATCATATCAGAAACAAACCAAGGATACAGTTGTAATGTATTTTTTTAAAAACACACTGTTTACAAACATGGCATTTTACTAAATGTCCTTTGACCAGTATCTGGCCACTTGGAGTGCCTCTGGTGTTGCTATAAGAAGGTCCTCGATTCTGCATGTGGAGGGCTCAGACTGCATTGTAGTAGGTGGCCTGTGGTTTGCTCTTCTCCACACTCGCATGTTGTGGATTCCACTTTGTGGCCCCATTTCTTAAGGTTGGCTCTGCATCTCATGGTGCCAGAGTGCAGTCTGTTCAGCACCTTCCAAGTCGCTGAACAAAAGGGAGTCTCTCTTTTGGTATCAGCCATGGCTTGAACTTCCAGGTTTTAGCCTACCATTTTTGGACTCTTGCTTGCTGAGGTGTTCCTGCAAGTATCTCTGTACATCTTAGAAAACTACAAAGGGTATTTTTTAAGTAAGGTCTGTTTTGTTGTAGACACTAGTAGTTCGCGTGCATATCGTAACGAGCGCATGTGTCGTATACCGGCATGCCTTGGGAACAACTGTGCTCAGTTTCCGCTCTGTAGCTAACCTGTATGGTTCTGTTCTGTGCTTTAAAAATGTTTAAGACTATCAACTCGCCCCCGCATGTGAGGTTCGCTCAGTGATACGTAAGTGGGTACAACAATTCAAAGATGGCTGTGACAACGTCTATGATCGCCCTTCTTTGATTACAGACGATTTGATTTGATCGCACACTCAAATCTTTGGTTTTTGTGGTCCTCTGTTAGAAGTTTAGGGACCCAACAGGAGCACAGTTTCCTAAACTTTAGGTGTTCAGAAACAATGTTGTAAAGCACTGATCTCGACACATCAGGAAATTTGTTTGAGAGACCTGTTATTGTGAAGCGCCTGTTCTCACGAATCCTCGCTTCAACTGAAGCCACCAAATCGTCTGTAATCAAAGAAGGGTGACCGGAGCGGTCCTCATCATGGACGTTGTCACGGCCATCTTTGAATTGTCGTACTTACTTACGCACTTTGCTTTCACTCATAACAATATCACCGTACCCTTCACAATTCTGTCGATGAATTTCTGCAGCAGGCAGGTTCCTTGCTGACAAAAACTGTATCACTGAGCGAACCTCACATGCGGAGGGTGAGTTGATAGTCTTACACATTTTTAAAGCACAGAACAGAACCGTACAGGTTAGCTACAGAGTGGAAACTGAGCACAGTTGTTCCCGAGGCATGCCGGTACACGACGCACACGCTTGTTGCGGTATGCGCGCGAACTACTGGTGTCTACAACAAAACGGACCTTACTTAAAAAATACCCCTCGTATTTCTTAATTTAAGGCGTTGGCGTGCTGGCTGATATCTGAACAGGGGATGAGCTGGAGATGTCACTGCCTTGGTCTTTTCATTATTGGCTGCTACTTCCCGGCAGATGTCAGGTGGTGCAATACTGGCTAAACAGTATAATTTTTCCAGTGGTGTGGTGCTTAGACATCCTGTGGTAATACCAGATGCAACAAGCCACATAATTCCATAGTATTGAGCTATTGTAATAAAAGCAGTGTCAAACTGCATTAATTCTACAATGTAGATCAGGCATGAACAAACTACGGCCCTCCAGGTTTTTTGGACTTCAACTCCCAGAAATTCTAGCCAGCTTACCGGCTGTAAGAAATTGTAGGAGTTGAAATCCAAAACACCTGGAGGGCCAAAGTTTGCCCATGCCTGGTGTAAATGCACCCTCAATTACAAGACTCAGCATCTCAGCAGGACCAGAACTCAAAATTCAAGATTTGTCAACTTGGGTCATGAGGAGAGGCGAGTAAGAAATAAAATTATTATTATTATTATTATTATTATTATTATTATTATTATTTATTAAGCAGCATTTGCCGATTGGGACCATAGCAGCCCTTTGGGCTGCATCACAGTTGAAATAAAGAGAATAATTTGGCAGTGAATTAAAACTCTTTTGAGTTCTTTATCTCAATTATAACTCAGTGGATACTTACTGCAGTGGTCCAAGTTTTCAATTGAGGGGAAGAAATCATCCTCAGAATTCAAGCTAGTGACAGGTATGGCAGTCTGTGAAGGTTCTCTGTGCATGTACAGAAAATGACCTGAAATGCATGGAAGACGGTGTGTACAATAGCGGAATGGTGACTTTACAACCTTTTATCATAAAAGTACTTGTAGAGTCCAAGAGACTTCACAGCTATGAGTCATCTTTTGATCAATATGCATGTTAGTGGAATGAAAGAAATAACTTTTTGAAGTTTTGCTGTACAAGAATTTTAACTTCTGTCATCTGATACTGGTCAATGGACCAAGACGTTCAAAGTGCTTTACACTAGTCTTACTTTAGTGGAATGAAACATTACAGCAATTTTAACTTTAGTGGAATGGAACAGTATTCATCGGTAGTGTATGTGCATGGATCTTAGTAGTGGGGATCTGTGGTTCCTTTGCATGACATTGTATATCTTTGCACTGGTATTGAAATGCATTCTTTCTCTTCCCAAATAATAAACCTCCTTTTTCTTTAAATTCAGCTGTCCCTCCCCCCACCGATCTACGCTTCACCAATGTGGGACCTGACACAATAAGAGTAACCTGGACTCCGCCAACATCCATTGAATTAACCAGCTTCCTTGTCCGGTTCTCACCTGTAAAGAACGAGGAGGATGTTACAGAGCTGTCTATCTCTCCGTCTGACAATGCAGTGGTTTTAACAAGTAAGTTGCTAATGTATATTGTTCAACCGTGTACTTGATATTTGACTCAATGTGATAACATCAGTTGCCATTTTTTTCCCAGCCTCACCCTTTTCAGAGATGTGCTCTACAATTTCAAGTATATTTTTAACCCGTAGTTTTGATGACCCAACAACTCGGTGTCGCAAGTTTGCACACCATTTTGCAGGCAAAGTTGCTCAGATATGCCTTGAGTTGGACTCCAACTTCCTGAGACCATGGAGGAGGTCCTTGGTGCTGTGAGGGCGACCACGTCGGCTTTAGACCCTTGCCCGTCTTGGCTAATTAAATCGGCCAGGGATGGGTTGACTGATTGGTTTGTGTTGATCATTCATGCATCATTGGAGCAGGGGGGTTTCCATCTTGATTAAAATAGGCTGTGGTCCGACCACTCCTTAAAAAGGTCTCCCTTGACTCCACGGTGCTGAACAATTACAGACCAATCTTCAACCTCCCTTTTCTGGGCAAGGTGCTGGAGTGGGTGGTCGCCTCCCAGCTCCAGGGTTTTCTAGATGACATCAGTTACCTGGACCAGTCACGGTCTGGCTTCAGGCCTGGCCATGGCACCGAGACAGCTTTGGTCGCCTTGGTGGATGACCTCCGCAGGGAGCTGGACAGGGGGAGTGTGACTCTGCTGGTTCTCTTGGACATCTCAGCGGCTTTCGATACCTTCGATCATGGTATCCTTCTGGGACGACTCTCTGGGATGGGTCCGGGGGCACGATTCTGTTGTGGCTCCGGTCCTTCCTGGAGGGTCGATCCCATATGGTGAAGCTGGGAGACGCCTGCTCAGACCCCTGGCCTTTGACCTGTGGGGTCCCGCAAGGCTCTATTCTGTCTCCCATGCTTTTTAACATCTACATGAAACTGCTGGGAGAGGTCATCCGGAGTTTTGGAGTTGGGTGCCATCTCTATGCAGATGACACACAACTCTACTACTCCTTTCCACCTAACTCCAAGGAAGCCCCTCGGATGCTGGATGAGTGCCTGGCCGCTGTGGCTGTCTGGATGAGGAGGAACAAGCTGAAAATTAATCAGTTTGGAAAGAGAGGGCTTTTGGAAATATTTTATTAGTTTCTATGTAGTAGGGGATGCTGGTGTGATCTGAGATTTCTGTTGTTTTGAAAAAGTGAACCTTACCCTCTGGTAAAATTTAAACTAGATCTTTAGATCTTGATCAGAGTTTATTTTAACTTGCTTAAGCATTAAATGAAAGTATTGGATTGCTGTGTCTATTTTAACAGTCAGTGACCTGCCGTGCATACTTCAAAATGAAGGTCAGAGTCAAAAGCGACTTTGACAATTTTGTTGTACAGAGCACAGAAAAACAACTGCCTCACTTTTTGTCTAGTTGACATTTCCACTTTTGATCAATATGCAGTAGACTTAGGCTTTATTTTTAAAAGTTATTCTTAATTCTGAGAATACATGTTTCAATAGACTTTCTCAATAAAGAGAAGAAGAATCCCAGCTGGAAGCATTTTATGGGGAATTCATGATGCCCTTGCAAAAAAAAAAAAAAATGAAGTTGTGGGGCAGATGGAAAGACAGTATGTGTGGGAAGTTGGAAGTTGGAAACGTTACTGGTTGGAAAAAGTCCAAGTTATTTTTTTAAAGGAGAGATAGAACATTTGTTCCTCTAAGAGATAGTATATCATGTTCACCTGGGATGATGTTTAGACTTCTTTATACACTCAGATGTTGCAATTACATATTTGTTAAGCAAAAATATTCTAGCCAAAGTACTCTTTCACTCAAAAAACTGAGATTTATCATCTGCCCACTGCCTTTCACCCCCAGAATTGTGTAATTGACCTTGACCTGTTTATCTTTTAAATCTTCAGATCTCCTCCCTGGCACTGTGTATTTGATCAGAGTCTACAGTGTGTATGAACAACATGAGAGCAAACCTTTGAGTGGAGAGCAGAAAACAGGTTTGTAGATTAAGAATGATTGAAATGATTTTCTTCAGTTTTGCATTAAGAAGGAAGGTCATATCTGTTTTCAAATAAGTTCTACCATTTTTGGAGATCATTTCTACTTCTGAGTGCAGATAAACTGCGACTTTTCATATCTTTTGCATTCATGCTTGAATTTTAAGACAGTTTGGAGGATCTCCTTATAGCAACACCAGAGGCACTCCAAGTGGCCAGCTGCTGGTCAATGGACATTTAATATAATCCCAAGTTTTAAAACTTTTGTGTTTTTTAAATGCATTACAACTGTACCCTTGGTTTGCTTCTGATACAATAAATAAAAGAAATGCAATACATCTAAGATGAATATGACTAGCAGTCTGTTCATAGAAATATTTACCCAGATTCCTCAGAGTGTGGCGGAACTTATGTCCAAGTAAATGGCAAAAAAACTGCAAATAACTTTGAAAACTGCAAATAAGAAATGCCTAACTTGCTTAATTGGCTTCAGTAGAATCATAGAATCATAGAGTTGGAAGAGACCTCATGGGCCATCCAGTCCAACCCCCTGCCAAGAAGCAGGAATATTGCATTCAAATCACCCCTGACAGATGGCCATCCAGCCTCTGCTTAAAAGCTTCCAAAGAAAGAGCCTCCACCATGCTCCTAGGCAGAAAGTTCCACTCCTGAACGGCTCTCACAGTCAGGAAGTTCTTCCTAATGTTCAGATGGAAACTCCTTTCTTGTAGTTTGAAGCCATTGTTCTGCATCCTAGTCTCCAGGGCGGCTGAAAACAAGTTTGCTCCCTCCTCCCTGTGAGTTCCTCTCACATATTTATACATGGCTATCATGTCTCCTCTCAGCCTTCTCTTCTTCAGGCTAAACATGCCCAGCTCCTTATGCTGCTCCTCATACGCCTTGTTCTCCAGACCTCTCATCATTTTGGTCTAACCAAGGCAGAATAGAGGGGTAGCATGACTTCCCTGGACCTAGATACAATGCTCCTATTGATGCAGGCCAAAATCCCATTGGCTTTTTTTGCCACGACATCACATTGTTGACTCATGTTTAACTTGTTGTCCACAAGGTCTCCAAGATCTTTTTTACATGTACTGCTCTCGAGCCAGGCATCCCCCATAGGACTTAATCAGTTAAATTTGGGGAGAGATTTTGCTTTAGGAATTTATTAAAGCTCTGTCTAAAACATTATTGCTATCTTATTTCAACTATGCTGAGCCACACTAAATAGTGATGTGGTCCAGTTACAGGTCTACTGAGGCCCCTTCCACATAGCTGAATAAAATTCCACATGATCTGCATTGAACTGGAATATATGGCAGTGTGGATTCAGATAACCCAGTTCAAAACAGATATTGTGGGATTTTTTGCCTTGATATGCCGGGTTATATGACTGTGTGAAAGGGCCATGAGTTGTGAACTGAGTTTGTTTGTTTTTAAATTTGAGACGTTGGAGAACTTGGACAGTTCCTTTAACAAGCAGCTGGTTACTATTCTATTCCAAGAGTTCCCAAAAGTAATTAGCTCAATTATAGTTTTGATACTTTTTAATTCTCAAAATATAGATAAATTCCACCATTGTACTAATAATTATGTCCAAAATATGAAACTTTGATTGAAGGGGAAAGGCACTAAGCAAGTAACTTGGTTTCCCCTCCTAAGCGGTTAGATTCCAAGTTCTATCACATTACTATTCTTTCTGAAAAAGAAGGTGGGGTTTGATGTTTGAATAAGGTTGCTTGGCCTTTGTTTTCCTAAATCAAGGAGTTGGATTTGGTCATCCAGTCCAAATCCATTCTGCCATGCAGGAATACACAACCAAAGTACTCCTGACAGATGTGCATCCAGCCTCTGTTTAAAAAAAAAACTCCATTGCAGTGTATTCCACTGCATATTTTTATATCTCAATGTGATGAAGGATTGATTTTTAACTGTAAGTTAAGCGTAGTTTTGTATATGTGTCTCTACAGTTAAATATGATTGTATGTATGTATGTGTGTGTGTGTGTGTGTGTGTGTGTATATATATGTATGTATATATATATATATATATATATATATATATATATATATATATATGCTTAGATGGTTGGATATTATTATATGTATGCGTTCAGGAGGTAAAAGACAGTTATGGATGTACATAAAGCGTTAACCATTTAGAAATGGCTGGACTAGGGGGATGGGACCAAGCTCAGCACTCTGAGTTAGGCTGCCATGGAGAAAGGGGTGGAGCCAACTGCACTTACCAGAAGCAGACATTTTGAGGCTTCAGTCCTTTGGTCATTGAGCCAAAGGGAAGGTGGTTCAAACGTGTGGTGAACCAAACTAAGGGAAGGCTTTTAGCCTGAGTGATTTAAGTAAGTTGAGGGGACTTATTTAGGTTTGTGGTTTAGCTGTGTGCTAATAGGGGAAGAAATCCCACTGGGAATCTTTACTTCAACAGGAGGCTGAAGGGAGACAAGGGCATTAGCTGACCTTAGTTAATCTATCAAATAAGGAAACATATTTAGAAGTGTAACAACTAAAGAACTAGTTGGTGAAGTAAAAGACATCTAAAGTTATATTAAGATTTGTTGAAGCTGTAACTCGTGAAGCTTTATACTTCAGGAGAAGAGAACTGTGAAACCATTAAGACCCTTCCATACTCCAAATAAACTTGTTCTTGTTTTAGTAATTCAAGCCTCAGTGTACTATTTAAAAAAAAAAAACCCTCGCTACCCTCCAAAAGAAACACTACAGAGTGGTAGCAGTGAATCTATTTGAAGATAGGGGAATCCGTTAATAAATTGAATAGGAAACCCTTATTAATTGGTGGCAGCATAGCCTAGTACCTCACAGATGGTGGCAGCATACTAGATTGAATGGAATATCAGACAACGAAAAGGAAGCCTTTACACTCAAAAATGTCAATTTTGCATCCAGTTGTAGTATGCGTAATATAAATATGTGGGGTCTGTTTGCCTCCATCTGATATGTACCTGTATAATTTTCCTTGCAAAAATTAGGCCTTGATTCCCCAACTGGGCTGGACTACTCAGAAACGACAGCTCACTCTTTCACTGTCCATTGGATTGCCCCTCGTGCTCCCATCTCTGGCTACAAAATTCGCCATTACCCTGAGCAAGGAGGAAGCCGGCCCAAAGAGCACCGCATTGCTCCCTCTCGCAATTCCATCACTCTCACGGACCTGATTCCAGGGACCGAATATGTGGTCAGCATTTCTGCCTTCAACGGAAAAGAGGAGAGCTTGCCCTTGATTGGTCAGCATAGTACAGGTAAGGGGCTGAGAGGTAAATAAAAGGCAGGTTATATTTCTTAGAAGAAGTCACTGGTGGGGGATTTTCCATTGAAATTAATAAAAAAACTTTTATTTTAGGCTTTAAAAATGTTTTTAGGATTTTTTGAAATGTTTTTATCTTTGTACTGTTTGAACTGCCTTTACGTTTTCATTGACTCTGGAGCCCTTGTGGCCGAGGAGGTGATACAGAAATATATATGATAAATCAATACATTCCCTCAAATCCTCCACCCACAGGATAGAAAACATCATAGCTGTGATCTTACCTCTTGCTCTGAGATATGGAATAGAGAGTTTGGCTGGGAGGAAGAGAAAGCAAACCAAAATGAGATGAAACTTCCCAAAGTTAAACTAGAGACATTTAATTCAGTTAACTTTTGTGACAAGGGTTGTCTTGTGTATCTCCACTGCCTATAGACTCTGCAGGCACCTCCCTCCAACATCCCTTTTCTTAAAAAATTCAAGATCATTGCCAAAAATACTTTTTAATGTAAAACTCTCTGTTGACTACAGCTGCTGGGAGTTGTACTATAAAAACATCTTGAAGGCAGCTCTGTGTCCAACTCTGTTATATAATAGGTTGGTTGAAATGCTAGTAAGTTGAGTGTGAAACATTGCTAAAACTGTGTTTAAACTTGTCCATCTAGTTTCCGATGTCCCAAGAGACCTTCATGTCACTGCCACCAGCCCCAGTAGCTTGGTCATCTCCTGGGAGCCCCCCGCGGTTACTGTTCGGTACTACAGGATCACGTATGGCGAAACAGGTTAGTGTTGCATGAAGTCCTCAAAGATAGAAACAGAGTGTAGTGAAATTGCTACTCTATGTTAAAGTTTTGGTGTATAGCTCTATGTTTACATATGGCAGATAGGGAAGAATAGGCACAGACAGTGTAGCAACAGCAGAGATAGGATTCATTTGCATATGTGAAGCCGATTGGTCATATGCAGATTAGTGTAGGCCCAGGATTTGAAAAGGCTGCTAGGCCAAAATGACAGTTGGGGAGAGCAGAGCTGAACATTCCAAAGGGGTGGAGCCAAGGTTCTGAAAGAGGCAGTTAGAGTGAGAGAGTTTGAAAATGACAGTTAGGAATCTGTGTGTGAAGAGGAGAGTTGGTTTTTGAGTGCCTGATAGAAATAAGCAGTTATGAAGATGTGTTAAAGAGTTCTGATATAGAGAAGCAGTTAAATAGAGCTCGAGTTTTAAGGAACATAAAGAAGGTTAGTGTTGCCTTAGTTCAGAATATAATTCAGCTAAGAGTGTGTAAAGCAAATAACATGTTTGTGAATATGAAACATTGATAGCTTATTCAGAAAAGTTAACCAAGTAAATGATACTGACTGTAAGCCTCAAGATTGCAACAAAACACAAATGTAACCACAAGCGTTGGAGCCAGAAGTTATAAATAAACTGTGTTACTTTGTTATACACAAGAGTGTTTCATTGCCTGTGATATAAAGTACAAAGGTTTAATAGCATACGGAAAGTCCCATCCAATATAAAAGAAGAAACTGAATCAGTATAAGGCAGCAAAGAGGTTTTTAAAAGGGGAAATAGTCTCTCTTCCTCGCCTCACAGAGAAATGCTAATGAAAGGATTTAAAATAAACTGTGAAAGAATCCTAGTTCAAGTTTGCCAGAATGTATTGATTAGCCCTAAATAAAACAGACTCAATAAATCTGTTGTTGAATAGTGAATCAATCTGTCTGTTTGTCTAGCTGATTCAATGGGTCTTCTGCAATCAGGGCAATCTATAGGTTTCAGGACACTTTATTTATTTATTTATTTATTTACTAGCTGTACTACCACATGTTGCTGGAGCCAACCTTCCTTCCCTCTTTCTCTCCTTTCTTTCTCTCCTTCCCTTTTTTTCTTTCCTTCTCTCCTTCCTTCCCTCTCTTCCTCTTCCCTTCCTTCCCCCCCTTTTTCTTTCCCTTCTTCCTTCTCCCCGTTCTTCCTTCTCTTCCTATTCTTGGACTGCAACTCCCAGTAGTCCTCCTGATCTATCTAACTACCTACCTACCTACCTACCTATATCTAATCTATCTATCTGGAGGATTGCTGGGAGTTGCAATCCGGGAATAGGAAATTGGAAATATGCAGGGATTGGGATGCTCTGAAAGAAATCCAAGGAGAAGAAAGTTAGCATCATTGAAGCAGTGCATTTGGATCATCCTCCTCTCCTAAAGGGCCTGGTCTAGGGGATGCTGGGAGTGGTAGTCTGGAAGAGAGTGTGGATATGCTATTGTGCGTTTTATTTGCCAGGGGGAGTCGTTTTTGCGCATGCGCTGTAGTGCCCTTTTGCTTTTTTGGCTTTTTAAGTCCCTTCCGCTGTGTTTTTCAGTGTTTTTATGAGTGATTGTCACTCATTGGTCTGATAGGTTCATTGTGTCCAAATTTGGTGTCAATTCGTCTAGTGGTTTTTGAATTATGTTAATCCCACAAACAAACATTACATTTTTATTTATATAGATTTATGTATTTAATGTATATACCACTTTTCTAATCTCGAGGGGGATTCAAAGCGGCACACAACATAATGAATGGCAAATATTCAATGCCTCACATCCATATAAAATGAAAGAAATACAAATCTAAAAACAATCACATATAACTATAAATTGAAATCCTTAAAAACTATACTTTGGCTCTTATACCGCCTTTGTAGTGCTGGCTTTGAGAAGCGGCATAGTGTAGTTGTTTGAACATTGGAGATTAGCACTGAAGACCATGGTTGAAGTCCCTGCTTGGCCATTGAAAGCTACTTTTGGCACGACTCATTCCCTTGAGTCACTGAGGAAAGGAATGAAGAAATATTGCCATGAAACTGCTGTGATTGGATTGCCTTGGGATTACCATTAATCAGAAATGACTTGAAGGCACACAACAAAATGGTTGCTTTAGGATGTTTAGGGACCCTTCTACGCTGCCATATAAAATCCAGATTATCTGCTTTGAACTGGATTATATAGCAGTGTACTCCCATATAATCCAATCCAAAGTGAATAATGTGGATTATCTGATTTTATAATCTGTTATATGGCAGTGTAGATGAGGCCTAACAAGTGATGTACAAAGTCAATAGTTTTTTTTCCTCATCTTGCCCTGGAGGTAAGAGCTGGATGACCAAATAAATGACACTATTTGCTGCTCTATGACATGAATTGCCCATGGAAATTCTCTCCCCCCCCCCATTATTATTATTACTATTATGTTTACTATAGTTAATAGAAGTTGTCATGAAACTCTTTCCATGAGTGATATCTCTGTGCTTGGTCTCTTTGGCACTTCTTCCCATAGGGAGTGGCGGGCCTGTTCAAGAGTTCACAGTACCTGGACACGTGTCCTCTGCAACCATCCCTGGCCTTAAGCCTGGAGCAGACTACACCATCACCGTGTATGCAGTTACCGGACGTGGAGACAGTCCTGCCAGCAGCAAACCGGTCACAGTCAACTACAGAATTGGTAAGATCAGGACCCAAATTCAGATAAAGCAGATAAACCAGTTCAACCCATTTGTTTCAGACAGTGATTCTGCCCATTGTATGCACAGAGCTTTTTCCTTTTTTTAAAAAAAAAATAAAACAAGAATATCACATTTATTTTGTTCATGAACAGTAAAGATGCGTAGTGGTTTCAATAAACTGTCAGGATTTACTTATATAGAGAATAGTTTTATATGACGATTTTCTTAAAAACAAACTTCCACATACAGGAACACAAACAAGTTGTTTTTTTTTTAAAAAAATAGATTTTTATTAAACATTTTAAACATCAACACAAGGAAAGAGGGAGAACATTTCCAAAGAAGATAGAAAAGTAGGAAACCTAGACACCACCAAAAAAAGAGAGAGAAGAAGAAAAAAGAGAAAAAAATAGGAAAACCCCCCAAAAATAGACAAGTTCCAAAAAATAGGAAAAGTCCAAAAAATTGCAACCCCCCCCCCCCCCCAAAACCCACACATACAGACAGTTCTGAAATGACTTCCACTCCAGCCTCAGGATCTTCTTTAAGTACTTCTTAATCAAATTTATGTATTCTTAGCCTCTATTTTTCTTCTGTTTTTTTGTAGTCATAAAAAAAGGTCCAGTCTGTCCTTTTTACCGATTTTCCGGTATTTTTCCTCATCAAAAAAGTTAGTTTGTCCATGTCTCTTATTTTGCCAGATACTGGAAAAAAGAACAGACTCCCATTATTGATGAACCTTATTGTTCTTTTTTCCAGTATCTGGCAAAATTAATCCTAGCTGCTGTTGTAATATATGTTAGTAATTTGTCTTCATTTTCTTCAAGTTGTAAATCCAGGTCTGTGAAGCCTAATAAATAACACTCTGGCTTCTTCTTGAACTTCCTTTTCAATATTTTTTGTGTTTCCTCATGTATTAATGACCAGTATTTAGATGTTTCTTTACATGACCCCCACATATGGTAGAATGTATCTATTATATATTATTACATTATAAATTGTAGTTACTGTTTTCTTTTCCGTTTTTAAGATTTTATCCCATGTATTTTCCTCCCAGTCAAATCCAACTTTTTGTCTTGTTTAAAATATTCTTTGTATATAGTGTAGCCATGTTTTATTTCCATAAGTATTCTTGTTTTAAACCTTTTGAATCCTCTTTCTGTGAGGCTTCAACACCAGCACTCTAAAACTATAGAGGCTCACTAGTTTCTTAATCCTTCTCCCAGAACTTTTTCAAAGAGGATTTCTTAGCCTTGTCCTACTTGTTTTTAATAACTTTCTTCCTGGGTACAAGATACAATACAATACAATTCTGGGTACAATATCTGTGGTTTGAATTAGCCTGCATAAGAAAGCATACAAATGGCTTAGGCAGTAATCACTGCTGGGTCTCTGAATCAATGACTTCAGCAAACCATAGCTTGAAAATAGTTGGATAAAGAATTCCAAAAAGCGAACTTTGATTTTGCCATGCATTGAGTACTATTCAGATATGTATGCATGCCTTGCTTGTAACCTCTTGCCACTTCACATGGCACTCATTTGAAATCTTCACCATGCTATCTAAGGGACACCATTTATACAATGGGACTTATCCACAAATTTTGGTAACTGTGCCAAGTCCTGGAACCAAACTCCAGTGGATCCTGAGTGCCTACTGTATTGAAACATCTCAACCTGGTCATGCACTCTAATATCTAGCAGTAGTTAGGCAAATGAGTCTAGGAAGGTTACAAAGGACATGAGGGCCTTCCTTGCCCCTGTGATATGTATTGAACTATGTGAGGATCTCCTGCCTCTGAACACCTTTGTCAATTGTTTATGCCCCAATTTTAAAGTTCTGGATGACACAACTGAAATCAATGAAATAAATAAATCACTGTCAAAATAATGATAGTGAACAGAAACAAAATAAAAACAAAATAGAATCATTGCAGCAGCCAACCCCGCGATAGTTGCTTTATAATGGCTGACATTATCGCTATCAATCTGCAGAATGAATACAAACAATAATATTTGCTTGACATTTAAAACTCAGCCAGTGATTTGATCAGAGAAAGGTCATGACTAACCTTTATTTAAGAATGGGAACCCCTTATTGAGGCAGAAGAAAAAAAATGAGATATTAACCTTTGGTTTTGATGATTGGTAAGAATTGTTATGGAAAGAGGAGTATTGACTTCAGTGTCAGCAAGGGAAGTATGAGTAATATCTATGTACGTATAACTGCGGAGAGGAAGATTAGAAGTCAAATTTTCTTTTTCTCTTTCTCTGTTTATTTATTTTGTACTTTTTATTGTATCACTAGCTGTCCCCTGCCACGCGTTGCTGTGGCCCTCATGAGGGTTCTGTGTGGGAGGTTTGGCCCAATTCTATCGTTAGTGGGGTTCAGAATGCTCTGTTATTGTAGGTGAACTATAAATCCCAGCAACTACAACTCCCAAATGTCAAGATTATATTTTTTCCAAAATGCCACCAGTGTTCACATTTGGGCATATTATTCGTGTAGAGTTTGGTCCAGATCCATCATTGTTTGAGTCCACAGTGCTCTTTGGATGTAGGTGAACTACAACTCCTCTAAATCCCTTCAATGACCTCCAGTATGCTTTGTTGGTCTGTGTGCCAAGTTAGTTCCAAGTCCATCATTGGTGGAGTACAGAGTGCTCTGTGATATTAGGTGAACTATAAATCCCAGAATGTCAAGATGCTATTTTCCCCAAACTCTACCAGTGTTCACATTTGGACCTATTGAGTATTCAGGTAGAGTGTGGTCCAGATGGATCATTGTTTGAGTCTACAGTGCTCTCTGGATGTAGGTGAACTACGACTCCAAAACCAAAGGGCACTCCCCTCCAAACCCTTCCAGTATTTTCTGTTGGTCATGGGAGAACCGTGTGCCAAGTTCAGTTCAATTGCATCATTGGTGGGGTTCAGAATGCTCTTTGATTGTAGGTGAACTATAAATCCCAGCAACTACAACTCCCAAATGACAAAATCAGGGTTTTTTTTTTTTGAGTGAAGGACATACATTGAGTTGTTAGGTGTCTTGTGTCCAAATTTGGTGTCAATTTCCCCAGTGGTTTTTGAGTTCTGATGGTATCACAAACAAACATTACATTTTTTATTTATATAGATTTCTAGTTCTTTATTTTGCAAAGGTTTCCTTTGTTTATTTGGTACTTTGTTGATTCTGGCTGCATTAGATTTTTAAAAAGTATTTTATTTTCAACCTTACCAAGTGGGAGCAAAAGAATAATTGAATGAACAATCGGTTATGCATTAATTTACATTGAGACTTGGGCAGGGTGGGAGGAGGGAAGAGTATAACCAAATGTGAATAGTGTATAAATGTTAGGACGCATTGTACTAGTTCATGCATATATACATGTATATAGATTTGCTTCATTGTTTTTATGAACATGTAAATAAAAAATAAAAAAACATTAATAAAAAATGAGACATAGACTGAAAGGTTTTAATACTTTACATACAGAGATTGATACACCATCCCAGCTACAAGTTACAGATGTGCAAGATAGCAGCATCAGAGTGAGATGGCAGCCTTCCTCCTCCCCAGTTACTGGCTATAGAGTGACCGCTGCCCCAAAGAATGGCCATGGCCCCACAAAAACAAGAGTCCTCTCTGCAGGTAAGAACTTTGGGCAGACACCATTTGTGAAACAGAATTAGATGGTTCCTCTGAGCTGGAATTGAAGTTATGGGACCCGCCAATTATGCCTTACTGGCTAGCAAGCCAAAACATGAAGACATCCATGACTACTTTCCTCGTTGGATGTTCTGAGATACTGAGTCTACAATAAAGGTCTCACTGTCTCTTTGCTGTTGTCAGGGAGAGATCGAGGGGTTATGGCAAGGCTGGCAAATGATGGTTTCAACCAATACTCAGGAGCACTGCTAATAATAAAGTACCGTATATACTCGAGTATAAGCCGACCCGAATATAAGCCGAAGCACCTAATATTACCACAAAAAACTAGTAAAACTGATTGACTCGAGTATAAGCCAAGGGTGGGAAATGCAGCAGCTACTGGTAAATTCCAAAATAAAAATGGATACCAATAAAATTGCATTAATTGAGGCATCGGTAGGTTAAATATTTTTGAATAAAACTGTAAGTTAAGATAAGACTGTCCTCTGATTAAAGCATTATTCTAACCTTCTTCAGTGTAAATGTGTTTACATATCCTTCCAATAATAATAGAGTAAAATAATAAAGGCAATAACAATAATAAAGAATAAAATAATAAATATAATAATAGAGTCAAATGATTAATGTAATAATAATAATAATAATAATAATAATAATAATAATAATATTAATAGACTAAAATAATAAAAAACCTTGACTCTAGTATAAGCCGAGGAAGACTTTTTCAGCCTAAAAAAAGGACTGAAAAACTAGGCTTATACTCGAGTATATAGAGTAATTGGTATCTAAAACTTTACCTGGGGAAAAATGCCTCTAAAAGTCCAGGCAGTTCTATGTCAAGTTTTTCCCTGCAGTAACCACAAGGCTGTGTTAGAAGATCTAGCAACTTTCTAGAGATGATATCTCTTATTATTATTATTATTATTATTATTATTAACTTTATTTGTACTCCGGAAGGACTCGATGCGGCTTACAAAGGCCAAGGCCTCAAAACAACAATATAACTAATACACATAAATCATAAAGCAAATCAAAAACATTAAAGCAGTAACAGTAACACAATAAAACTAGGACCGGGCCAAATGTAATGGGTACAGATTAAAAAGTGCTGGGTATGACAGGTGAAATATAAGGATTTAGGGTAAGTGCAATGTGCAGACAATCTTAGATTTCTAATAAAGTGCTTCTGGCACATGTTGCTGGAGTTCCTATTCTGGAAAGGCATAGTCCTCCAACGCAAGACTATTGTATGTTGGGAGTGAAGATCTGATATCTTAATGGCCTTTCTTCATATCAGGTAATTACAATCCAGGCAAGAATGTATCCCCTGTGGATGTGGGTTGTGGATATAGGTATGCTAAAACCAAACCTTCCATATACCAACAGAAGCACACAACTGAGACCCAGTTTAATGGTCAGGACCTCAAGAACCAAGCAGCTAGTTCTTTATGTGTGTGCAGATATTCTGAAAGTTGGGAGGCTTTAAAAACCAACATATGTCTCTACACTGCGATACTGTCCACTGCTATCACTCAGCTAGTGATCATATGAAAATGATTGAGGTCTTGCATATAAATATAATAACTGCTCCTCATTTATGCTGGATTACCTGTTCTAGAAGGACAGAACAACATCTGTACAATGTTGAGCAGTTATTATCATCTTGTTGTTACAAAGTTGTTAAGCTACATCCTAAGAGCATTTTTATCCATGCCGCTCAGGTTATTACTGACATTTATTCAGAACCTTTCATTCTGTTCTTGCAAATGTTTGCAAAAAGAGACACCAATGTACCATAGACTACAATGAAACTGATGCTAGAACAAAGAATTTCTGTCTTTTTTGCATTTTTGGAGAAAGATTTGAGTATGAAATCTGTTGATAAAGCATTCTTTACTTTGTAACAACTGGTTTGTATACGAAGGGTATTTTTAAAGTAAGGTCCGTTTTGTTGTAGACACTAGTAGTTTGCGCGCATACCGCAAGAAGTGCGTGCGTCGTGTACCGGCATGCCTCGGGAACAACTGTGCTCGGTTTCTGCTCTGTAGCTAACCTGTACGGTTCTGTTCTGTTCTTTAAAAATGTTTAAGACTATCAACTCACCCTCCGCATGTGAGGTTCGCTCAGTGATACGGTTTTTTTCAGCAAGGAACCTGCCTGCTGCAGAAATTCATTGACAGATTTGTGAAGTGTACGGTGATACCATTATGAGTGAAAGCAAAGTGCGTAAGTGGGTACGACAATTCAAAGATTTTTATTATTGTTATTGTGAAGTGCCTGTTCTCACGAATCCTCGCTTCAACTGAAGCTACCAAATCATCTGTAATCAAAGAAGGGTGACCGGAGCGGTCTTCATCATGGACGTTGTCACAGCCATCTTTGAATTGTCATACCCACTTACACACTTTGCTTTCACTCATAACAGTATCACCGTACACTTCACAAATCTGTCGATGAATTTCTGCAACAGGCAGGTTCCTTGCTGACAAAAACCGTATCACTGAGCGAACCTCACATGCGGAGGGTGAGTTGATAGTCTTAAACATTTTTAAAGAACAGAACAGAACCGTACAGGTTAGCTACAGAGTGGAAACTGAACACAGTTGTTCCCGAGGCATGCCGGTACATGACGCACATGCTCGTTGCGGTATGCGCGCGAACTACTAGTGTCTACAACAAAACGGACCTTACTTTAAAAATACCCCTCGTATATGCATCACATTGGCTTATTATGTTATTTTTTCCATCTGAGAGAAATCTGAACGCTTTGGACAGGCATCTAAGCTCAGTTGTGCTTGATTTATGTTGTGCTCTGCCCTGAGTCCCCTTCGGGATGAGAAGGGCGGAATATAAATGCTTTAAATAAATAAATAAATATTTCCATTGGGGAAGATAAAGAAGGGTAATAATAATAATAATAATAATAATAATAATAATTCGACTTCTTTTGAAACTAATTTGTTATTGGACTTCTATTTCAGAACAAACTGAAGTTACAATAGAGGGACTGCAGCCTACGGTCGAGTATATAGTTAGCGTCTATGCCCAGAGTCAAAATGGAGAAAGCCAACCACTGGTTGAGACGGCTGTTACAAGTATGTGTTTAGCATCTTATGAGTTTTGTTGCAAGACTGTGGTATCTCCAAATCCTTGAGTCTATTGCTAGAACACTCTGGAAGTTGCAGAAAGAAGCATCACTCTCACCAATGCGACCTGGAGAAGTAGCTGAAATACAATCCCCTCCCTCATCTCCAAAAGCTGTGCTTTTAATATATCTGGAAAATGATCTATTCAAAAACATAATCCTAATTTCCTTTGGGTAAATCAGTGGGAAATGTTTTGATATGATTTTTTTTCTATACTAAGATAGTAAAAGGTGATTTTGCTCAAGAATATGGAGTCCCCTTTATAACTGATGTCTAATCCTGACGTAGCTCTGTATTCATTTTAACAGCTCCTGGGAACTAAAATATGAAGGTGGAATGAATTGGAACTTCAGAACTTGGATATTGAAATCCAAAATTCAGAGTCTGAATATAAAATTCTGGTTTAAAAATGCTTCCCCTGTCTGTGAGGAATTTTGTAGAACAATTGCCTCAGTGTAACACTGAAGCAAGTCCATATGAAGTGCTCGCAGCTATTTTCTTTATGTTTTTCTCATAAAGAAAAGCATAAAGAAAATATGTTTTTGCCTGCAGAAAAAAAATAAGAATTTGAAATTTTTTCTCCCACTGACATAAAGCTAATGAGGAATCCCTGTAGGGTCAACAGAGTTGTCATCTTCTCCCTTTGTCAATTCATAGGAAAATATGAAGAGATATATAAGGATATCACTGCAAGGATATTGTTGAGATTAACTTTACAATTCAGCAGCAGATCAATTGCACAACTTCAGCACTTTCCAGTAGCTTCTTTCTGCACAGTATTTTCAGTCAACTGCTCCCACAGCCTGCAGTCACTCTGGAACCTTTTACAGACACTTGAGCACATGCCTGCCTATTGTCAGTTTTACCATTGTCTTTCCCCCAGTCTAGATGACATTACAAACTTAGCACAGCACACAGTTATATCTTCTCTTAGCAGACAGCTTCTTTTAATTACATATAGCCTTCGACGAACAACATCACAGCACAAGGAGAGATTATACACTGTACATGACTTCCTTATATACATTTCTATACAATTACACATAGCAATCTCTGATTGGTTCCAAACTCATTAACTTAACTCAGACCCAGGATTGCATCATTCACAATCACCTGGACTAGGCCAGAACACATTCCCCAAATGATTCCCTATATACAGTTAATACATGACTCAGCATTTCCAATAGAAGCCAATTAGCAGTGCATGGCTCAGCTATATTACATTACAATACATTGCAAAACCTGACAGGTATATAGCTGCAGAACAAGGGATTTCAATCCCCAAGTAAGAATTCTGTCCATCAGATGGGACTTCCATTTAATCCCCTAACATCTAGCATTACAGAAAGAATTTTGTTGAGTCAATTAGAAATACATCTGCAGTTTGTCCCAGTCTAGCCCTAGAGGGTTCTCTCCAGATTTTCCAAATTTTATGGTGAAGGGAAGAATCTGATCTTTAAAACATAGAAAATAAATCAGTTGACAAAAAAGGAAAGCAATACTCTTGAGCCACAAGATTAAATAAATCACCTTTCTACCTGGAAGGCATAGAAAAACCACAGCTAACATTGCTGCACTGTCACTAATGGAAAAAATAAATGACGTTTCGACCCTTCTTTTGAAAATGAAATGGCTTGTGGAAGTGAGCCAAGAGCCCACGCCTGCGCACAGAAGGAAGGCCTACTGTGAGCCATGGGATACTTTCCTGAGTAAGCAATCCTAGGGCTTCAGTGCTGGCTTCCCTGACAGCTTTCAGATGGATTCCTGCTGCTATCCATGGTTTCAGAGCAGCTTCCTATGTTACCATTTCAGTGCATGGAAGCATTCCCAGAGGTCAAGTCTATGTTCAGAGGCAGCATGAAAAAATGAACATAGATTTATGACCTGCTGGACTCCTGAAGCGTTGTCCCAGTGCCTCTCCAGGGGCTTTTTTTTGGGCATGGACAGTGACCCAGTATCATTCTGAAACTGTAACATCCAATGGCCAAATGGTTCCCTTAATTGGTGGTTGCTAATGTGATTTAATGAGCATAATATGCACACATATAATTTCAAAAAGTATTTTTGTTTGAATAATTGATGCACAATTATTGATTTTTCGAAAAAGAGCTTATTTGATGCCTCTTTATGTTCAATTACAGCCCTATAACATGGCTGTCAGCCTGGTTATCTGATGATGCTGGTGCAGAGAAGTTTTTGGGAAGGGGAGTCAATTTAGATTAGAGTTCTGGGCTAGCAAATAAGATAAAATAAAATAAAGGATTGCTGGACACTGGGATGAGCTTTTGGGAGTGGCTGATTTGTAGCAACTTTTCTGATCCTGGGCCCATTTCAAATACGAGGGGTATTTTTAAAGTAAGATCCGTCTGAACATAAGTACACAACGAAAGTTTATTTCAAAAAAGTAAATTTATTTTCAGAAAGTACATACTTCACTCTATTTTTTGACATAGTTGCCAAGTTTGTTCAAACATCATACCTCTGAACCAATTTTAAAATACCCTATTCACGAATCCTCGCTTCAACTGAAGCCACCAAATCGTCTGTAATCAAAGAAGGGCAACCGGAGCGGTCCTCATCATGGACGTTGTCACGGCCATCTTTGAATTGTTGTACCCACTTACGCACTTTGCTTTCACTCATAACAATATCACCGTACACTTCATAAATCTGTCGATGAATTTCTGCAGCAGGCAGGTTGCTTGCTGACAAAAACCGTATCACTGAGCAAACCTCACATGTGGAGGGTGAGTTGATAGTGTTAAACATTTTTAAAGCACAGAATAGAACTGTACAGGTTAGCTACAGAGCAGAAACTGAGCACAGTTGTTCCCAAGGCATGCCGGTACACGACACAACCGCTCGTTGCGGTATGCGCGCGAACTACTAGTGTCTACAACAAAACGGACCTTACTTAAAAAAATACCCCTCGTACAATTGTCTGAAAGGGGGGTGACTGTAGTAGACTCCTAATGTTTTACTTGTTTGGTTTCCTAGTCTGTAGCTGAAACATCAAGGTTAACAGGTGGATCTGTTAATAAGACTAGGTCAGTTGTGGCATTCTCTGCAAGAGCATGCATTTTACACAACTTGGAATTTTTTCTTTGGACTACAATTTCTAGCAATTGCCAGCCACCCTGGCGACTTTGGAATGGTAGTCCCATAACAATGACAACAATGCTTCCAAACTCTAGTTTATTGCAAGATTCTCTGCAACAGCATGTCAAGCAACTGGGTATTAGTTTTATGCATATTGCAACTTCTGTTATGCAGTTTCAAATGCCTTCATGAGGCTTCACATGAAGTTTGCGGGGAAACAATTCTATTCCTGAATGTTCAGAAATAGAAGGTTGCTATGCTTGCCTATAACAACATGCTTTGTGCCACCCCCAATCTGCTTTTCTCCCTTCCCCCTCCACTTAACTTGTCACCGTTAATTTGCCTAACAGAAATTGACAGCCCCAAAGGACTGACATTCACTGAGGTGGATGTCGATTCCATCAAAATTGCTTGGGAAAGCCCACAGGGGCAAGTCACCAGGTACAGGGTGACCTACTTCACCCCTGAGGATGGAATCCATGAGCTCTTCCCGGCTCCAGATGGTGAAGACGACACTGCAGCACTTCATGGCCTCAGGCCGGGTACTGAGTACACTGTCAGCATCATTGCCTTGCACGATGGCTTGGAGAGCCTCCCTCTGATTGGGACCCAGTCCACAGGTACACATAGAGTGATGCCACATGGTGGTCAGTTGGCAACTGTGTCCTTCTTTGTCCATCAGGCTAGATAAGCTCTGAGGAGCATCTGGTTGTGAGGAACACAATCCTGGGGAAACTGGGGGTGGGATTGTGTTAGTGTGTGTGTATGTCATCAATATGGGGGTGGGGGTTGGATGAACAATTAATGCCATTCAAGGTTAGTAGACAATCCAGTACATGTAGCATGATGGGCTGCATAGTGGAAATAATAATGATAATAAGAGTAATAATTACAACAACAACCCACTTCTCCTTTCAGGGTTAAAACATAAACAATAACACACAACACTTAAAATATATATAACATAAGACTACATAAATAAAATGTAGTCAATAGAATGCCAGTTTCCGTTGTGAGAGCAATATCTTTTCAATTGAAACCTTTTCTCATCGAGACAGGTTTCTCCTCTAACCACTACACTGCCTATCAGATCACAAAAGAACCCTGGGGCTGATCGGGGCTGATCTTGGGAATATTCTTTCTGAACTAGCTCCACATCCATCTAATTCGCTCTTTTAAGAAGGATAAGCTTTTACATTTACTTTTGATTTTTTAATCATGGGGGATAATATAAGTATTTAATAATCTGGTTCATGGATTTTGATGCAAATTAGATTCCTTATGCTCAAACTACATACAATAATCAAGGGCCCTGGATAAGAGTTGTTTCCCTGAAAGTAAGAATCATACACATACTAGATACTAGATGACAACACCACAGGTACAAAATTCACAATGTTCTTCATTTACAGGAGTGCATATAATAAGATAATGAATTGATAGAAAATGCTTGCATATAAGGCGTTCTCTGGACCAGTGCTTTTCAGGCTACCACATTGTGATAGGGACTGGAAGTATATTTGTGAGCTTTGGCTAGAACTGCTTATCTTGGGAACTCTTTGTGGACTGAGAGCTGAAGACTTATGGGTCAGTGACCAGGGACAATCACTTTGTGTAGCTCTGAAATGGATTAGTTTCACAATGATTTCATTTTTTGATCCTAAATTTAACAGCAATTCCACCTCCCACAAATCTGAGGTTTGGTCAGATTACTCCAACCAGCGTGACTATCACCTGGACTGCACCAAATGTTCGGCTCACTGGCTACCGTGTCAGAGTGAATCCAAAGGATAAAAACGGGCCAATGAAAGAAATTAATGTATCTCCTGATAGTACATCTGCTGTTGTTTCGGGACTCATGGTAAGCCTTTCCTCTCTACCCTGCTGGATGAAGTGGTGTCATTGTTTAGAAAGCCTTTTCAAATTCTGTGATACAAAAGTTCACCTTGTTTTAGTTTTGTTGAGAATTTAGAAAATGAAATGGTTGGAATGACAGTCTGTATTTCTTGGTAATTAACAGTTATCTCATTTGTTTGGAAAACTGCATGTTCTATCCAAATCCTTCCATGGCATATGGGATGTAACTTAGATAGGGCAGTAGTATCCCAAGGCCAAGAAATTATTTTTCTGGTGGTTTCCCTATTTTTATTGGGGAAAGGAATGAACTCTTGATGTAAAAGGAGTCAAGATTACCTGTCTTTTTATCTAACCCGAGGACCATACTTGATGTCCTAGGGAAGCCACATATGTGTAGTGATATTTATTTCCAGTTCACATATAAAGCAAGGTGCTGGCTGAGAATAAAGTCCTATTTTAATATAAAAAATAGATTACATGGGTTTGGAGAGTTGAGCCCTTCTTTCAGTGCACCCTGGTCAAAGCACTACATTGTTTTTAAGTGTCAAACTAGAGCCTATGGACCACCCAGGCTCAGCCCCATGTCCAGCCATGAGGAACACATGGTATTTTCAGGATTATCTTTCTGCACCTAACCCACCTCACTAGGTTGTTATAGGAATAAAATGTATCAGATAAATGCATTCATACTTTTTGATCTCATCCCAGTCTACTGAATGCATCAGAACCCAGGGTGGGAGAAAAAACACTGGTTGGACAGTATGAGAATGGGATATTTTTCTTGGGAAAAAAACCCAAACAAAACCCCAAACTCTGAATGCAGGACAACATATAACTTAGTGTTCCTGTCAAGTCTTGTCTGGCCTTGAGGTCTAAATATATTTCATCACATCTGCTTGGAAAATAAATGGCTGAGAGCTTTTTTTGAAGTAGGTTATTTGTCAGGTTTTTATGGCCTTCCAAATAATGAGCAGTGTGTGATTTTGTTTTTTTTAGGTGGCAACCAAATATGAAGTCACTGTCTATGCTCTGAAGGACTCTCTGACCAGCAGACCTGCCCAGGATGTAGTCACTACTCTTGAGAGTAAGTTATCCTGTCAAAATAATTCTAAATTAACTGAGCCAAGATGCATAAAGATTAGGATGTCTTAAGCTATATGTGTGTGTTGGGGGAAGAGGCGCGTCAGAGAAAAAAAGCCAGTACCATTTGACATTGTACATTAGGGGTCCTCAAACTTTTTAAACACAGGGCCAAGTCACAGTCCCTCAAACTGTTGGAGAGCTAGATTATAATTTGAAAAAAAAAACATGATTGAACTCCTATGCACACTGCACATATCTTATTTGTAGTGCAAAAAACACTTAAAAATAACACAAGAATTAAAATGAAGAACAATTTTAACAAATATAAACTTCTTAGTATTTCAATGGGAAGTGTGGGCCTGCTTTGAGCTGATGAGATAGGATTGTTGTTGTTTTTGTGTGCTTTCAAGTCATTTCAGACTGAGGTTGATCCTGAGTGAGGGCCGGGTAAATGACCTTGGAGGGCCTTAGTTTGAGGATCCCTGTTGTACATAGTAAAACTATGGGATTTCCCACCACAAGCTCATGCATATGACCATTCTGTCAACTATGACATTCTCCTATTTGTTTAATGTGTAGATGTCAGCCCTCCCCGCCGGGCACGCGTAATAGATGTCACAGAAAGAACCATCACAATTAACTGGCGCACCAAGACTGAGACAATCACTGGTTTCCAGATTGATGCCATCCCAGCAAGTGGTCAGAACCCAGTCCAAAGGACAATTGGCCCTGATGTGAGGACCTACACCATCACGGGTAAGATAGTTTCTTTCTACCTTTCCCCGTTCTCCAGGAACACATTGCTGTTCTGCATCTGGGATGCTCTGCGAGCCAGAAGATGAACCTACCACTTGAGAGTGCCATGCAAACACAAATTGTGTCAGTATTGTTTAGGCTTCCGTTGGAGCCCATGTTATTGTTATATCACACATTTTGAGATCTATATGGGCAAAGGAAGACAATTCCAAGAAAACAACAACAGTGAATATGTTTTTCTAAACATTTAAGATGAATGTTTAGAAAAATACGGTGTACAAGAATGAAGGAATATCTTGGCTAAGGGATTAACAGGAGACATGATAATTCAGCATTCGAAAAGATGTCATATTGAGGAAGGAGCAAGCTTGCTTTCTGGTGCTCCAGAGACTAGCACATTGAGAAACAGATTCAAACTTCAGGAAAGAGATTCTGCTTAAACCTTGGGAAGAACTTCCTGATTCATAGTGTAATAAGCTGCCTTAAAGTGTGGTGGAGTCTTCTCTTCTGGAGATTTTAAAATAACAACTGAAATGCTATCTGTCAGGACTCTTTTAAAGATGCATTCCTGGATTATTTATTTATTTATTTATCACATACTTCTCCTTTCGACTCGAAGTGAGGCCCATGATAGTAACACATCTAAAAATCACATATAATACAGCTAAAATGCAAGCATAAAAACATACACATAAATGAGACAAAACTTAAAACATCAGGAACATAAAATGTGATTTGGAAGTTATAATGAAAGGTGAACGGGGAGGCCTGCCAAAAGAAAGAGGTTTTCAATTGTGTTTTAAATTATGACAGCTCATTTAACTGTCAGATCTTCTAAAAGGCCATTCCACAGTCTTGGGGGAGCTGATGAAAAGGTCATTCGAAAAGATTGCCAGTCTGATTCTGGTTGGATGGAGTAACCACCCCACAGAGGACCTAAGTGTTCAGGGCAGATTGTACAGGAGAAGGCAATCCTGTAGGTAACTTGGACCCAACTATATAGGGCTTTAAAGATCAAAACCAACACTTTGTACTTTGCCCAGAAAATCATTGGCAACCACTGGAGTGACTTTAGTATAGAAGTCATATGCTCACACCTGGATTTTCTGGTAACTAGTCTGGCTGCTGTGTTTGGAACAAATTGGAGTTTCTGAACTTGGAACAGAGGTAGCCTAATATATAGCGCATTGCAGAAGTCTAATCTTATTGTTACCAGTGCATGCACTACCATCTTTAGGTCCTCCAAATCTAGGAAGGGGTGCAGCTGGCATATCAACCGAAGCTGGTAGTAAACACTCCTGACAGTTGCATCTATCTGGACTGGGATTTAGAGAGACAGATCCAGAAGCACTCGCAAGACATGAACACAGTCTTTCAGGGGGAGTGTTACCCCATCCAGAACTGGTTGACACACCTCCATCCCTAGATTAGGACCCTTAATGACAAGCCTCTCAATCTTGTCTGGATTCAGTTTCAATTTCCTCATCCAACCCTCAAGGCATTCATTCTGAAGAGAAACACTATCCTTAGCTAAAGCTGTTTTGGAAGACATGGGGAAATATATTTGAGTGTCTTTAGTTTACTGATAGTACCACACTCCGTGCCTCCAGACCATCTCTCCCAGTGGTTTCATGTAAATGTTAAAAAAAACATTGTGGATAGACTGGCCCCTCGTGGGATGTCACATAACAGTTCCTTTCTTGAGGAGCAGCTATTCCCAAGAACCACCATCTGTAACCTGCGTAAAAGAGAGATGGCTGGAACCACTGCAACTCAGTGCATGGCAGGAAGTTGAAGTTGGCCATCTGCAAGGACGTTGCCTAGGGGACGCCTGGATGATTTGATGTTTTTATCACCCTTGTGGGAGGCTTCTTTCATGTCCCCGCATGAGGAGCTGGAGCTGATAGAGGGAGCTCATCCACTTCTCCCCGGATTCGAACCTGCAACCTGTCGGGTCTTCAGTCCTGCCAGCACAAGGGTTTAACCCACTGCGCCATGATTCCATGAATCCCAGGCATAACAGTTCTCTAATATTTCTGTCTTCAAGACTCTTCTTACTTATATTCTGTTCTTCCACTGTTCACACTTTCCACTTCTACTTTTCTGCATCAGTCTACAAACCTGCAAAGGATATGAACCTAGCTGCCTTGTATGACATTTTTGTAGCCTTTCCAATTAGAAACAAAACAATGCATCTCTGTATTCTCGTGAACAGTGATGATGCTATAAGGGCTTATGATTGGAATTCCTTAATGTCCTTCCTAACTTCTTTTTCACTGACTTCCAGGGTTCAGTGGACCTCAGAACAGAAATTTTTATGAGCAAGGCTAATGGGTTTAAATATTTTATTTTGAATTGCAGGCTTGCAACCTGGCACTGACTACAAGATTTACATCTACACCCTGAATGACAATGCTCGCAGTTCGCCCGTCGTGATAGATGCTTCCACTGGTAATGGCACTTTATAAAAAATCATATTAATGGAAATGATGGTTTTCTTTTGTTTGAACATGTAGATCATTTCTGATGTGTCACAGCCCTGCCATTTCCCTGCCATTGGGGAATAAAGCAATCTATTGGCAAATGATGGTTGGAAATATATGGAAACAGCATTATTTTCCCTCTGGGGATATGATGTCATTTGGAGAGGTTTTCATTTGAGTGGTTTCTTTTACTTCTTAGCCATCGATGCGCCTTCCAACCTACGCTTCCTCACCACCACAACCAACTCCGTGTTGCTCAGTTGGCACCCACCCCGAGCCAAGATCACAGGGTACATCATCAAGTATGAGCGCCCTGGGGGACCAACGAGGGAGCTGCTTCCTCGTCTCCGCTCTGGCATGACCGAAGCTACTATCACTGGTATGTACCTCTTAAAGAGAGAAATTAATAGCCTCTGCAATCCAAACTTGGAAAAAATCCTTGTTGGGGTACTACAATTTCCAGTGTCTCCCTTCTGGCTGGGGTATTCCAACTTCAGAACTCCCCAGGCTGGATTGGCTAGTGGCCATGTTGACTGGGGAATTCGGAGTGTTGTAGCCCTAAAAGTTACTTTTCCATGGTCTGCCTGCAATATAGTTATTAGTACTATGGCACCTGAAAGTCTAGCAGATATTAATGCAGTGGCTTTTTGACAGGATAATGTATTGGAATATTTGTGTTTAGAGGAACCTCTGACAAGCAAAGGAGAAGAATAGCTATGGCTCTCAGATAAGGGCATTAGCTTTCTTCACTTTTCACTTCACTTCACTTTATTTCTTAATTAGTCGCTCTCCACCAAGGTGCTCCGAGCGACTTACAATCTAAAATAGCATTTATACAATATAAAAACATTCAACATAAAAACATTCAACAGTGACTATTTGGCAAATTAGATCTGATTACTTAAATGCACAACCAAACAGCCAAGTCTTGAGTGCCTTTACAAAAGGTCGCAACTCCGACATTGCTCTAATGTATGGAGGCAAAGAGTTCCACAGAATTGGAGCATAGGTCGAAAAAGCTCTACGCCTTGTAGCTTCCAGGTGTACCTCCCTAGGGCCCGGTATGTAGAGGAGATTTTCCTGGGTGGATCGAGGTGACCACTGATGGAGAAAAGGAATGAGGCGGTCCCTAAGATATAAAGGTCCTTGGCCATTTTGAGCTCTAAATGTCAGGATCAGTATCTTGTAAGAGATCCGATGTTCTATTGGTAGCCAATGCAGTTGTTGCAGAATCGGTGTAATATGGGATCTTATAGATGATCCCGCTAGCAGCCTGGCCGCTGCATTTTGGACCATCCGAATCTTCTGGGTTGTTGACTTTGGAAGGCCAGCATATAAGGCGTTGCAATAGTCCAACCTAGTGGTGACTGTTGCGTGGATTACTGATGCTAATTCTTCTACCGAAAGGTAGGATGCCAATTTCCTTGCCTGGTGAAGATGAAAAAAGGCCTGCTTACTTATGGCAGTGATCTGGGCCTCCATCATCAGCAATGAATCCAACACAACCCCAAGGCTTTTAACAGTGGCAGACGGAACCAGAGCTTCCCCATCGAAATCAGGCAGAGACTAGGTTAATTCCGGCGGCTTGCCGGGACAGAGTATCTCAGTTTTTGCAGGATTCACTTTTAGTCTGCTCGCTCGCAGCCAACTCATCACTGCTTCCAAACACAGCCTAAAGTTCTCAGGAATCGCGGTTGTCCCAGGTTCTTAGCTTGAGTTGAAATGCCTGAGAGAATTGATGGACTGGTAGGGAAACAGGTTGGAGGAGAAAATGCATTGAAGTGGTTTGAGTACTATGGTATGTGTTAATTTTTTAGCTGGGTCAGATTCAAATGGTTCTTTAATTGCGAAATATATATTGCAAACTTGACTAAAACATTACTTTAATTATCATATTTTTTCAATATATTGTTTAGACCTTATAGTGATATTACTTGTCTTTATCTTACATAAGAGCACTTCTTGTAGTGTCTCAATTGGGTCCTATGGTGCCATCCTAAAAGGTGTCTCTTCTTTAAACCAGGTCTAGAGCCGGGGACAGAATACACCATCTACATAATTGCTGTGAAGAATAATCAGAAGAGTGAACCACTGATTGGAAAGAAAAAAACAGGTAACCCTATCTTTGGTTGGCCACTTAATTGGGAGTAAGCCCCATTGAACTTAAAAAACCTTATTTTGTATGATGTTGATGCCATTCTTAAGTATGAAAAGAAGCTAAATGCTTGAGGTTTCTGTTACTTCTATTAATTCTATTACTAGATTGTTAAGGACATGGCACTTTCAGAAACCTCTTTTCTCTTTTAGTAATTATACATCATTGGATAAAACTATAATTTTTTTGTTTGATAATTCTTTGTTATTTAAATAAGTTGGTTTATGGAAACTGAATCAATACTGACTTGCTAAATTCAGGTGCAGTTTACTGGCTGTGGCTGGGGTTAACATAAGCTTGCTTTCATTTCTGGCCTGGCATTCTTCGTATTTTGACAATGGCTATATATAGGTGGGTGCTAATCCCTTAGTTCAGCATTTCTCAACCTGGGGGTCGGGACCCCTGAGGGGGTCGTGAAGGGGTGTCAGAGGGGTCGCCAAAGACCATTAGAAAACACAGTATTTTCTGTTAGTATGGGGGTTCTGTGTGCCAAGTTTGGTGGAGTTCAGAATACTCTTTGATGATAGGTGAACTATAAATCCCAGTAACTACAACTTTCAAAGGTCAAGGTCTATTTTCCCAAACTCAACCAGTGTTTACATTTGGGCATATTGAGTATTCGTGCCAAGTTTGGTCCATGTCCACCATTGTTTGAGTCCACAGTGATCTCTGGATGCAGGCGAACTACAACTCCAAAACTCAAGGTCAATTCCCACCAAACCCTTCCAGTATTTTCTGTTGGTCATGGGAGTCTGGTTCAATTCCATCATTGGTGGAGTTCAGGATACCCTTCGATTGTAGCTGAACTATAAATCCCAGCAACTACAACTCCAAAATGACAAAATCAATCCCCCCCCCCAAATCCCCCCAGTATTCAAATTTGGGCATATCAGGTATTTGTGCCCAGTTTCATCCAGTGAATGAAAATACACCCTGCATATCAGATATTTACGTCACGATTCATAATTTTGAAGGGTTCTCGGAGGCACCACAGTTGTCACAGCCACATGCTTTTGTCTCTCCATTCAAGTGCTTTAAGTAGCCCTCCATAGAGTAATTGCAAAAAGGCTTTAAGGGAGCATGTAGCACCCTTGAGAGTGATGCTAACATTTAATTGCTTGGATTAAGCAGTGTTTTTATGGTGCAGCTGCCTAGTTTACTCATGTAATGAATGCATTGCTTGCTTGGGCTCCAGCGGTGGCTGCCTTCATGGCTTTTAACCTCTCTTTGGCTAGATGAGCATCCCCAGCTGGTAACGCTTCCACACCACAGCCAAGGTGGGCCAGAGTTCCTAGATGTGCCTTCTGTTGTGGAGAACACACCTTACATCACAAACAACCCCTATGACAATGGAAATGGTATCAAACTTCCAGGCACTTCTGGGCAGCAGCCTATAGTGACCAACCCTGGCCAGGTCATCGTGGAAGTGTATGGATCCCGGACTCCCACAACTGCAGCCACTCCATCGCGGCGTAGACCAAATGCAGGAGAAGAATCTGGAGTGGTGGACCGCCATCCTGGGCGGATACCAGAGGTGGACAGGCCTTCTTACCCTCATACCTTTCTGCCCAATAACAACCGCACAAGGCCCCTGGAAGCACTTTCAGAGACTACCATTGCATGGACCCCCTATTTAGAAAGCTCTGAATATATCATCTCTTGTCAGCCTGTTAGCTCTGAAGAAGAACCCACAGAGGTAACTACCATTTTATTTTTTCCCCAAAGTACTGATAATAGGAAATGAGATGATGATGATGATTGATTTAACTTAATAGTTAACATTAGTAGTATTCCCAAAGAGCTTATGGGTTGAAACAGAAAACAGAATAAGAAGAGAGAGAAAGGCAGGATAAATGTGTATATTCTTAAATGTGATACGTTTCCTGAGTTTAATTTTTAATTACTGTTAGAAATTTTTTTTTGTCGGGTCAGGAGCGACTTGAGGAACTGCAAGTCGCTTCTGGTGTGAGAGAATTGGCCGTCTGCAAGGATGTTGCCCAGGGGATGCCCGGATGATGGAGCCCCCGGTGGCGCAATGGGTTAAACCCCTGTGTCGGCAGGACTGAAGACCGACAGGTCACAGGTTCGAATCCGGGGAGAGGCGGGTGAGCTCCCTCTATCAACTTCAGCTCCGCATGCTCTCCCACAAGGATGATAAAAACATCAAATAATCCGGGTGTCCCCTGGGCAACGTCCTTGCAGACGGCCAATTCTCTCACACCATAAGCTGTTGAAATTAGAATTAAGGGAGAAAGGGAAAAGCCACATGGAGAAAGTGGGATCTGAAAAATGATATGAAAGAAGGGAAAGAACATGTTTTTAGGAATCATGATGAGTTGCAAGAGAAAGTGGTAGGAGAAAGTTAAGGAGGGAGCTTTTTTTCGTGTCAGGAGCGACTTGAGAAACTGCAAGTCGCTTCTGGTGTGAGAGAATTGGCCGTCTGCAAGGACGTTGCCCAGGGGACTCCCGGATGATTTAATGTTTTCATCATCCTTGTGGGAGGCTTCTCTCATGTCCCCGCATTGGAGCTGGATTTGACATGGTAGAGGGAGCTCATCTGCCTCTCCCCGGATTCGAACCTGCGACCTGTTGGTCTTCAATCCTGCCGGCACAGGGGTTTAACCCACTGCGCTACCGGGGGCTCCAGGAGGGAGCTGAAGAAGATAGAAACAGATGAACCAGAGGAAAAACTTGGGATATAAAAACTTGGGACTGTGATTCAGTCCAAAATTATAGGTTAAGATAAGTCATTGAGGGGCTTCCAAAGTAAGGAATTTTTGTAGGGATATGAAAAGGGCATCACATAAAAGGGATGTGCATGTTAACTGTTGTTAGCACAGCTTTTGGAGAGAGGACCAAGAAATGAAAAACAAAGGGCAGAAAAGGTGACTGAAAAACTGAGGCAAGAAGTGACTAGTAATCAGACTTTTGACAGAAATGCCAGAGCAGTTTTTGCTGTGCTGTACAAGAAAAAAGTTTGAACAGTCTCATAAAGTTGACATTTCCAGAATTTATCAGGGCATCATATGAAGAACGCTCATGGCATCAGGACATGGGCCAAGTAGTAACATGGTGCTCCCTCTCTGTATTTCATTTGGATAAAGAGAAGCTATCTCTGCAAGGCATAGTAATTTTAAAAAGAGATAATCCTTCCCCAGAGGATAGGATGACTGTGAAAATCATTTTAGAGCTAGCTGTCTGCCCTTTTACAAAGCAAAGGACTCCTTTACTTTCAATGCTTTGAATTTTCTCAACCTGCAGATCAAAGTTCCTGGCACGTATTCTAGTGCTACTCTCACAGGTCTTACAAGAGGTGCCACCTACAACATCATAGTGGAGGCAATCAAAAATCGTAGACGGCATAAAGTTCTTGAAGAAGTAGTTACAGTGGGCAATACTGGTGAGTGGATGCCAAATTTGGGGTGATTGAAGAATTATTGACTATTGCATTTATATCCAGCCATTCTTTCATGGTATTATGATGCCATACATCCATTATGAATGCACAGACGCCCACATGCACTTTTTTAGCATACCAATTTTGTGATACGCAAGAAATGTGTTTGATGGAGCTGTTCTGGAAATGTTTCTACTATGGCCAGTCTGTCTGAGGAATAGATCAGCTGTATTGAAAGGAAAATCAGATTGTTCTGCCTGCTGATGGCCTCTACTTGCATCTTTTCAGGAAAAGAATGTGTTCTGCACCCAAAATTTTCTCCTAGCCACAGTCATGACCAATGGTTTTTCTTTGACTCAGCTGATTATACCCATAACGAATATTGGCATGTTTGATTACTTTGTTATTAAATCTAGTGGGGTTTTGAGTTGTTGTAGGTTTTTTCGGGCTGTATGACCATAGTCTAGAGGCATTCTCTCCTGACGTTTCGCCTGCATCTATGGCAAGCATCCTCAGAGGTAGTGAGGTCTGTTGGAACTAGGAAAATGGGTTTATATATCTGTGGAATGACCAGGGTGAGACAAAGGACTCTTGTCTGCTGGAGCTAGGTGTGAATGTTTCAACTGACCACCTTGATTAGCATACCATGGGCTGACAGTGCCTGGAGCAAACTTTTGTTGAGAGGTAATTAGATGCACAACAACAGAGAGGAAGAAGCCTTCGACAATACTAGTGGGGTTTTATTTATTTATTTAAACCATTTGTATTCTGCCCTTCCCACCCCACAGGGGACTCAGGGCAGATCACTTACTCCCATGTAAGTGCATACAGTTGCACCCTAGACTTTACTTATCAAGAAAAAATCTTGAAATAAAGCTGAATTGCTTTTCTGGGGACCAGAAACCTCTACACAAACAAAATGTAATAATTCTCCACAATTAACAACATCTGCTGTAGGGAAGGTTAGATTAGGAACCTTCTTCTCAACTTGCTAGTTTTCTATATGACCATTAAAGCCTTGACTCAATGGCTTCATGCAGATGTGTAATGAGCTCTAGAGGCATTCTCTCCTGATGTTTCATCTGCATCTATGGCTAGCATCCTCAGAAGGATGCTTGCCATAGATGCAGGTGAAACGTCAGGAGATAATGCCTCTGGAACATGGCCATATAGCCTGAAAAAACCTACAACAACCCAGTGATTCCGGCCATGAAAGCCTTCGACAATACAGTGGGAATCTTTGTTGTGAAACTGATTTGGAAGCAATGATTCATTCCAGAAATACTTGCTCAGGGCTCTGGAGGTCCTAAATAGAAGTATTCAAAAAATCTGGGTTGGGAGAGGATGCATGTTTTAAGTGTAGTATTCCAGACCACAGACTTGACTACACTTACTTATGCTACTAGGGAAATCTGTTTATTAGTCTAAAGAGTCTTCATCATTCCCGGCAGCATCTGGAGAAGGAAAAATTCTCAGAGAGGTTTTATTTGTTGTCATAGAACTTGACATTCTTTTTATCTCCTTTTCTGTTTTTTTAACTTTCCAGTTTCCGAAAGGTTAAACCAACCCACAGATGATTCATGCTATGATACTTTCACTGGCTCTTTCTACTCCCTTGGAGAGGAATGGGAAAGAATGTCTGAAACAGGATTTAAGCTCTGGTGCCAATGTCTAGGTCTTGGCAGTGGCCACTTCAGATGTGACTCCTCAAGTGAGTAGTTTCTTTTGTTCATCCAGTTCTATTTTTTAATATTTCTGATGCACTGTTCTGTAAGTATTTATTTATTTATTTATTATTTATTTACAGCTTTTATATTCCGCCCTTCTCACCCCACAGGGGACTCAGGGTGGATTATATGGCAAACATTCAATGCCAATTTTTGACATACAAACATATACAGACATACACAGATGCTATTTAACTTTTTTCTGGCCACCAGGGGAGCTGTCGCTTTCATCATCCATCTGCGACGCTGTTGAAGCACTTCCGCATTCCCCGCATGCTTCCCTGCTGGAATGCTTTGCTGGAGTCTTCTTTATGGCCTCATAAATCAGTTAATTTAGCAATTGGTCTCTGCCTTACCATTTTATGGGCTAAGCCTCAGCCACATAGGATCACATGTACAAGATCATGGCCACACATCAAGTGTTGTTTATAGTAGTGCTTTAAACAGGTCCATCAGTAATGTACATTGAAACAGCAATCTGATCTATTCCTTCTCCTGATCATTCCAGAATGGAGAAATGTGAAATCTTTTCATAAAGATTTGTTTCTGTTCCTGAAAAAGAATACAGGATTAGCTACAAATGCTCTCACTGGCAAATAGCTTGTTGCCAATCCTCAGTCAAAGAAAGCTGAATACCTTGATAGAGTTGGCATCAATCTAACTAATTTTGTTTTGACACTATGGTTTGTAGCTGATATTTCCCCCCACATATATCACAGCAACCAACTGTATTTTTAGATCTTTTACACACACACACACTCACTCACACACACACACACACACACACACATAAACATCTAACTTAAATTCACTCTAACTTCTAAATTTGTTCCTATATTCTGGGGCAAATCGATTGGTGGGGACCAGGGACAGGGCCTTCTCCATGGTGGCCCCCCGACTCTGGAACTCTCTCCCGAAGGACATCAGACAAGCCCCAACTCTTTAGGAAGAGCTTGAAGACAGGGTTGTTCCAGAATAGGAAACTTCAAGCATCATGTCCCAAATGCACTTTAGCAGAGATTTAAGATTGTCTGCACACCGCACCTATCCCAAAAAAGCTATCCATTTCACCTGTCATGCCCAGCATTTTTTAAATTTTATTCATTACATTTGGCCCGGCCTCAGTTTTTAAATGTGTCGTGGTGTTATTGTCTAATGTTAATTGCTATTGTTTTAATGTTTATTGCTTGTTTTATGAGTTTATTTATTGTTGTATTTGTTATGCTGTTGTTTTATTGATGTGTTGGGCCTCGGCCTCTTGTAAGCCGCACCGAGTCCTTCGGGAGATGTTAGCGGGGTATAAATAAAGGATTATTATTATTATTATTATTATTATTATTATTATTATTATTAGTGAGCTTCTAGTGAGATCAAAAACAGTACAATCCCGATATCCACTGGAAATAGATTCCAAGTCTTCCTGTGGATATCTGAAATCTTGGATAATAGTCAACTCCCTTTTGATTATATTTGAGCTGGATGCATACCATAGAGTCACACTGCAAGATTCACTACACCCAAAAGAACTTCAGGATTTTTTAAAAGTGTGAGTAAGTGAAATCATTAATATGAATCTGTGGATAAGGCGGTAATACTGTACTTTTGTCTTATCTTAGAGTAAATGCTTATGTAAGGAAACTCCCAGCAATATGTCCTGAAACGCACTTTAATAGTGATTTAAGATTGTCTACACATTTCTTCCCTCTCCAAAACCTCTATCTCAATTACATGTCACCTCTTCATGCCCAGCATTATTTTTAAAATGTTAATTATTACATTTGGCCCAGCCATAGGTTTTAAATGCGTCGTGTTACTGTTAATGATTTTGCTTATGAGTTTTTTTGTATTGTTTTTGTATTATTGCTGTTATTGTTTATTATTGTATTGTGCGCTCGGCCTCATGTAAGCCGCACCGAGTCCCTTGGGAGATGGTAGCGGGGTACAAATAAAGATTATTATTATTATTATTATTATTATTATTATTATTATTATTATTACAACATGACACATAGTTTGGTCAGGAATGGCTCGTACACATTTTTCTTTTAGATTATACTGTTCAACAAAATTGGAAAAAAAAATCTGTTCCTGGTTTGAAAGTTCATCCTAGAGTGTGGTACTTACTTTGAAAATAATTTTTGTACTCCAGAAGCCTTTTTTGTGGCTGCCATTTTAACCCTTTAATGTGCCATTTTTAATCTTTCATATGCCATTTTTAACTTTTTTTGCAGATCAGAAAAAAAAATTTTTGCAGTTCAATAAACTTTCCCCATGTTTTTATGTTAGACCCAATTAGGAAATGACATTGATAACCCACGAACAAAAACCATATGCCAGTGTTATAGTTCTAGGGAGATGTTTTGTCCAAACAAGTAACTCTCTCCAGTACACTTGTATTGAAACCTACAGCAAATAGATGTTAATATGCAAATGCAACAAATTTTCTTATTTCCATGGATTGCTGCCCATTGTTATTGGCCATGAGTTACTGTTTCAATTGTTACTGTCCAAGAAAAATAGTTGATTTATAACTTCTGGAAATGCATTGTGTTAGCCTAGATCAGAAATTTCGCCTTAATGAGTGATGGTCCGATGCCCTATTTACATCTGTTGTAGTTATTTCTTTCCTGGAAACTCGCCAAGATTCAGCATTCAATGCCTAAGGGATCAACATGGAGTCCATTTTAAGTAACACCAGTTTAAGCAAGCCTTCTTTTCTTCACATAATCCAGTCTGTCTCTTGACTACAATGTTTTCTGAAGAGGACATTTTGCTTTGTTACAGGTGAAGTGTTGGCTTGTATAATAATCCCATCTGTAAAATGACAGACTTTCCTCACTGACCCAAGCCCCAGTAACCAGCAGTTGTCAGATAGTATTTAAGAGCTGATGTCTTTTTATTGGAAGGTGACTCATTCTTCTTTTTATTGATCTGCCATCCCTCTGTTTTATCCAGAATGGTGTCATGATAATGGTGTGAACTACAAAATTGGTGAGAAATGGGACAGACATGGAGAAAACGGAGAGATGATGAGTTGCACTTGCCTTGGAAATGGGAAAGGAGAATTCAAGTGTGAACCCCGTACGTATGGGCAACCTGTGACTCCTGATGCAGGGTGTTTCATCATTCAGTGCTATCTATTTGTGTGTCTGTGGGTTGGTGTGTGCTATCTATGAAAACTATGCCTGAAGAACAAATCCAATGATTTATTTCTCTAAATTCAAAATGGATAAATGAAAATGCCTTAGTATGAAAAGCTATATTTTTTCCTACCTCCTGACAGTTTAGCAGATCAAGAATAGCAGGTTCTAATCAGAACAGTCTGGATAGGCTTGCACATTCTTTATACTCTACTTTGAAAGGGCAGATGATCTAGATCAGTGGTTCTCAACCTGGGGTCCCCAGATGTTTTTGGCCTTCAACTCCCAGAAATCCTAACAGCTGGTAAACTGGCTGGGATTTCTGGGAGTTGTAGGCCAGAAACATCTGGGGACTCCAGGTTGAGAACCACTGATCTAGATGATCTGCCCCATTTAGATGCTTCCTTGCTACACTTCTGCCCTTACCATACAGAAAAAAAATCTCATGATGTTGAAGCTTATCATAGAATCATAGAGTTGGAAAGACTTCATGGGCCATCCAGTCCAATCCCCTGCCAAGAAGCAGGAAAATTGTATTCAAAGCACCTCCAGGATCATCCAGCTGTTGTTGAACTTCTACTGTCTGTGTCTTTTGGCCAACATCTTGATGGTCACAGGTTCTTCATCTTTGGCAGGTTTTGTCTTCCTGTTCTCCCTACTTTCACAGACTGGCAGATGAGACGAGACATCAACAACATCTTGGCCATAGTAGAGATAACTGGATCGGCTTAGGAAGTTTCAGGAATTGTTAGGCAGTGTTCTCAGGAATACCGGGACTATTATTTATTTATTTACTTCATTTATATACCGCTTTTCTCAGCCCTTAGGCGACTCAAAGCGGTTAACCACAGCAATTTCAATACACACATTCTAAAACCATTGGAGCATTTAAAAACAATAGCATAACAACAGTTAAACATCAATATGACAAATCATTCACATGTCATCAATAGAATCAGAATCCAATCTCATCATTTGTTATTCTGTGTTCCTATATTCATTACACTGCCTAATCGAATGCCTGTTCGAACAACCAGGTCTTCACTTTCCTCCGAAATGCCAATAAGGAGGGGGCTGATCTGATATCTGTAGGAAGGGCGTTCCACAGCCGAGGGGCCACCACTGAGAAGGCCCTGTCTCTCGTCCCCGCCATGTGTGCCTGTGATGCCGGCGGGACCGAGAGCAGGGCCTCCCCAGATGATCTTAATGTCCTAGCTGGTTCATAGGAGGAGATGCATTCGGACAGGTGAGTCGGGCCAGAACTGTTTAGGGCTTTATAGGCTAAAGCCAGCACTTTGAATTCTGCCTGGTAGCAAATTGGCAGCCAGTGGAGCTGGCGCAACAGAGGAGTTGTATGCTCCCTGAGTGCCGCTCCTGTTAGCATCCTGGCTGCCGAGCATTGGACCATTTGAAGCTTCCAAGCAGTCTTCAAAGGCAACCCCACGTAGGGAGCGTTGCAGTAGTCTATACAGGATGTAACCAGAGTGTGGACTACCATGGCCAAGTCAGACTTCCCATATATTAACTTTACTGTGATAAAATATATTTTTATTTATTTATTTACAGTATTTATATTCCGCCCTTCTCACCCTGCAGGAGACTCAGGGTTGATTACAATTTACACATATATGGCAAACATTCGATGCCAAAGACACACAACAGATTAGTTAGAGGCTATTTAACTTTTCTGGCCACCAGGGGAGTTGTTGCTTTCATCGTCCATCTGTGACACTGATGAAGTACTTCCGCATTCCCCGCATGCTTTACTGGAGTGCTTTGCTGGAGTCTTTTTTTATGGCCTCGTAAATTAATTAAATTGGCCTCCCCACACATAGGTGGTGCCTAATTTTCCTACTTGACAGATGCAACTGTCTTTTGGGTTCCAAAGGTCGACAACAAGCTACACAATTGGTCGGAAGCTCACTCCGACCTGGGCTGGCTTCGAAGTCATGACCTTTTGGTCAGAAGTGATCTTAATGCAGCTGACACTCAGCCAGTTGCGCCACAGTCCTGGTGTGTTAACAGACGTTGCATGTTGTTGCAATTATGTTTTCTTTTTTTCTTGAAGATGAAGCAACTTGCTATGATGAGGGCAAGATGTACCATGTTGGAGAACAGTGGCAGAAAGAATACCTTGGGGCCATCTGCTCCTGTACATGCTACGGAGGACAGCAGGTGGGCATTTTCATATTTGTGCTATGACCTGCAAATGGAACGTTGAATTAAATGCAAGAAGAGGGACAGTTTCTGAATCCTGACATCGTTTTAGGCTGGATTTATGGCTTTTAGGGTTATTATATTATTTTACTGACACAAAAGCACAGTATGTCACAGCAAACAAAATCTATATGCTGGATTTCGTATCACAAAATCACAAGTCGAACACTTCCCAAGCGTCTAGGACTGTGTGATGTATTTTCGAATGATGCGCGTAGATCCAAGTAAGGTGGCCTTTTGGAATTGACAGATCGTGATTTTGTTGATGTTTATTATTTTCAAATGCTGGCTGAGATCTTTTGGCACAGCACCCAGTGCGTCAATGTCCACTGGGACCACCTGTACTGGTTTATGCCAGAGCCTTTGCAGTTCAATTTTGAGTTTCTAATAATGGCTGAGTTTTTCCTGTTGTTTTTCCTCAATGTGACTGTCACCCGGTATGGCGACATCAATATTCCAGACTTTTTTCTTTTCCACAATTGTGATGTCTGGTGTATTGTGGTCCATTTGTGTTCATTTTCCATGACTTTTGAGGGTTATTATTATTATTATTATTATTATTATTATTATTATTAGAGTGATGTAATGGCAAGTCGAAAGCCACAGGAAACTATTAAAAACTACCCAGATGTATAACTCCACTCTGCCATCTCTGCTTACGTAGTGATGCAACAGCAGCCATCTATTGGATATGAAACTCTGAAATTGTAATTTCCACGTATATAATTCCATTTTTATAGATATAACTTTCATGCAAGTTTCTATTGTTTTTTAACATTCCTACTGTGAAAGCATTTTCAACCGTACAGGTTAAATAGGCAAGACCTCTTTGCTCATTTAGGTTGCAATGCTGAAAACAGTACTTGCTTAAATCTGGTTTTTTTTTTTAAATCACAAAGGGTCCAAAAACGCAGGTAAAGCAGCTTGCAAAGTGATACTAGGGGAATCAGCATCTTTTTTTTTTCAACCACCTAATTAAGGCAACACAATGCCCTTACAGGATACTATTTCAAAATGCTGCTTCTAGTGCTATTGCCAGACCATTGAAAAAAAATTGTCATATCAGAAGCAACTTGAGAAACTGCAAGTCGCTTCTGTTGTGAGAGAATTGGCTGTCTGCAAGGACGTTGCCCAGGGGACGCCCGGATTTTTTTGATGTTTTTATCATTCTTGTGGGAGGTTTCTCTCATGTCCCCGCTGGAGTTGATAGAGGGAGCTTATCTGCCTCTCCCCGGATTCGAACCTGCGACCTGTTGGTCTTCAGTCCTGCCGGCACAGGGGTTGAACCCACTGTGCCACCAGGGGCTCCACCGTTGAAAATGACTTCTAACCTCTTCTTTTTAATAGTTGCGTTGTTGACAGGTAATATGTGGGATGTTTTGTTATCTAAACAGGGATGGCGTTGTGACAATTGTCGTAGACCTGGTGCTGCAAGCTCACCTGAAAGTTCTCCGGGCCATACCTCTTCTTTGTACACACAGAGACATCAAACCACAAACACCGTAAGTACAGAATCCTCATCCATGTGAAGACACACATACCAGTTTTATTCAAATCTAATGCTCACCTTTTTTGGCTAAATGACCTTACCAAAATTAGGGTGCACATTAGATTCATGTAATATAGTGACCTTAATGTTGAGCCATAACAAAAGGGGAAGCTGCTTCAGGATCACCCAGAACTCCTCTTTGAGGGATGTCATCTCTAATTCAGTTGTCATGGTTCGATCCTGTGCAGTCTTGGAGTTTGTAGTTTAGTGAGGCATCAGCATTCTTTGGCAGAGAAGTCTCAAGTTCAAATAATAAACAAACAAACAAACAAATAAATAAATAAATAAATAAATATCGTGTCAGCTTTTCCAGTTGTTTCTCTTCAATCCTGCTGTCACCTGGGATTGCGACATCGACGATCCATATTTTTTAGGTTTTTAACACAATTGTGAGGTCAGGAGTATTATGCTCCAAAACTCTGTCTGTCTGAATCCAGAAGTCCCAGAGGACTTTGACATGTTCATTCTCTGTAACTTTTTCCGGCTTGTGATCCCACCAGTTATTTGTCGCAGGCAGATGGTATTTGTGGAACAAGTTCCAATTAATCATCTGAGCAACGGTGTTATGCCTCTGCTTGTAGTCTGTCTGCATGATCTTCTTGCAGAAGCTGAGGATGTGATCTATTGTTTCATCTGCTTCCTTGCAGAGTCTATATTTGGGATCTGTTGTTGACTTTTCAATTCTGGCTTTGATGGCAGTGGTTCTAATGGCTTGTTCTTGGGCTGCCAGAATCAGGCCCTCCTCCTCCTCATTATTATTATTATTATTATTATTATTATTATTATTATTATTATTATTATTAAACTTTATTTGTACCCCGCTAGCATCTCCCGAAGGACTCGATGCGGCTTATTATTTGAACTCTTACAAAGTTCTAGTAAGAAATCAAATAATTTCCACTTTACTGTACTACCCACAGTTTGTTTCCTTCCAAAACCTAAATGAGGTTCCCAATGTCCATCTAAGATATAAGATCTATGGCTGCTTAGCTTCATAGTGCTGCTAGTTCACTGAATGGTCTTTTACCAAAGCCAACAATTGTCTGCCAATTGTCTGTTATACAAAGCCGTTCTAAACCAAACTGCTATAACTTTTAACAGTTATTTCTGTCCAGTTTATCTTTGTGAATAAGTACTGATATATTCAGACATTAATCTGTCACAGACCTGTTCTCCAGTGAAATTTCAGTTGGGGAAGAACAAAGGGAGAGATTCAAATAAAGCCTGTATGGACAAAGTATTCCTATTCAGGTTTGGTAGCATAAAGCTGTCTTAGGGATGTGTCCCACCCAGGCACATAAAATGTGCCAAAATGATGAGGGACCTTAGAACATTTTCATCCCTTCAATACTAGAATATGGCACTTCAGTATGAAGCAGGACTCTTAAATTGTATTTTAACCAAAATGTTGTTGTATTAAATTCAGATCCCTGGCTGGGATGGCTGTGTTAGATTAACAACTAGTTGTGTGTCCTGTTCCATCTCCCAGGAGCCTGATTTGCCTTACCTTACAGTTGCTAGAGGTTGCTCCCTTTTGCATTTTCTCCCAGGGCTGCTGCAGCTCTGCAAAAGCCCTGAAAGTTAACAGTTTCAGAGGCTGGAAAACCAGCCTGCAGGCCTCTTTGCAACTATTGGCCTATAGAGCAGCTCTTTGGGTTTAGAGCCTGCCCTTTCTCCTGGGCTTGAGATCTCCATTTTGGAATCTCTCCTGCCTCCTTCAGTTTAAAGGAAAGTCTTCAGACGTGCTGATGGTTAAGCAGGTATCTCTGGGAAAACCATTGCAAAAACTACATTATATATTGAGTATTAAGCTATATATTATACTAGCTGTCCCCTGTCACATGTTGCTGTGGCCCGGTCTCTTGATCTGGAAAATAAAGTAATGAGAAAGTGTTGGTTTCTAATATATATAATTTCTTTATGCTTGTGGGTAAACATTATTTCTTACTGTTTCTTTGTCAGTGTTGAAGGGAGTTGGATTGGATGGCCTTAAGTATTTTTTGTTGGTCATGGGAGTTCTGTGTGGGAAGTTTGCCCAAATTCTGTCGTTTGTGGGGTTCAGAATGCTCTTTGATTGTAGGTGAACTATAAATCCCAGTAACTACAACTCCCAAATGTCAAGGTCTATTTTCCCCCAAACTCCATCTGTATTCATATTTGGGCGTATTGAGTGCTTGTGCCAAGTTTGGTCCAGATCCATCATTATTTGAGTCCACAGTGCTCTCTGGATGTAGGTGAACTGCAACTCCCAAACTCAAGGTCAATGCCCACCAAACCAGTATTTTCTGTTGGTCATGGGAGTTCTGTGTGCCAAGTTTGGTTCAATTCCATCGTTGATGGAGTTCAGAATGCTCTTTGATTGTAGGTGAACTATAAATCCCAGCAACTACAACTCCCAAATGACAAAATCATAATTTTTTGAGTGATGGTCACTCCTTGTGTTGTGAGACATGTCGTTGCCAAATTTGGTGTGATTTCGTTCATTGGTTCTTTTGTCTTTAAGGTACTCATTATGCACAGAGCATTTATATATATATAGATAGATATTGTGTATTGTATATTAAGCTATATTAAATTAATATAGATAGTATATTGTGTATTTACCTATATTGAGATATTATAGATAAGCTTAATTGAGAAGATTGAGTTATATAGTTATAGAGAGAGAGAGACTTCACTGCTTTGTCTCCAGAACTAACCTTAAGCTATAGATAGGGGAAAAAACTGCTTTTTTCTAACCATAACAGCTTAAGGTTAGGGTGTAAAGATTCCAGGATCTTCTCTGCCATCTGGAGAAAAAGTTACCTCTGTAACTGAAGAAAAGAAAGAATATCTCTGCGGTTTCATATATTGACTGTTTGCAACTTTGATGAACTGTGCCAAGTCTGCAAGGACTTTGTATAAATAAATATCCTTTTTTGATGTTTAAAACCAGTAATAGCCTCAGTTGCTGAGTATCTCAAGCTTCTCAAGAAAGACACCCGTAGTTCGCTCAGACATAGAGAGAAGCACGTCACAGTTTTATCTTTTATAGCGTCTGGGTGGACGGCACATGTCCAAATGGACACCCAGTTCTGGCTTTGATCATGACACGGGGAGCAGTGAAGACATACAAATTAATCAGTGAACAACATTATTTCCTCCCTCTTTCTGCAAGTTACTACCAATCAAAAATAAAAATAATCCCAAATATATATTCTTTCCAATCTCATATCAGATTGATTGTGGTTGATAGATAGATAAGAATTTCATGGAATTTTCTTTTTTTTGATTCAGTTATTTTTTGGTAGGGGCAGAATAATAAATTGCTATAATACTGAAATGTCTAAATGCATTTGCAGTTCTGCATTGGCTTGCTCCTTTAAAAAACTATCAATACAATCAGAAGGTCAGGATTTTATGCGGTGGTGAAGCTTCTGAATGGGAAAACACCCAGTAAGAATGTCTTTAAAATGCTATGTTGTCAAATTATGGACAGATGAAAATTGCCATCAGGCTGAGCAAGTTGTTTACTACTTTGTGAAACTGGGAGTCCTCATTGTCCTTTTCCATTTTCTTTCCCCAGAATGTCCATTGTCCAATTGAGTGCTTCTACCCTTTGCATCTACAATCAAATACACAAAACCGACGGGGAGACTAACGCCCATTAATAGTTAACACCAGCCAAGAAAAGTCTACTTGCCAAGACCATCCACTCTGGAATGCTACTCAGAGAAAAGGAAAAAAGAAAGAGCAGATCTGTCCTAGAGAGATGGCCAGACTCCCCTTCTCAGCTTTTGCGCAGCTCACAGCTTCTCCAAGGGAGGTCACTCTTGGAGCGTCTCAAGACTTCCTTTTCACAACAGATAGCTGTATGTTGTCTGTCTTTTTGATCTAAGTGTTTCAATACCATTCAGTATTTTCCCCAAGACAACTCTTTACTAACTCATAAATTGTTCAACAATCAGTTACATACATAAAATCCCCGTATGGGGTTGAGGGGAGGGGCTTCTCCCTAACCAAATTGCCCCAGATTCAGTGTTCACCCAGTTGACCAGCTATCCATTGAAACTGCATAAACCCCATCACTGTGGTATTTAAAATATGCACAGTTCTAATCTTTCTAGTTTCCCCCCCTAGCGGTATGTTTGTATCTCGTACTGTTATTTATCAGTGTTGATCTTTCTAACCCCATTCCCCTCCTGCCTCAATGTTTTTCTACAGAAAAATATCTTAAAAGACATTTAATACACCGTTGACAGAGGAATTTGGTATAATTATGATCAGTGATTATTTTTTATACTGTAAGTGCCAAAGCTTTACTACTGTGGGAGACAACTCTTTTAATAAAAAGATTTACAAACCAGATGCGTGTTGGATTCCTTTGCCTTTTTTCCCTGGTGCATGCAGGCCAATACTGAGCTCTATGTCCAATTTCAAGGCGGTAGGGTTCTAGATATTGTTACATGTCCCATTGCTAAGCGACCTTTTCCAATATTTATATAGGAATACTTAGATTTTTGTCAGAACTTGGAATGTTACTTTCTGAAAATACTAGCTATCATTGTATTGACCTTTATGATCCCATTAAAGGTAAAGGTAAAGGTTGTCCCCTGACATTAAGTCCAGTCATGTCTGACTCTGGGGTGTGGTGCTCATCTCCATTTCTAAGCCGAAGAGCCGTTGTTGCCATTAGACACCTCCAAGGTCGTGTGGCCAGCATGACTGCATGGAGTGCTGTTACCTTCCTGCCAGAGTGGTACCTATTGATCTACTCACATTTGCATGTTTTCAAACCGCTAGGTTGGCAGAAGCTGGGGCTAACAGCGGGAGCTCATGCCGCTCCTCGGATTCAAACCTGTGACCTTTCGGTCAACAAGTTCAGCAGCTCAGTGCTTTAACCCACTGTGCCACCGGGGGCTCCTATGATCCCATTAGTAGTTACTATTTTGGAAGTCCATAAGGATAGCTTGCTAAATTACTCATTGATTTTTTTTTTGTTGTGTCAGGAGCGACTTGAGAAACTGCAAGTCACTTCTGGTGTGAGAGAATTGACCGTCTGCAAGGACATTGCCCAGGGGACACCCAGATGATTTTGATGTTTTTATCATCCTTGTGGGAGGTTTCTCTCATTTTCCACAAACTCCACCAGTGTTCACATTTGAGCATATTGAGTATTCATGCCAAATTTGGTCCAGATCCATCATTGTTTGAGTCCACAGTGCTCTCTGGATGTAGGTGAACTACAACTCAAAGACCACAACTCAAACTACAACTCAAAAACAACTTTTGGACACTGCCCACCAAACCCTTCCAGTATTTTCTGTTGGTCATGGGAGAACTGTGTGCCAAGTTTGGATCAATTCCATTGTTGGTGGGGTTCAGAATGCTCTGTGATTGTACTTAAACTATAAATCCCAGCAACTACAACTCCCAAATGAGAAAATCAATCTTTTTGAGTGAAGGACATACATTGGGTTGTTAGGTGTCTTGTGTCCAAATTTGGTGTCAATTCCCCCAGTGGTTTTTGAGTTCTGTTAAACCCCCAAATGAACATTACATTTTTATTTATATAGATTTTGTTGTTGTTCATTCGTTCAGTCGTCTCCGACTCTTCGTGACCTCCTGGACCAGCCCACACCAGAGCTCCCTGTCGGCCGTCACCACCCCCAGCTCCTTCAAGGTCAGTCCAGTCACTTCAAGGATGCCATCCATCCATCTTGCCCTTGGTCGGCCCCTCTTCCTTTTACCTTCCACTTTCCCCAGCATAATTGTCTTCTCTAGGCTTTGCTATCTCCTCATGATGTGGCCAAAGTACTTCAACTTTGTCTCTAGTATCCTTCCCTCCAATGAGCAGTCGGGCTTTATTTCCTGGAGGATGGACTGGTTGGATCTTCTTGCAGTCCAAGGCACTCTCAGAACTTTCCTCCAACACCACAGTTCAAAAGCATCTCTCTTCCTTCGCTCAGCCTTCCCTAAGGTCCAGCTCTCACATCCGTAGGTTACTACAGGGAATACCATGGCTTTGACTAAGCGGATCTTTGTTGCCAGTGTGATGTCTCTACTCTTTACTATTTTATCGAGATTGGACATTGCTCTCCTCCCAAGAAGTAAGCGTCTTCTGATTTCCTGGCCACAGTCTGCATCTGCAGTAATCTTTGCACCTAGAAATACAAAGTCTGTCACGGCCTCCACATTTTCTCCCTCTATTTTCTAGTTGTCAATCATTCTTGTTGCCATAATCTTGGTTTTTTTATGTTTAGCTGCAACCCAGCTTTTGCGCTTTCTTCTTTCACCTTGATTAGAAGGCTCCTCAGCTCCTCCTCGCTTTCGGCCATCAGAGTGGTGTCATCTGCATATCTGAGGTTGTTAATGTTTCTTCCAGCAATTCACACACACTATTTCTAACCCGCCCATATCAGCCCAAAGGCGACTCAGGGTTTTAGAGAATTCTACTTTGTTATATTTTAAAATATATATAACTGGTGGTAGTGAAACTATTTGCATGTTGCTATAATCCCATGGATTCAGAGTCTTAGTCAGAGAGTACATAATGGTTGCTCACTAAATGAAGGAGGTGTGGGACTTCTTAGATATTCCTAGCTACTATATACGCAAGACCGCACCCTGCCTTTTCCCACAAGGCCCATTACCTGCATAACATCTAATCAACTTTTTAAAAGAAATCCAACACTGCAAAAGTCTTCACATTCATCTACTATCAATTGGAGCATATTGATAGGATGAACACCTCCAGGAATTTGGCATACAACCAATGTAAAAATACTCAGGCTTTCTATTCCCAATCCAATGCCTAATGATCATGGGTTTTTTTTAATGATGAAGCAACTGATTGTGTTTTCTATAAATGCAAATAAAACAAGTCTGTATCTTGAATGCAGAAAGAATTGGACTTCAGATGATGGTATATGTGCATTTATTTTTAAACACTGCATTTAGAGGTTAACGATTTTGTTTTAGTACTGTCAAAGCAAGGATTTGAAACAGTAATCCAAATATGGATTTATTTCCCAAAAAGCAAGAAAGGAAACTTTCATTGCCCTAGAAAAATGAACAAAGCAACGAGGAATGTCTGCAGTGGTCTCAGGGACATCAGTGGTGAAACAGACGGAGGTTGGTATGAATAAGACTAATCCCCAGCTCATCACAGGCATCAATCACAACTTGGTCTGCAGTTGAACCAGAAGGGGCAACAATGAACTGGACTCCACTCTATGAAAAAAAGAACAGGGAGAAGAAAACAATATAATCACTGATCCATTTTGTCAGCTGTTCGGCGAACAAAAACAACTTTTGGACCCAAATCCCCCAAGGGTAGCCACACCAGATAGTTAAACATGAGCCAACAATGTGATGTGGCGGCAAAAAAAGCCAATGGGATTTTGGGCTGCATCAATAGGAGCATAGTGTCTAGGTCCAGGGAAGTCATGCTACCCCTCTATTCTGTTTTGGTTAGACCACACCTGGAATATTGTGTCCAATTCTGGGCACCACAACTGAAGAAGAGATATTGACAAGCTGGAATGTGTCAAGAGGAGGGCGACTAAAATGATCAAGGGTCTGGAGAACAAGCCCTATGAGGAGTGGCTTAAGGAGCTGGGCATGTTTAGCCTGAAGAAGAGAAGGCTGAGAGGAGATATGATAGCCATGTATAAATATGTGAGAGGAAGCCACAGGGAGGAGGGAGCAAGCTTGTTTTCTGCTTCCCTGGAGTCTAGGACACAAAACAATGGCTTCAAACTACAAGAAAGAAGATTCCATCTGAACATGAGGAAGAACTTCCTGACTGTGAGAGCCGTTCAGCAGTGGAACTCTCTGCCCCGGAGTGTGGCGGAGGCTCCTTCTTTGGAAGCTTTTAAACAGAGGCTGGATGGCCATCTGTCAGGGGTGATTTGAATGCAATATTCCTGCTTCCTGGCAGGGGGTTGGACTGGATGGCCCATGAGGTCTCTTCCAACTCTTTGATTCTATGATTCTATATTATATCTTTTTAAGGTTTCTAATTTTGTTGTTATTGCTTAGCTATTATAAGTTAATATAACGGCACTCCATGCAGTCATGCTGGCGACATAACCTTGGAGGTGTCTATGGACAACACCGGCTCTTCGGCTTAGAAATGTAGATGAGCACCACTCCCAGAGTCGGACATAGCTAGACTTAATGTCAGGGTAAACCTTTACCTTTTTATTATAAGTTTATATTGTTCTTGTTTTATTTATTGCATTGATTGATTTGTTGTTTGTCTGTTTTTATGATATTGAATGTTTGCCACTTTGATGGAATAATAATAATAATAATAATAATAATAATAATAATAATAATACATTATGTATATACCACTCTATCTCTCCTAGGGAACTCAGGTCGGTTCCGAGTCCCTTTGGGGAAATAGGATGGGTTACAAATAAATAATAATAATAATAATTTTATAATAATAACAATAATAAGAATAATATATTGTTGTTATTATTATTATTAATAATAATAATATAAACCCGCAAAGGTCATGGAAAATGAACATACCACTCTATCTCTCCTAGGGGACTCAGGGCGGTCCTGAGTCCCTTTGGGGAAATAGGACGGGTTACAAATAAATAAATAAATAAATATAATAGTAATTTTATAATAATAACAACAATAATAAGTATAATATATTGTTATTATTAATAACAATTTTATTATTATTATTATTATTATTATTATTAATAATAATAATAATAATAATAATAATAATAATATTTTGGGGGATCACAAGCCTTAAAAAGTTACAGAAAATGAACACATCAAACTCCTCTGGGACTTCCTAATTCAGACTGACAAGAGTTTTGGGGCACAATGCTCCTGACCTCACAATTGTGTTAAAAAACAAAGTATAGATCGTCGATGTTGCCATCCCAGGTGACAGCAGAACCGAAGAGAAACAACTAGAAAAGCTGACACGATATGACGATTTAAAGATTGGACTGCAAAGACTCTGGCACAAGCCAGTAAAGGTGGTCCCAGTGGTGATCAGCACACTGGGTGCAGTGCCTAAAGACTTTGGCCTGCACTTAAACACAATTGGCGCTGACAAAATTACCATCTGCCAGCTGCAGAAGGTCACCTTACTGAGATCTGCATGCATTATTCACCGATACATCACACCGTCCTAGACACTTGGGAAGTGTCCGACGTGTGATCCAATACAACAGCCAGCAGAGTGTCGGCTGTGGACTCATATTGTTGTGTTTCAAATAATAATAATAATATCTACTACTACTAACCTTCACAATCCAAATTTCAGGGCACTAAAAATGTATGAACTCCCACCCAGAGCAAGAGTAGCTGATGGAACAACAGATGCCCTTCAGGTCCTTTCTAGACTGTGAAAGAAAACACTTCCAGTTTTGGTTGGCTTACCCGTTTTGCTCTATCCACATTATCCCTAAAAGGAAAGAAAGCATCAGAGCTGAGCGAGACTCCATTCAGTTTCCCAATCCATGCCTTCTTTTCTGACTCAGTTAGCAGAGCTGGGACTTCCTCAAATAGTGCCTTCCACTTGACAAGATCTTCACCCTGCAAAAGTTATATTTTAAAAATTATGTTTCGTTGATACAATCAATTCAGCAGCCCACTCTATCTATCTATCTATCTATCTATCTATCTATCGATCGATCGATCGATCGATTTATTTAGAGTTTTTATAACCCGGTCTTCTCGACCTCCGAGGAGGGACTCAGGCCGGCTAACAACATAAGATTCAATACAAGAAGAAAAAACAGTATAGATCATCAATATAAAATACATTAAAATACAATTCATACAATTCGTACAAGTTACAAAAAAGTCAGTTTGTCAGAGTGAATCACAAATTCATCGCCATCCGCCAGAAAGGTCAGCAGTTATTGACTCAGTCATCATTCTCCAAATGCATTATCCCAAATCCATGTTTTTACCAGTTTTCTAAAAGTCAGGAGGGAAGAGGCAGTTCTAATCTCCATCGGGAGTTCCAGAGCCGAGGGGCCACCACTGAAAAGGCCCTGTCCCTCGTTCCCACCAAACGTGATTGCGAAGGAGGTGGGACCGAGAGCAGGGCCCCTCCAGAAGATCTTAACAACCTTGATGGTTCATAGGGGAGAATCCGTTCAGACAGGAAAATAGGGCCAGAGCCATTTAGGGATTTATAGGTCAACACCAGCACATTGAATTGTGCTCGGAAGCTGATTGGCAGCCAGTGGAGCTGACGCAACAGAGGAGTAGTATGCTCCCTGTATCCTGCTCCCGTTAGTAGTCTGGCTGCCGCTCGTTGGACTAGTTGTAGCTTCTGGGCAGTCTTCAGAGGCAACCCCACGTAGAGAGCGTTGCAGTAGTCTATATGGGATGTAACCAGAACATGTACCACCGTGGCTAAGTCAGACTTCCCAAGGTACGGATGCAGCTGGCGCACAAGTTTTAATTGTGCAAAAGCTCCCCTGGTCACCGCTGAAACCTGGGGTTCCAGGCTCAGCGATGAGTCCAGGATCCCTCCCAAGCTGCGAACCTGTGCCTTCAGGGGGAGTGTAACCCGTCGAGCACAGACTGTAACCCTATGCCCTGTTCGGCCTTTCGACTGACCAGGAGTACCTCTGTCTTGTCTGGATTTAGTTTCAATCTGTTGGCCCTCATCCAGTCTGTTACAGTAGCCAAGCACTGGTTCAGGACTTGAACAGCCTCCTTAGTAGCAGGTGGGAAGGAGTGACAGAGTTGGACATCATCTGCGTAGAGATGACACCGCACCCCGAAACTCCAGATGATCTCTTCCAACGGCTTCATGTATATGTTGAACAACATAGGGGACAATACTGAGCCCTGCGGGACCCCACAGTACAATGGCAGTGGGGTCGAGCAGGAGTCCCCTAATGACACCTTCTGAGAGCGACCCTCGAGGAAGGACTGGAGCCACTGCAAAGCAGTACCCCCAAGGCCCATTCCCGCGAGGAGAGGTACTCAAGACCTTATCAAAATGCAACCCCCATGACTCCACAGGTTGTCCCCAGAGCAATTAGCTACACTCTAAGCAGAGTCCTCTGTAAGCTAATCTACTCTAAACCAGAGAGCAAACCACTTGTGTAAAACCAACACAAGCACCCAGACGACTACTTTGACCTCCCTGGCTGTCACAAATGCTCTCTGACAGAAAAATCTAAGCTCAAAAATCTACCTCTCTTCTCTTGTTCCCAAAATCAATCATTCTTCTTCAAACCCAAAAATCAATCTCCCTGCTCTCTCTCAAGCGGACACTTTTCCCTCTCAGGGCCAAACTCCTCCCATCTGTCCTAACCAATCAAAGAGAGCTTCAGCTCCTCCCCTCTTCTCCTTTTACACTCCCAAGATGTCTGCTTCCTTTGCTGACACTCCCAAAATGGAGTCCTGCCTACTGATATCGGAGTTGCGACCTTTTTTAAAGGCACTCAAGACTTGGCTGTTTAAGTAATCAGATCTAATTTGTCAAATAGTTACTGTTGAATGTTTTTATGTTGAATGTTTTTATATTGTGTAAATGCTATTTTAGATTGTAAGTCGCTCGGAGCACCTTGGTGGAGAGCGACTAATTAAGAAATAAAGTGAAGTGAAGTGAAGTGATATTCCAGGCTTCTCCTTCGGCCTACGAGGTAAGAATCATTACAGCATATTATAAAGAGTGCACTTCTTGCCATTGCACATTACATTCAGAGTTTTGAAAATTGATTCAATGATTTTGAAAATAGATTCAATGACACATTAGACTTGAGTAAATACGGCAAACTAAATTACTCTGTTAGAAATTAGCACCTCACCAAGCATGTCGGCAAGTCTGCTCCCCAGGACAAAATAATGGAGTTCAAGACAAGGAATAGCGGGCCATGATCTTACTTTGTTCTGGTTTAAATTACTTGTAACCCTCAGAACCCCGTGCCTCACTGGGGAAGTTTGGGAGACATCATCTTTTTGCTTCAGACTACAGTCCTCAGCTTTCCAGCCGAAGGCATATTGAGTAGCAGTTTGTTGACAGTGTTGTCCAAGAAAGTAACTTTTCCCAGCTCTGATCCAGATCAACCAGCTGGGACACCAATATATGCTCTGTTACAAAGCGACAGCTCCTTTCCTTCAGTCTGTATGTGAAACCTCTGAAGGACACAAGAATAAACTCAATGGGTCGGGAAGGCAGATCTGGCCAAGATGGTCCACGCCTTAGTCACCTCTAGATTGGATTACTGCAATGCACTCTACGTGGGGCTGCCTTTGAAAATGGCCCGGAAATTTCAGATGATCCAACGGGTGGCAGCCAGGTTGTTAACTGGGGCTCCTTACAGGGAGCAGTCATCCCTCCTGTTCAAGGAGCTCCACTGGCTGCCATTCATCTACCGGACCCAATTCAAGGTGCAGGTGCTTACCTACAAAGCCCTGAACAGTTTGGGACCCGCCTACCTACATGATCACATCTCTGTATACGAACCCACACAATCTCTTCGATCTTCCGGAGAGGTCCTGCTCTCGATCCCACCAGCATTGCAGGCTCGTTTGGTGGGGACGAGGGAGAGGGCCTTTTCGGTGGTGGCCCCTCGACTCTGGAACTCACTCCCTAAAGACATCAGACAGGCCCCAACCCTGGCAGTCTTTAGAAGGAGCTTGAAGACGTGGCTGTTCCAGTGTGCCTTCCCGGAATAATGAATCCCATAGCACTTTGTCCTATAAAGCACTTTACATTTCCCTGAGTCTGCTTGTATGCCCTCCACAAACACTAGTATCACCTCTTGTTCATGGCTCAGCATTATTTCCAATTTTAACTTTACATTTGGGCTCCCCACTGTTTTAACTATGTTTTGCTTTTTTTTGAAAATGTTGTTTTATTGTCTATGTTTTTAATTGCTTGTATTGATGTTTTATTGCTTTTGTTGTTGTGTTTGGGCTCGGCCTCATGTAAGCCGCACCGAGTCCCTTGGGGAGATGGTAGCGGGTTACAAATAAAGTAAATAAATAAATAAATAAATACCAACATACTCCGTTCCCCACTTATTTCCAACAGGGACATTTAGCCTTTGTCACTTACCTCCCCAATAGTCCCAGTGACATATTGGTCAATAGCATTGGAGATCTCAGCCCTTTTGACTCCAGCTTTGAACTTCATGGAGAGCACACGGGGGTGATGTCTCAGCCACCAGTGGTTTGCCTTGTCTCCGGCCAGGCGGGTGCAGTGTATCCGGGATTGCTGCCCTGCCCCAATGCCGACCACCTAAAATAAACAAGTGCCCTATCATTAAAAAGGCATATCAGACATTTTTCTGTGTATTTCTTCCAAAACCTCACCATCAAAGTGTAATATCAAATAAACCATATTCCCTGATATTTACCAACTCACCAACAAGCCCCTTATGAATCCCTCCTTCCTGCAAGGATGTATTTTGGCCAATTACTAGGAAATCAGTAGTTGCCAAAAACAGGCAAGGAAAATATTGGCAGCTTTTGACACATTTAGTGAGCAAACAAGTAGATTCTTTATGTTTTTTTAAAAAAAAAATTCAATCATCCCTGGAATAAGCCAAGGCAGAAGAGAGCATACAAGCGGTGAGAGTTTCTAGGCATCCAGCCGGTGTTGGGAAAGAAATTACACTAGGGAGTTTAGGGCAAGGCTTACTTACAAAGTGAGGTTCTCCAGCCTGAGGGGAAACTTACAGAGAATATTACAGCTGTCTGACTTTCCAGTAGCACTACACATTTTACTAAAAACTGTCAGAAGGGGCAGTTAACACAGATGTTAAAATGGCCCGACACAGCAATTCTGGTGGAGCGGTTAAGAATTCATTAGCCTAGAGGGAACCTAGTGCAGCTTTGAAAGTCTGGAAGATGCTGGCACCCACATCGCCTCTCCAAAATGGGATGACTAAACCTTGCCTTCAAGTCTGATCTCATGCATATTTACCGGGATGTAAAGTTTCGCCACACTGAACAGCATTTATTCCCTGAAAGTAAGTGTGCTTTAGGATTACATCTTCCGACTCCTTACCTTCCGATAATGATGGACATGTTCAGCTATCATGAAACTTATCCACGTGTGCAAAATAATATACAGGAAAATAGTAAAACGTTAGGTTCATTCTAGAAAAATGCACATATAAACACTTAATAGAAATTGTGGATTTTCTGTTGGTACAAGAATCAACTCGGAGAGAGAAAAATACTGCAGAATTTGGACATCGGGAGAAGAAAAGGATGGACAAAAGTTCCAAGGAGAGATTAACAGAATATAAATGAAATAAATATAAATGAAATGAATGAATATCAGAGTCCACACTACTTTGGGACCAACTCATTCTCTTCAATGCATTTTTGATGTATCTATATAAATAAAAATGTAATGCTCGTTTGTGGGATTAACAGAACTCAAAAACCACTGGACGAATTGACACCAAATTTGGACACAAGACACCTAACAACCCAATGTATGTCCTTCACCGGGATTGTGGCACAGCTGGCTGAGTGTCAGCTGCATTAAGATCACTCTGACCAAAAGGTCATGAGTTCGAAGCCAGAGTGGAGTGGGTTTCCAACCAATTGTGTAGCCTGTTGTCAACCTTTGCAACCCGAAAGATAGTTGCATCTGTCAAGTAGGAAAATTAGGTACCACCTTAAAGTGTGGGGAGGCTAAATTAACTAATTTATGAGGCCATAAAAAAAAAAGACTCCAGCAAGCTCCCCAGCAAAAAGCATGCGGGGAATGCGGAAGTACTTCATCAGTGTCGCAGATGGATGATGAAAGCGACAGCTCCCCTGGCGGCCAGAAAAAAGTTGAATAGCCTCTGTCTATGTCTGTATATGTTGTATGTCAAAATTGGCATTGAATGTTTGCCATATATGTGTACACTGTAATCCGCCCTGAGTCCCCTGCCGGGTGAGAAGGGCGAAATATAAAATATGTAAATAAATAAATAAATAAATTTTCACTCAAAAAATGATTTTGTCATTTGGGAGTTGTAGATGCTGGGATTTATAGTTCACCTACAATCAAAGAGCATTCTGAACCCCACCAACGATGGAATTGAACCAAACATGGCACACAGTTCTCCCATGAACAACAGAAAATACTGGAAGGGTTTGGGGGGCAGCGTCCTTTGGTTTTGGAGTTGTAGTTCACCTACATCCAGAAAGCACTGAGGACTCAAACAATGGACCAAACTCTACACGAATACTCAATATGCCCAAATGTGAACACTGGTGGACTTTGGGGAAAATAGAATCTTGACATTTGGGAGTTGTAGTTGCTGGGATTTATAGTTCACCTACAATCACAGAGCATTCTGAACCCGACCAACAATAGAATTGGGCTAAAACTTCCACACAGAACCCCCATGACCACCAGAGTGGGCCACAGCAACGCGTGGCAGGGGACGGCTAGTCTATATAAATAAAAATGTAATGTCCGTTTGTGGGATTAACAGAACTCAAAAACCACTGCATGAATTGATACCAAATTTGGACACAAGACACCTAACAGCCCAATGTATGTCTTTCACTCAAAAAATTGATTTTGTCATTTGGGAGTTGTAGTTGCTGGGATTTATAGTTCACCTACAATCAGAGCATTCTGAACCCCACCAATGATGGAATTGAACCAAACTTGGCACACAGTTCGCCCATGACCAACAGAAAATACTCGAAGGGTTTGGTGGGCAGTGTCCTTTGGTTTTGGAGTTGCAGTACACCTACATCTAGAGATCACTGTGGACTCAAACAATGATGGATCTGGACCAAACTCTACATGAATACTCCATATGCCCAAATGTGAACACTGGTGGAGTTTGGGGGAAAATAGAATCTTGACATTTGGGAGTTGTAGTTGCTGGGATTTATAGTTCACCTACAATCACAGAGCATTCTGAACCCCACCAATAGAATTGGGCTAAAACTTCCACACAGAACCCCCATGACCACCAGAGTGGGCCACAGCAACGCGTGGCAGGGGATGGCTAGTCTATATAAATAAAAATGTAATGTCCGTTTGTGGGATTAACAGAACTCAAAAATCACTGAATGAATTGATACCAAATTTGGACACAAGACACCTAACAGCCCAATGTATGTCTTTCACTCAAAAAATTGATTTTGTCATTTGGGAGTTGTAGTTGCTGGGATTTATAGTTCACCTACAATCACAGAGCATTCTGAACCCCACCAATGACAGAATTGGGCCAAACCTCCCACACAGAACCCCCATGTGGGCCACAGCAACGCGTGACAGGGGATGGCTAGTATGTAAATAAAAATACCTTTTCACAACTAATACAGCTAAAAAAACCACAAGTGAATCTGGCTGCAATGAAACAAAAAGGCTGGCTGAATACTGCCACTGCAACAAGACACAGTTCAGTATCCATAAAGTATGCTTATCAAAATATTAAGATAATTTACTAAGTTTATCCCTGGTCAGGCAAAAGACATTTAATTAAGTCACTAATAATTGTCTTCCTCAAATAGTCACTTAAATTGGGCACTGTCAAAGTTTCTGACTGTGAATTGCCTTTGATCAATCCACAAATGTAAATAAAGGCTTCATGCTATGTCAATTCTACATGTGAAAAATCTTGAGGGAGAAATGGTGGCAACTAATCAAGTAACTTGACATTCCTTCAGTTGTCTGTGAAGACAAGTTCTGAAGCAACTCCTGGGGTGGTAAAAATACCAGTTGCAAAACTAGCAAATTCAAAGAGCACAGGGGCCAGGTGAGAAATAGACTTAGGTGTGAAGTTTGGACTGTAATTTCCTTTTAGCATCCAGAAACAGAACTGTTTTTCCTTTCAACTTTTCTAAGATGGTGTTACATTTTCCAAAAAGTTCTAGAAAATAACCTCTTTAAAAAACTTATTTCACAGGTGGCTTGGCAAGCAATTTGGAACAGACCTAAACTACAAGAAACATGGAAAAGGGGACTGTTTACACACTATTTTTCTGCTCTACAACTATTCACATGGAAATATATATAGCTTGAAATCCTGGCAAATATCAATACTTTTTTTTGTGTATCAGGAGCGACTTGAAAAACTACATGGCGCAGTGGGTTAAACCCCTGTGCCAGCAAGACTGAAGACCGACAGGTCACAGGTTCGAATCCGGGGAGAGGCGGATGAGCTCCCTCTATAAACTCCAGCTCCTCATGCGGGGACACGAGAGAAGCCTCCCACAAGGATGATAAAACATCAAATCATCCGGGCATCCCCTGGGCAACGTCCTTGCAGACGGCCAATTCTCTCACACCAGAAGCGACTTGCAGTTTCTCAAGTCACTCCTGGCACAACAAAAAAAATATTCTGGTGTTGAAGAATTGGCAATCTGCAAGGACGTTGCCCAGGGCACGCCCGGATGATTTGATGTTTTATCATCCTTGTGGGAGGCTTCTCTCATGTCCCCGCATGAGGAGCTGGAGCTTATAGAGGGAGCTCATCCGCCTCTCCCCAGATTCAAACCACTGACTTATCCGTCAGCAGTCCTGCCGGTACAATGGCTTAACTCACAATAGCAGTCTTTAGGTGGAGCCTGAAAACGTGGCTGTTCCAGTGTGCCTTCCCTGAATAAGGAAACAATGCCCTGCTCTGATTAATTCTCTGCAATTGTCCTTAGAATTACTTCAACTACCCGTTGGGTTGATCTCCCTACACTAGCTTTTGAAACCCTCCTGCTTAGATACATCCTACCTCTGTTCATGCCCAGTGTTTATTTTAAAAATTTTAATTTCTTACATCTGGCCCGGCCATAAGGTTTTAAATTCCCTCTGTTATTGTTTATATGTGAGTTATATTAATTGTACTGTTTTATTTGTTTGCTGTTTTGTTTTTACTAATGTGTTATTGGGCTTGGCCTCATGTAAGCCACCCTGAGTCCCCTTGGGGAGATGGTGGTGGGGTATAAATAAAGATTATTATTATTATTATTATTATTATTATTATTATTATTAGAAACAGAACAAGTTGAGTCCACAGCAGACACTCTGTTGGCAGTTGTATTGGATCACACGTCGGACACTTCCCAAGTGTCTAGGACGGTGTGATGTATTGGCGAATAATGCGTGCAGATCCCAGTAAGGTGGCCTTTTGCAGATGGTAATTTTGTCAGCGCCGATTGTGTTTAAGTGCAGGCCAAGGTCTTCAGGCACTGCACCCAGTGTGTCGATCACAACTGGGACCACCTTTACTGGTTTGTGCCAGTCTTTGCAGTTCGATTTTTAAATCCTCATATTGTGTC